TATTTTTTATAGAATTAGCAATGGGGCGCGCGAAGATTTATTTATACAGGGTGTCCAGTAACTAACGGATCAATGATTAAGGGCGGATTCTCTGGCCAATTTGGAGACGATTTTTCCTTAGCAAAAATGTAGAGAAGTCAATAATTTTCGAGTTATAAGCAATTGGAAAAAATGGGTTTTTTGAAAACTAAACGTTTTGGAGTTAAAAGTCTAACATAATTATATTCTTCAGTTAATTTCAGGTAGTTTATTATAATAAAATTTTAATTTGAGGCTTAGTTATAAAAATACATAATGACAAATATTGGAAAGTTGTAAAAAATGATGACCTTTTTCGATATTTTCGCTGAGGAAAAATCGTTCCCAAATTGACCAAAGAATCCATTTGTAATCGTTGGTCCGTTAGTTACCGGACACCCTGTATAACATTGTATGTATAGAAACTAAACAAAGAGTATCGTAACTGCATATTTTCAAGTAATTTTTTTTTTCAATTCTGAAACGGTTTTTTCTCTTTTTACGAATACCTTCAAGGATCAATATTTTACACATTTTCTTCGCTTTCTTTTTTCTATTTTCTTTATTTTTAGTTTCTATAGAATTTGTAGGATATACTGAAAATAGTCTTTTGTTGGTATTGTCCAATTAAAATTTTTAGAATTCCCTTGGCGACAATAAGTTATTACATATTGCCAGTGACTATTATTTTATATTGTCAGTTACTATTATTTTACACAAAAGAGGCATCTTTTCTGAAATATTGTCTATAATTATGTAGAAAGTACACAGAAAAAAAATTGGTTAACTTGATTAAACTTTTCAACTAAATACTGTTTTATTAATTGAACATATGAAAATATTTAAATTAAATTTAACCTATTAAATCTAACAAAACGTATATTTAATTTAAATACTAATATATGTTCAATTAACAAAATAGTAAAAATTTTGTTAAAAGATTTAGTCGAGTTAACAAATGTGTTTTCAGTGTATGACTATATATACAGAGATTCAAAGTAATGTTTATGAAAGAATCGTAAAGCAGAATCGTGCGTCCGAAATTCGATGTTTGATCGATTTTGGAGTCACCTCCAAAGAATAAACATCGAACGGTATATCGGAGAAAACGCAGGAAAAATGTAGGGGCGAACCAAGTTTATTCAATGTCAACACCTGTCCAATGTCATCGGCGCGTGCCCCTTTCCGTTCGCAGGCTCGATAATTATGACGTTGAAATATTTTTTAATCGGGACGAAATTATATAAGTATGTCGAGTATAATTTCGACGCAAAATGTATGAAATTTCAATTGAAATTTAAACGAGAAAAAAACTGCGGAACCATCATATCGTTTTTAATACAACAATTATATTATATCACTCAAAAGCAGACTGACAGATAACTATATCTAATATTTATATCTAATAACTGTTCATAACTTTTATTGCATGGAGGAGATTTTCTCTTGGAATTTACCCTGAAAATCAAGGATTTTATAAAATCTTCTCGGATTCATAGTATTTAGCGCAACAAAAAATATTAATATGTACATATATATAATAAAATTAATCGTATCTTATTGTGATAAATCTTAATATTTTAATTGCGTGACAAATATTAATCAGAAAAACCCTTAAATATAATAAAATTCTTCCAATACCATATATACATATATTGTCTCACGATTAGCATATGATTTTTAGATAAATTCTAAGAGAAAATTCTCTCTGTGCGCTAAACGCGATCCCTATAAGCGCATCATATTATTTAATATTCTAGGCGTATTCTTAGAATATTAAAAATTCTAAAAATACGCCTAGAATATTGCTTAAATATTAAATAATATCATGCGTTTACATGAAACTTATGTCAGACTAATGAGATCGCGATCGAGTTGTCGCGGCGCCCCAGTTACGTCGTAAAGACGTACAATTTCGGGCCTTATCGCTTTATGTGATTCGAAAATCTCCGAGGGCAACGGCAAGATGGTACACCGTATGGACCTTTGCGCGGTAGGCAGGAGCCTACAGATGGCAAGCGCCCGATCCCTTGCTTAAATTTTTGACCGCGGTTACCAACGACGACGTGCCCGGATCCTCGTGCCACCTGCTGAACACGTACATATAGAAAGAGAAAGAGAGAGAGAGAGAGAGACGGCTGGGCCACTATTCGTTATAAACGTCACGATTTTCGACAGCCACGAGCGCAATTTCGATGTGATAAATTGTCTCCTTAATCAATCATATTTCGCTTGAATTATGATAGCAAAATTCTACAACTTGCGTTTTCCTCTTTTCTCTTTGGTCACAATTATTTTGGTAGATATATGTCTCTCAATCTAATATTTTATTAATATTAATTAATATTATATTGTTTAACAAAAATGACTTTTTTCAAACACCGGAAAGAGACGTTTTTTGAATATTGAATTTAATATTTTATTAATATTAATTAATATTATATTGTTTAACGAGAAATGACTTTTTTCAAACACCGGAAAGAGATGTTTTTTTTGAATATTGAATACGAATCTGGTTTCCAAATTGCTCTATCATGTCACAATTTTGAGAAATTTTTAATTAAAATTACACAAAGTTATTTCATCATATTTATAACTACAAAAATTTCCAGATTCAAAATGGTACTCATCAATACAGGGTGTCCGGTAACTAACGGACCAACGATGACAAATGGATTCTTTGGTCAATTTGGGAACGATTTTTCCTCAGCGAAAATGTCGAAAAGGGTCATCATTTTTTACAACTATCCAATATTTGTCATTATGTATCTTTATAACTAAGCCTCAAATTAAAATTTTATTATAGTAAACTCTACCTGAAATTAACTGAATAATGTAATTATGTTAGATTTTTAACTCGAAAATTATTGACTTCTCAACATTTTTGCTAAGAAAAAATCGTCTCCAAATTGGCCAGAAATCCGCCCTTAATCATTGGCCCGTTAGTTACCGGACACCCTGTATATGGAAATGTCAAAATTTAAATTACCATTTAAATTTGGCAATTTTGACACTGGATTCGTATTCAGTGGTCTAAAAAATCTTCAAGATTAAATGAATATATTACAATTGAAATCTATTTGGTAGATCGTCAGTGACTTTTACATCCCATTTAACCATGGATATATTTTACGACCAAAAATTTCTTTCGAGGGTTGAAAATCCTAACAATATACTTTTATTTTGATCGCAATAAAACTTCTCTATAGCACGTCACATATTGTAACTATAATATATACATATAGATACACAAAGAATAATTTGGAAATCAGATATTCATATTCATAGCATCCAAAAACGACTAATCTCGTTGGTTAATATTTTTGTTGAACAGTGATTAATTAATTATTAATATTAATTAATATTATACATTTGCTAAGATAGTATATAATCCTATATATACGATGTACACAAATTTCAACGCAACACAAAGAGAGGCGATTATTATCGTCAGTCTCATCAGTATGTTATCGTCGCTCGAGATTTACTCGTCTTTCGGAAGGCGTTCCCCTTTTTCGTCGCGGTGGAATCCTTTTTCTTTTCTAAAGAGAACCGCATTCTCTCCACTTCGCGTCCGATCAATCGCGTGAGGACCGTTTCTCACGCTTCGATTTTTTTTCCCTTCTGCCACGTCGCGTAACTCGTATTTCCACGTGCGTATATATATATATATATATATATATATATATATATATATATATATATGCAACGAAGGTAGAGAGAAAAAGGGAGAAAGAGAGAGAGAAAATAATGTCGAGAATATTGAATCGCTGCGTGTATTTACAAACGATCACGCGGCCAGGAGATGTTACAGTTGAAGACGAGTTTTGAAAAAGCTTTGTTCGCGTTCGCGAGAGCGAGGAAGTAGGTCTGTTCTGCGCGCGCGCGCACATATTTGTGCGTGTGCGCGCGTATGTATGTTTGAGCGCGAGCAAAGCGCTGCCGGAAGTTGAAACGCACGTAATAATGCTCCTGGGTGCGCCGCGTGGCTGGCTATTTTTCGCTTCACTGGCAAATAAAAACAATGTAACGATCTCGGATTTTAGCGGAGCGACTCTCGACGCTTCGCTAAAATTCATCGCTTTTCCTATCGCGAGAGATTTTCGCCCCGAGGAGAAAATCCGCCTTTTCTTCACCTATTTTTATTATGTTGCAAAAATTCACGAAAATGTGAAAAAGGATCTAGAAATGCTGATATGACGTAAATGACGTCATCTTGGCGACTCGACGAGGCCGGATGTAGTTTTCTGAATTTTTTATAAATATATATATTGTAATTTTATTTTTCATCCAATTGTTGAAATTGAATGAAGAGACATCCAACGGAGAAAGAATGAATTATCGATTTATCGACATTAGATACAGATGTTTCCTACTTTATCGATCGTAGTTACGCTTTTTGACATTTGCACGAGATACATACATATATATGTGTGTGCATATAACGGGATGTTGTATATTTGGTGAGGGCCTTTCACCTCTGGGCGACACGAATCTATTCCGATGATCTGGTGTCGCGATGACAGGGACAGGATCAGAAAGCGTTCTTTTCTCATTGTGTCTTAAAATAGAACCATACTTGAGAAACACGCCTGACAGTCGAATTACAATATCTACGTCAAATATGTAGTCTGACAAATGTGCCAATTAAATTCGCGAGAATACTTGTTACTTCGCAAATTACAGTATAAACCACTTCCTGGGGCCTTCGAGAGATCCTAGATAAATTTGCGTAACAGTCTATCAACCGAGAAACTCGCATTTATCTCGCAGACACGAATAATTCATAAACTCGGAAAGAAGTTATCAAATTTTATACATATGTTTATATTTTATACATATGTTTATATTTTTATATTTAAATTTTATATAAATATATATAATTTATAAAAAATATATATATTAAATATTAAGAGACATGACTGAAACCAAAAATAATACAGTGCGAGTGGTGTTTGTATCTTTGCTGTTGGATCTTTTAGCATTTACAATGATATTACCACTGTTGCCGGCACTATTGGATCATTACAAAGAAATAGAAAATGGACATGGTTTATACTCCACTATTTTGACCTATATAAAGAGCATGCAAGTGTTCTTTGACGCACCGGATAAAGTCAGTACAGTTCTCTATGGAGGTATTGATATAATATGCATAAAATATTTATTCATATGTAATTTATTGAAGTAATCTACATATTTTATCTAAAATTGCATTTTTGTATAAATTATTAAATACATGATACACAGTGTAAAATAATATAAATTTCATTACAGGTTTCCTAGGCTCTATGTACTCCTTCTTACAATTTTTGGGATCGCCAATCATAGGAGCATTATCTGATATTTACGGACGAAAACCTCTAATGCTTTTATGTTTAACAGGCATTTCGCTTTCATATCTTTTATGGGCTTTCTCTACAAATTTTGGTTTATTTGTATTTGCAAGATTTGTGGGAGGCATCAGTAAAGGCAATATTAGTCTGTCAATGGCTATTATCAGCGATGTTACTTGCCCAAAAACAAGAGGCAAAGCAATGGTATAATAGATAAACGAATATTAAATAAATGATACATATAAAATGAATACTATTTACTTAAAATTTTTTTTCTTTTTGCAGGCGCTTGTAGGAATAGCCTTCTCCATAGGTTTTGTGGTGGGACCAATGATAGGGGCATTTTTTGCTTGGATCTCGAGTGGTAATAGGGAAGGCACATGGTACGTGATACCGGCCTTATTTGCATTTTTCCTGGCCTTAAGTGACTTATTTTTTGTTGCTTACTATCTCAAAGAGAGTCTAGAATTAAAATATAGAGCAACCACATTAGCGAAAGGACTATCTGGGGCAATTTCATACATCAATCCTATAGATCTTTTCCAATTTAATGGAGTGGCCAACTTGAATCAGCAAGGTATATATTTCTAATATAGAAAGCAACTTGCATCGTGTATATAATGCATGGTAGAGTGCTATAATATTACTATTAATAATTTTATAATAGTTATCAAAGAAGTTGTAGCAGTTGTAAATATTAAATCATAAGAATATAGCAGAGAAGAATGAGAACTGTAATGAGTTTTAATACTTGTAATTTTTATTTTCAGAGCAACAAGATTTAAAAATACTGGGTCGAGCATATTTTATATATTTGTTTATCTACAGTGGTTTAGAGTTTACTCTGACATTCTTAACACACCATACATTTGGATTTACAAGTATGCAACAGGGATGGATGTTCCTTGGAATGGGATTAATTATGGCAATTTTACAGGGTGGTTGGGTACGACATATTCCTCCAAATAGAACAAAAGCCATCAGTGAACTGGTAAAGAAGCCTAATTTAATTTTTTTTTTTTTTTTTCGATTTTCTCGTTTCTAATATTACAAATAATATCTTTGTATTAAATATTTTTTTTATTCTAGGGTTTATGGTTGATAATTCCAGCATTTATATGCATCGGTGTTGCAACTGGTGTATCGCTTTTATGCATAGGGATTTTTCTTTTCGCAGTGTGTGAGTATTATATTTATTTTTATTGATATTACAAGTTACTTGAGTTTATCATTAAGCACATACATATATCTATACACTATGATACATTTCTAATAATAACTATCATTCTATATTTTGTCCTTTTTTGCAGCCACTGCTATGGTTGTTACTTGTATGATGACTCTAGTGACACGTATTGGGCCAGAAAATCAAAAAGGCGTAATTACAGGAACATTTCGTTCTCTTGGTGCATTAGCTCGCGCTTGTGGACCTATCGTTGCGTCTTCAGGTATTAAAGTGAATCAAATTCGTGCGAAAATGCTTCTATTTCGTCGATCACGGTTTCTCGACTATATCTACATTTCTATTTCAGCATTTTGGTGTATTGGAAGTGCCTCGACCTATTTAACCGGTGCTCTACTTTTGACACTACCGCCGCTTATTTTGCATGGTATGCGTGACTTATAATATTTGACATAGTCAAATATTATGTTATAATTTGTACTAAACAATTTCTACTTTTATCAACAGTATTTTATATATATATTTTTATATATTTTTGCCTTTGCTGCCTTTTAAAGATAATTAATATATAGTAGCATATAAAAAAAATGCTATCAAATATTTAATGCATATTATACTTACTATAGAGATTGTATTTATACTTTGCATATTCCTTATTGATATTACATATTATATTTTATAAAAAATATATATTTCTACAGAAAAAAATATATACATATATAATATGTATATAATTTTATTTAAATTTGTGAAAAAGATTTTAAAAAATTGTTATATATATATACACAAATTATATATAATTTTATACAAGGATTTATATAAATTATGTAAAGAATTACACTTTGATATTATTTTTAACATTAATTCTATTTATTATATATAGTTATATAATTCCTGTATTAAAAAAAAAAAGAAAACGAATATTTAAACATATATTGCGCACAATATTGGAATCCCGCCACCGTGATTTATCAATAAGTAATACATATACATATGATAATCTATTATTCTTACTTGGAATAATTTAACTTGTCGCGCGACATTCGCGCGCGGTGACATTTGATTTTTCTCAGGATGCGTTTGACACTTGACATTTGATACCGCGAATAAACTACATTTCATTTTATTTGTTTGCCAGTAGCATTGGGAGCAAAATTTTTTTTGTATTCCAGTCAATGACAATTCTTTGAAATTTTGCGATGTGCTCCGTACAAACATCTCACGCGTCGGTTTATATATGCAATAGGATGGAGATGATGAGGTAGCGCGCGGGCGAGAGAAAAAGTGAGCTGTCTGCACTGTTTATCGATAAATCACATTCGCGCGGCGAGTGCGCATGTTCTCGGTGGATCACGTGGCCGTTCCCACTCCTCCCACTCGCCCCTCCACCGGCGCCATTTACGGTAGCGGCGGATTCCGGGAATTACCGTGCCGTCATTTTGTCGTCACCCACGTCGCCTGTCAGGCGCAGCGGGGCTCGCGGGCAGCAAACGACGATTGGAGCAGGAAACGGCGCTGGAGAACGACGACGTCTCGTGGTAAGGCGAATTTGGTCGGGAGGAGGGACGCGAGCTCTCCCAACTCCCGTCTACGTTTATTGATGGGTGCTGATAAATAACGCGAGTGACCGCCCTCCCTATTATTTCAGCTCGCCTGATTAATTCCTGAGTCACTTCGTCGCGGACACCAAAGGCGCATTTCGCGAAGGAACGGAACGGTAGATAGAAGGCGAACTTCAGGAGACGACGTCGACCTCGTCGGTGACGGTGGAAGTAAGAGAGGACGTCGAGCGACGACGTCGGACACGCAATTGTGCGTGTTACGTCTCGTGAGATTGTTACGAAATTAAAGAGAGAGAAGGTAAGCGAGATGAACATATATTATATTATATATTATTCATAAGGACTTTTGAGAATGGATTGTTTGTCGAGTAATCGTTGCGCGAGCTTTTTGCTCGTCTTCTTTGCTCCATCTTCCTTCCCTCCTCTCCCCACCTCCTTCTTCTTCCTCCTCCCATCATCCTTTCCTTCTTCCTTGTTCCCTCCTCTTCTATATGTACGTGTGCTCCCGGTTCTTTTTATCTATCTACGCGTTACGCAGTGGGATTTTTTTTTTTTTTTTTTTTTTTTAAATTCAGGCCGGGAAAGAGCGACTTTGAAAACGCGCGCAACGCGATTCCTTCCTGATTCTTTATTCCAGTGATTTTTTATTCCACTCCCGCGCGAAATCCGTGCGCGTTAAGTTTCTACGCATCTCCGTTTTTATTCTCTCACTCTCGGAGCAGCCAAGCATCTATCGATAAAGCGCAGACGTGCCTCCATTCCGATGAGCATGTCGGCATTGCGAGTGATAAGTCGCATTCCTCGAGATTGTTCGTAGATTTTTATTTTTCCATTGTTTTCTTATTCGTTTTATCTCGCAAGATTGTTCGCAGATTTTTGTTAACGGTTCTCGTAATTTCGAGAAAATTATATGTTATATCCATCTCTCTCTCTCTGGTTGAATGTGAGATAATTATTAATTAATGATTAAATTAAATGGCGCCGATAGATAAATACAAATTTAGGTAGGAAACTGAGTAAAAGTCCGTTTGACTTAATTGAAGATTTGCAGTTTTCTGTGCTTTGGTTCTTATTAGTCTCGGTTTCCTACTTGAATTACTATATAATTGCTTGTTAAATACAGATAAGTGTATTTATGTATTGTATCTAATGTGTGTACAATGAAAAACTAGTATATGACTATTATATGACGTCGAGAATCTATCCAAGAACAGAAAAGTTAAAATAATGTCAATTTAATGTCATACTGATCAAATTTGGAATTCAAATTGACATCATTTTGACTTTCTGTTCTACTTGGATAACTATATCAGTGATTTGCTGGGTACAGGACACCCTATATATTTGTACAATGAGATAATTATATCATTTTTCTATTAGATAATAGACAAATTATAATTGTACAATGTTTTTATAATATTTGATTAAACTTTGCAGTAGCAAACTGCAGTCCTTTATTGTTAACGTCAAATAATGTTTAACAATTTGAATAATTTATTTAAATCTTTCCATTACTATATGAAGCTGTAAACACTAAAAAGAATATATTTCTCTATATGAGAAAAATAAATTATTTATCAATGTAACACGTATAATTAATGTAACATAATGTTTATTTTTATCAGAGATTGACATCATTATAAAGTATGGCATTGTGGGCGAGAGCACAGCAATTGCCGAAAGATTTACTCGAAGAAGTACGTTCTCTATACACTGACAATACATTTCCAATTGAAGTGCGACATTTTTTGTCACAATGGATAGAAGAAAAGCTATTGTAAGTAAGATACAAATAATCAATTTATAGAAATACTGATAGTTTATGATGCGCTTATATTATTGCCTTACAATTTTGCTTAAACTAACATTTAGTCTTTAATGTTTATTTCTATTTAATTTAAGCTCACACAATAATTTATATTATTTTACTACTCATGCTTAAAGCTAACTTAAAATCTAAACTTAAGCTCAGTCTATCACAGACATACACATGCACACGCCTAATGCTATACAATTCATTTTAATGTTTCCCCAGGAGACCTTCAGTTTTTCTGTGCATTTTTTATTTAACTTTTTTTTCATTACTTGCAACTTCTCTATTTTCCTATTTTTCACATATGTTTATATGTTCCCTTTTCTATTTCTTTCTTTTTACCGCCCTGTATTTTTTTCTACATACACACACGCACACACACCATAAAATAAAGTCTTAAGTAACTAGTCGCTATTTGAGCCTACTTTTTAGTTTGCGAAATAAATATATCTTAAATTTCAATTTTTCTACATTGAAGTCGTAATTAAGATATATTAAATACTTTTTAGTACACTATTAACATAATTTTATTTTAAACATTTTACAATGTTATAATTTATTTTTAACAATTTATTATATCATATTGTAACGGCGGACAACTACCAACAATAAAACCAGATCATTACCGTATAATTAAACCGAATGGTTGCAGAATGCAAATATAAATTAGAATATATTAAAGTTTTACATATGTACATTCTCAGTAACGCGTTTCTGAATAATTCTTCACAACGAGGCATTGAGTCAATTAAATGATGACAATGCTCGATCGGAAATTCGTCTGAAAGCTCGTACTAAGAAACCTTATGAACCTTAATTTATTCTAATTTATATTCATATTCTTCAATCATTTAGTTGATATTCTTGAAAATTTTGCTTCGATAAATCCTTAAAATAATATGCGTGTATACGTAAAATATATTTAAGAATAATGTTTTAGAAAAACTTAATGTGAAAACCGAATCTATTAAATAGTACGATATCTCGTTCTCATCATTTACAATCGTTTAGTTTAATCTGTATGATATTGGTTTGATGTGGTCTTTGTATGTTGTACATTTAAAGTAAAGTTAATATTATAATTACATAGCATTTAACGTATCTTAAGTATGACTTTAATATAAGACTGAAATGTGTGAAATAAGACACACATATACATACATATTTGTTTCATAAACTATAAGAAGTGATCTGAGATAACTGGCTGCAACTGTGTATTTTATACATGCTGTATGTCGTTTATACATGTTATATTTATATATATTAGATCATTATCTTAATATTTTACAATTAAAATAATAATGATAGTATGACATAGTATGAATGAATGATAGTATGAATGACATATTAATAACTATTAGTTAATAGTTAATTAAAAAATGAATTATTTGATTTAGTTTACATTATACACATATGTATACACTTTAATATCGATTTTTAATTTTTCTTTAAATTTATTTTTTAAATTAAAGCACTGAATACATACATGTATACATATATATAACTTTAGTTATACTTTATAGAAATATTGTAGAACCAAATATTCAAAACGAACAATATATAACTGGTCTTATTGGATCTTTGATCCAAGAGTTAGAAACAAAAATAAATAATATACACGGTGGAGATCTGTTTTTGATGAAATTAAAGTTACAAGAGGCTGTTAAACTATTTCGGGTAAGTAACATATCTTTTCTCACGTCGTCTTGTGTTATATCTCATAATTTAATCGAATGAAAATGTTATATTTGTTCTTAAATAATTATATTTGCATTGCAGCAAAAATATGATGAAGATCCCCTCAGGCTGTTTCATACCATTAGGTATTGCCTTGGGACGGAGATGAAACTTGTGGCACAAGCTGAAAATTTAGGAAACACATTTGTAAGTAACGACAAGAAGATGCCCACAAATCCTGAAATAAGTCACGTACTCGGATTCTTGAAGCAAAGACTTTGCGAGAACATGCATAGTTTACGAAAGATTGAAGAGGAACAAGAAGCTTTTGCTCTTCATTATCATGAATGTACAAAGCTAAATGCTACTTTGCAGCATCTTAATACACAGCCACAGAATCACCAAAATATGGACGTAAAGGAAAAACTCCTAAGGTAAAATAATCCAAACAGTTATTCTATTCAGATATTCAGATTCATATTTTGCAAAGTACTTGTCAAATCTTGTTATTAGATATTTTATATAAATATATTGATTAAATTACAGACAAAAAGAACTTATGGAGCAGCAATTGAGTAGCAAATTAGCTCTTGTATTACACTTACGCATGGACTTTATCGATAAAATGAAAGAGACCATTAATAGTTTGAATTCATTGCAATCGAAAGTCCTTGATGAAGAACTTATTAGGTAAAATATAACATATATAAAATATGTGTGTTTTATCAAATTTTGATATAATTTTAATATTTTACTCAGTTGGAAGAGAGATCAACAGTTAGCGGGCAATGGAGCAACTTTCAGCAGTAATTTGGATATCATTCAGAACTGGTGCGAGAGTCTTGCTGATATAATTTGGCATACTCGGCAACAAATCAAAGAGGCGGAAATTCTGAAGAACAAGTTCTCGTATGAACAATCAATGATACCCGACATTTTCCCAAGTTTAAACACCCAAATTACGCAACTACTCAGTTCGTTAGTTACGAGTACTTTTATCATAGAAAAACAACCGCCTCAAGTTATGAAAACCAATACTCGTTTTACGAGCACAGTACGTCTTCTCGTTGGCGCCAAATTAAACGTTCACATGACACCGCCGCAAGTAAAAGTGAGCATAATCAGCGAATCGCAAGCGAATGCTTTGTTGAAGAACGACAAAATGGCGAAGAATGGCGAAGCCAGCGGCGAGATTTTAAATAACACTGGCACGATGGAGTATCATCAGGTTTGAATATTTAACGAGACAAAAATATATTTTTTTTTATAAATGTAATAATATAAAACAGATAATTAAATAATATGACGATAATTTTGTAATGCTTTAATAGGCGGCTGGACAACTTTCAGTGAGTTTTCGCAACATGCAGTTGAAAAAGATTAAGCGAGCTGAGAAGAAGGGCACAGAATCCGTGATGGACGAGAAATTTTCGTTATTGTTCCAATCGCAATTCAGTGTCGGCGGCGGCGAATTAGTATTCCAAGTTTGGACTCTAAGTTTACCTGTGGTCGTAATTGTACATGGGAATCAGGAACCACATGCTTGGGCTACAGTTACTTGGGACAATGCTTTCGCTGAAGCAGGCAGAGTGCCATTTGTTGTGCCTGACAAAGTATTATGGCGACAAGTAGCAGAAGCCTTAAATATGAAATTTCGCTCGGCGACCGGTCGCGCTTTGACCGGAGAAAATCTCAAATTTCTTGCGGAAAAGGCATTTCGCACTGTCCTGCCAGATTACTCGAATACACCTCTGAGTTGGGCACAATTTTGTAAGGAACCATTGCCCGAGAGAAGCTTTACGTTCTGGGAATGGTTTTATGCTATCATGAAGTTGACCAGGGAACATTTAAAAAATCCATGGATGGATGGGTGCATTCTTGGATTTATTCGGAAGAAGAAAGCGGAAGAAATACTGGCAACCTGTCCACCAGGCACTTTCTTGATGCGATTTTCTGATTCTGAACTCGGTGGTATTACTATTGCATGGGTTGGAGGTAAAATATTATTGAAAACTCGAAACTATATTACGTTATATTGTGTGATGTTTACGCTGATAGGAATATTATGTTAATTTCTTGTATCTTAATCTTTTCTAGATCAAACGGATCAAGTTTTTATGCTGCAGCCGTTTACGAGCAAAGACTTTGCCATTCGTAGCTTGGGCGATCGCGTTTACGATCTACAGCACTTGTTATATCTCTATCCAAATCAAATAAAAGACCAAGTTTTTGCCAGATACTGCACACCACCGAATGGTAGGTTTTGAATTTTACAATGAATCAATTTATTTATCTTATTGAATAAGTCAATTAATAATAATTAATTGGTTTCCACAGACACCCAAACATCGACGAACGGGTATATCAAGCCACAGTTAGTCGTGCAAGTGCCAGCTTGTTTCACAGGCAGTCAAACGCCATCTCATTCCTCCTTAGCGGGCATGAATAATAATGGCCAGACTGGACCAGGAAGCTATCCCGCCACCCCAAATATGTTTCAAGCACACAGCCCCGATCCTTCTGTAAGGGACACGTCGTCTGTAGCACCAAGGTCAGTTCCTTGGCAATTATCTAATCGACAATCTTGATTCAATTTTTCAAATTGATTCCGATTGATAACTTAATCGTATGTTAAGATAGATATATAATATAGATACGTTTATTGAAACGCATGTTCGATTTTTTTAACGAATCTCAAGTTGCACGAGATGTTTAGTAATCGAATAAAAAGTAGAACTTTTTTTTTACTAGTTGTGCACTTTTCGAAAAAAATAATTTTTTTTTATATGGATAGGAAAAATAGTCTATGTTTTTCACTTTTTGTATTTTCGATAAATCGCCTTTCGTTGGTTGTGAAATTTAATATGAATTCCCGAATGGTCCATTATTTATATTTTGTGAACAATAATCTAAGATAGAAATTCGATATCTTTGAATTGCCGCTCTAAAAAATGCGCAGTATAATTAAATAAATATAAAAACGTATATATGTATAAATATGTATTTTATGTATAATACATATTTATAAATACATATACATATGTATTGTGTGCATATTCACAAATACATTATACATATGTATTATACTTAAATAGTTAAATATGTAAGAGACGTTAATTAATATTGTTTGTGAATTGTTTTGATGACAAAGAAGATTTCATTTTTTGTTTTATTAGTAAATGCATTTTACGTAATACCAGAATATGCAAAATGTGTCCTAAAAGCTGCACTATCGAAGACAATGATATGTGTGTGAGCTTATTTCAAAATGCATAATCTTTAAAGTTGAAAACAAGAATTGTGAAACATTCCTTGCGACTAGCTCATACTCTGCATATCTTCTGGATCTCTATTACATACAGAAATAATCATTCTTTCATTTTTTCTTTTTTTCGTAAATATTTTTTGACAAAGCTTTGTAGAGAAATAAATGTAGTGGTAATTACGTACGCGCACGGATACTTTTTGTATAGACATTTTTACATTTATATTTTATAATTCAGCTATGACAGAAGAAATCTATATACATCAAAATATACAAGTCATATCTAATTGATTTTATGAATAATACTGTATATATTGGACGAGATTATTCCCTATATATATATAAGCATAACCGTTATTTGCATTCTCATTAACGCAAGTATTGATACAAATAACAATTATTTTTGAAAATATACAAAATATGTAGAATGTATGAATATATATGATTCGGTTATTCAACATAATGACAATCATGTTAAATTGTTAATATTTATCTTTCTCTCTTTTTTTTGTTATTTTTTTTTGTATATTTTTCATGATGATTATTTATTGTCCTAGTATTTTCGTCCAATAGGTACAGTAATTGAATCAACTATCTATAAATTTAGTATTAACGGGCAATATTAAGTCAGTATTAGGCCAGTGGCACGTACATTAAATATTAATTTATCAAACTGTTGTAGTATTTGCACAAAAAATGAATATATTCTATACATTATTACAAATATAAGTGCCTTTATATACAATTATATTTTAACTTTAGATATTATTAGCAATTAATGCATTAGGTTGTGTAATTGATAAATTAAAAATTCGATCTCTGATTTTCTACTGAAATTTTTATTATTGTTTATTTTTTAACGTTAATATGTATAAATATCTGTGTTGTACGAATAATTAGATTTATAACAAGAAATTCAAATTTATAAATAAATTTATATTATGCAGAAAACTAAAATGTGTGAGGCTCTAATAAATAATATTAAAACAAGAAGAAAACAATCTAATCAGTGCTAAGCATAGAAGATAGAATAGCTAATTATCTTCAAATAAATTACTTTAATTATTCAGATTAACATTTCGATCTCTTTTCGGAATAATTAAAGGAATTTTTCGAAAATAATTATTTGCCTTATTTTCTGAGCTTAGCTCTCGTTAGTCCGTTTCTTGTGAATTATTGTGAAGATATATACTTCATTTTAACAGATGGAATTGACACATCGATTTCTTCTCTCTTCTAGCATTCCTCTATTCTCGGTCTTTCCCTTATTACGAATCAGTCGCTTTCTTCTAAAATCTAGAATTTCTTCCAAACTCTAGAATTCTCTTTTCGTGCTGTTCTCTTATTACTCATTGTCAAATTTACCTTGTAATTATATAACTATGTGAAAATTACAGAGTGTGTTCAATGACATTTTAGGGAATGTTTTAGAATAGAGGAAAATCGGTTCTAGGGGTCGAGTATGTATCTTGGATGAGTTTGCTCACGAGATGAAAATTACAATGGAACAGATTTACTAGATTCGAATGAAACCGTAGATACTCTAGGAATTTGCTCATTTTTATAATTTTCACCTCGTGAATAACTCACCCAAGATACACAATCGACCTTCTGATGATATGTACATATATGTACATATATAGAATAGAAAAAGAATCGATTGTATTTGTATCATTGCATTGTATAAAACTCGTACAATTGTGTATCTAAATTGCGGACCAATCAGAAATATTATTAATTAATTAATACGTAATTAATTTTTCGACTGCCAAGTATTTTTCTATGATTCACTTTTTGAATGCAACGGCATGTTATGGCTTAATATATAATATATAGCTTTTGTATTATGAACTTTTGCGCATTACTAGCTCATATGATGTTGTATATATAAAGTGCATACAGTATAAATATTTGTATGTTGAAAAATAATGCACATTTATGATGAATAGAATATGAATAGATGATGAACCTCCCAATTTTAGTATTAATTTAATTATTGTGTCCGAAAAAGCCGGAGCAAAAGCACCGGCTTTTACACCGGCCGGTACAACACCAACGAAAAATTTGATACTATCCTGCGAAATACAGCTCCAATCACTCGCAGCTGGCAATTGAGTAACGTCGTTATTTGCAAACTCATCGGAATATACGTGTATCGTCATTTCGTTGCCTCGTGCTACGCACGAGTCAAGGAATTGAAGGAAAAAAAAAACAAACCACTCACACGACTTCCTCTTTTGCTTTTCTTAAGAACAAATGGCCGATCTAACAACCAATTACTTTGGTTCGGGTGGGTTCTCTTGTGATTGTCATTCATATTCCCCTTTTTGCCGTGTTGTACCGGCTATACCGGCTATAATCGGTCACCTCCAAAAGAAAAAGTAGTAGATAGAAGCTCACGCACTTCTCTCGGACTTGTAAATAGAAAGAAATATGAAAGAAAGGGAGAGATTTTTAAGCTTGTAATACTTTATTACCAACGAATTGCCAGTGATTGGAGATGTGTTTTGATCTGTGATAGTGATTACGCTACGGGTCTCGGCCTGTCAAGCATCGGACCATCGACCAACTTGGAGTTGGAACCCATGGATTCCATGGATCACATGAATCTGCCGATGGAAATACAGATGGGAAATATGAACCAGTTTGAAAATATACAACAGATGAATTTTAATGACTTCATGCAGTCGTACAACGCTATTAAGCCGCAGTAAGAGGTATGCGAAATGTATATCTTTTATCGTTTGAGAAAGATCCGATGAATTATGATGGTCGCAAAATGCGATCTTAATTTTTTATTTTTCTTCGATCTCTGTTATTTTACTTTTACACAAACAAGACGGTTTACACAAATTGATGAAACAACAGGATATATATATATATATATATATATATATATATATATATATATATACAGTGATATGTTAATTATTATTTAAAGAGAGGGATACTAATGTATCCTAAAATAAAATATGTAAACTACGTTCTTTTTTTTCGCTTTTTAAAAATAATAATACAATTGGTACACTGAAAAAATTACTGAATTGGAATAAATATTTCAATACTGCGTAATAAATCATTTATTTGAAACTAATATTGATTTAATATGAAATATATTTATTTGTTTCAAATAAATGATTCATTAGGTATAGGTATTGAAATAAATATTTATTAATTTAATAATATTTTTCACTGTACTCATACACACACAGACACACAATCACATAATTACGAGAGAAGTTTGGCTTTTTTACATTTTTAGAAAATTGTAAAAAGCAGAGAGTTGTTATATATTAGAACCCCGCTATTCTCAATCATCTTCTTTATTCTAAATTTCACATTATTTTGAATCAGCCGTGATTTGGAATTTCCCTCTTACGCTGTTCTCCCGCTACGCATTCGTCATCTAATTATGCGTAAAGCGAGAAAGCGAATAAAAGATAAAAAACGCGGAACGTTGGTATTTTCGTTCTACACATGTGCCATTTAGAGTTGAGGGAAGATTTCAAATTAAAAGGAGAATTCGATCATTCCAGAATTAGAAGGGTGTTCTATTACACACACATATATATATATATATATATTTATATATACAGTGAGAAACTCCCGGTTGCAGATACGATTTTTGATCCCGTTGTAAGCAAACGAGTCTCGGATTCTCGATCGAGAGATGCTTAAGCTTTGATAACAATGAGAAACAATTTCTGAAGATTGAAAATAGCCACTGCTTTATTAATGGAAAGTGGCCAAGCAATGTGTGCTTACAATCGGGAATCACTGTGTATATATATTTACATAAAATAGTAGCATAAGTGCAATAAAGGCCGAGGATCTTTGCACAACATACTGATACGCGTGAATGTACGAAAATATATCTTTGTATTTATTTTTACACAATATTTCGTAAACGAAAATTGTGAATTCTTCCCGTAAATGTAACTTTCTGGATTGAAAAACGGAGGATCCTTCGGCGTTGGGTCAATGTTTTCTTTCTACTACGTCTAATCTTTTTCTTTTTTTATTTCTTACACTTTATATATAATGAATTTATATTAGTGAGAAAGCGACCAAAAACTATTTCTTTGTGTTCGCACTATAGTTGACGTTTTGATGATATTTTATCAAATCTTTGTTTTCTCTTGACTTCTTCATGTCACCTCCATTTATCATTTAACAATTTTAGCTTAAATTTTGTAGTCTATAAAGAAATCTACGTACAAAGATTGTTATTGAATTATCTACGATATACAAAGCATTAAGAGGACTTGTGTAATTATAAATATAATTGCACATTATATATATATATATATAAAAATAGCGATTTAATTAATATCTATACATTGTATGACATATATATATATATATATATATAACAATTATTTTTATCAAATGCTTACATCGTAGGAAAAATTAGCAGATAATCTGTGAAACGTGCTCATTTTTTCTCTTTTTTTAAATAATAATAATTCGTAGGTTTGACAAATTAATTCTTTATACTTTTAGAGAACTGTAAAAAAAAGCAAAGTTACTGTTACGTTCAAATTTAAATATGTTTAAGAATTAGATATAGAAACTAGATATTAATCGAAGAGATTTTGAGAGTACAAGATGTTAAACAAGAAATAGACAATCACCTTCACATAATACATGATCACATAGTCAAATTACATTTGAATGTGTCTTTCAGATTTTTTGAAAAGGATATCGAATGAAAAAAAAAGAACTAGTTAAAAATATCTGATTTGTAGACGCATTTGGTTTGAGTTTTAGGAAAAGAGATCAAATCGCGAAAAGAGTGCAATGTGATATGATCTTTTAAGTGCCTTACAATTCTTTAAACCTTGTACTAAATTTTTCAAGATTCTAGCCGGTATAAAAGAATATCAAATTTTTAATTAGTTCTTATTTTATGTATATCTTAAGCGTTATTCTCCGCAATATTAGATTATTTATATATATATACACACACACATATGATTTATTATATATACATATACATGATTTTATCGGAAAAAAACTATTTTTCGCGGAGATTTATATGTACGTTATTTAAGAAATAATCTAATTTTTAGAAAAGAAAGAAAGAATAAAAAATATAAAAAGTAAAGGAGATGTAAACAGAGCATATGCCTAACTTTGGACACACGTATACACATCGTAAGCTTAGAGTTAAACTTACTATGATGTCTATTTTCTTCCTTATATACATATGTGTCTTATGCACATATTTTAACAAGAGAAAATCTGTCAATTGTTATATATACTTATGTACCCATAATGTAAAACACGAATTCGTCAGGAATAGAAATATATACACACACATCGTCCTTATATATTATTATACGAGTATGTGTGTTTCGAGTAAATGTAGACGTAATCATCTATTGATCTTTTTATCGAAAATTAGAGTTTATTTTATCAAGAACGTTTAAGCGAGAAATAACTATTATATTATTGCTATGCACATCTTGTTTACTATATTACTACGTAAATTTGACATAACATGCATGTTTACGCAATAAAGTACGTTGTAAATCAATATACCGGCTATTTATTGCCATGTATTTAGAATAGAATTATCATACGATTATTATCAAAGAGCAAAATGTATAAACCTGCTCATTCTTGCTCTTTCATTCATCTCTGATATTAACTCGTTAGAATCTTTACGATGTAAATATAATAAGAATTAGTATCAGTTCTAATTGAACAATTCTAATTGGAGCAGTTGTTCCTACATTTTTTCCACAAATCTCTTAGTACATTTGAAAAACATACATGGATATTTTCCTTTAGAAGATTTATAAAAAATTTTGATTATTTTGTCTCATTCTAAAGTAATTTTATTTTTAATGTATAAAATTTTTGTCACCAAGAAAGGTAATGAATTAAAATAATATATTGTATAATATATCAACAAGTGTACATTGTATCTAATTTAAGAGCGTTTAAGATTCTACTCCTGCCGGAGTAGATGAAGAGATGTCATCTTGCTGATCGATTGGACACGGACACGTATCGTCCTCGACGTAGTGACCTGGTGCGGGATAGCTCATGTGGTAGACCGTGTCGCCGGCCATCGGATGTTCGGGCGACCGATATTTACTCTTCTGGGCCCACGAGAGTTCTTCCTTAGGTATCGACGTCCACGCCTGATACGATAATTTATTTATCGTTTCGGAGTCGATCTTAATTTCCGGCCTGTGGAACATAAAATGAAATGTATTGCATCTGAAAAAATGAGCTAAGCATTGTCGTAAGAATATCATTTAATTAAACGTCTCGTTTTATAGAAAGAACAGATTTCTTCTCCGAGAGAAAAGAGATTATTCTCTTTTTTTTGTCTTTATATTTTATAAACGATTGTGGTCTTATTTTTTATTCGACGTCTCTCTTCGCGCTTCTCCTTCTTACCTGCGATATTGCATAACTATGGGCTTGTAACTGTGAACAGGTTTTATCGCATCAGGCTTTACGTAAGACAACCTGGTGGTGGTGTCTCCCTCAAACGGTACGTCGACGATGCGGATGTTGTCGAATGGGACGACGAGGTCCGGACGCGACGTCGTTTTCACCATGTATTCGCGACGAGTCGTCGTCTCCGATTGCATTTTGCCGGCTGTTACACCCCTAGCACGTGGCGGCACGAACGGCCTCCGTCTCTCGGTCCAGACTCGTTGATAGCTCAGCTGCAAGGCGACACCGCTCATTAGAAGATATAAATCATGTCGAGATAAAAAAAAACGATTATTCGTTTTTATTCAAGATTAATCGAAGAGAAGAGATATCACCTTACTGGTTGTATCAGCGGACATCTTTACGTCAGGGATAGAAATGCTGCCGCGGGGAAGAAACGGCTCCATGCGCTTCGCGTCACCCGGCAAATAACTCTCTTTGTAAATGGTTTTATCCGCGAATTTGGCGCCGTAAGGTAAAACGTATCCTGTCGTAGGAAGAAACGGCTTTTCCACGGAAACTGCGTCGTTCTCCATATAGCTCTCGGAATAAGTGGTTTTGCCACACATTGCAACATCAGGCGATCTGAATAAAGCCGAATTTAATACGTTAATATTTGTTATATCATACAAACACACAGAAAGAGAACAAAATTAACGTAGAGAGAGAATATATAATTATAATATTTTTTTATAGAGAATATATTGTTTGTGCTACTTGATATATTCTCAAGAGAGTTTTTTTTGTGTGTAAAGATTTAAATCGATATTTTTTTACACAGATACACATGTTGAATGAAGAATAATTTATATTATGACGATTAAATTCATATTATTACTGTATCACAAAATTATAAGAATCAGATTTTTTGCGCGTGATTACATACTTATATACTCCTTTCTGCGTCCAAGGATATAATTCTTTCTTGTCAACGACGAAGGGCTGATAGCTCAACTTGTGCGTCGTCTCTTTGAACAGCGGCTGACTTGATGGGCAGTATTTTGTTATCGGTTTAAAGCTGATTGCAGGTTCAATAGGTCCAGGAGACATGTATGACAGTCTCATCATCGTTCTGTCATCCAAAGGCGCTGAACTTGTGCGGATACTTCCGCAAGGTATAATCATGTCTGGTTTTTCAACATGTTTTGCCATGTAATCGTGACGAACTGTTGTTACAGTTTCCATTGTACCCGGATGCGATATCAGCCTGATAAACAAAATAATATTTAATATTATTAATTAATTGATTAATTTTAATTAATAACGCATCTGAATATATAATAAATATTTAAATATTATTTTAATAATTATATGATGATTATATTTAATGTTATATATAATTATATTATTATAATTATAATCCAAAAATTATTATATAAAATTTAGATAATTATTATATATATAGAATATATAACAAAATTGATTAAAATATAATTATTAATTTGATCTATAAAGAACCCTGCACTAATCATAGGGTAAAATCTATCCCGGTCAAATTAATTGGTTTTTTCATATGTTGTAGCTTATGAAAAAACCAATTGATTTGACCGGGATAGATTTTACTCTATGATTAGTGCGGGATTCTTTTTGCATTGGTGTATCTGGATTGATAAAAGTCGTAGCAATATACTTCAGTTCCACTTTGCTATTATTAGAAACGACTTTTTTTATTTTAACATGACTCATATTTGATCTATTGAAGAAATAAGATATTTGTATGCTCAGAATTGTAATTTTTAATATTTATTTTTTAATTTATATTATATAATTAATAACTATTAAATAATTAATCAGTCTGTATATTTATTAGAATTAGAGAGATATAATATATAATATCTTAATATATCAAAGACTATATATATTTTAGGAAATTAATAATTATATGTATAATTATATGTATAATTAATAAATCATTAGTAAATTTGATTTTTTCTTTAAATTTTGTTTTTATATTAAAAGTACTAATAACTATGTATACATAATTAATAATTATTATCTTCAATCTTTATTTTTATATATTAGAATTTATGATAATTTTAATATACAGTATAGAGTAAAAGTATAAAAATAATAAAATTAAAGTATCGTAATAATACTAGCAAAAATTAATTAAAATAATTGAAATTTTGTTTAAAAAAAATACAAAAATATAGTAAAATTTTGGTATTTTTATTCATTAATAAACATGTTCGTACTCGACATTAAAAATAATTTCCTTCTTTTATACACTTGGAATATATTGTAACGGTGCAAAAAGATATAAGACATTTCTCCATCCTTTTCTCTTACCCACCTACATTTTGGTACAATAGACTCCGCTTTAACGATCTGCCATATAGGCTTGTAGGATAATTGGTTCGTCGTCTCATCGACAAATCTTCCGGTACTTCTCTGAAGACTGTGAATGGGCCGAATCGGTTGAGGTCGCGCGTAACGTCGATCCGCATTCAGATAAGACAAGTGATAAGTTGTGCTGGTGTCGAGTCGCTTTGACGGCGCCTCGTACAAACGTTCTGGTGCGAAGGACTTTGTACGCGGAGGCTGCACGTATCTTTTACGCGCATACTGAATTCGCGTACGAATATTATATAATAATCGTAAATATAAAATAGTATATAAATTACATATGATATTGTGCAATAATAATTATTAATAATTTAAATTATAAATATACATTATTAATGATTGGATAGGCAATCTATCGATTGAATTGTTGTAATGAAAAATTCAACATAGCATACGGAATGTCAATCGTGATTTTAGCTTTGTGTATAAGAATGATTAGTAATAATTATTTGCAAGATGAGGTGAACATTACTTTAGCCTTGCATGGGCACATTATTGTTTTGGCAAATGATAAGGCTTTCCTCTTTGAACACGATTCAACAACCTCCATATTTATCAGCTTTGAATTCCCTTGTCACCGTATCATATATGTATATGTATGCATGCAATGCAGAATTACATTAATATTCTTTTGCATAAAAAACGATATTGTAATAAATGTAAAAAATTTTTAAATAATATTATATATCTCATAGAGTCAAAGTTTTTCATAACATTGTAAAAATCTAATACAATATGTTTGACATACAACACAACATGGTACAGAAACTAACTTCGTGATATTCTCGCCGAGAAAAATATATCTTCGAGATTTGCTCGAGATATCAATTTAGATTCGAATACGACCGTGCATGATTCTTTTTCTCTCGTGGATAAAATGTTTGTAATAGAAAAAAAGAAAATAGGCAAGAATACGATGTCAAAAATTGCACTAGAAACTCTATTTCGTTCATGTATTTCAGTAGCAATTTAATTTGTACTTAATTGTTAGAGCATATTATTATAATTACGTGGAATTTTTCACCAAATTACATATGTGACACGACATGTCTGCCACGAAAGATCACAGTTTAATTTTAAAAAATTGTATACAGCGTTTTATGTATCTAATAATCGACACCTCTTGTGTGTGACAAACTGATGTCACATTATGATGCGAAAGATGAAAAAAAAAGAAAATATCGTATATTCAAATATAAAAGAATATAGGATATTTTATCTTTCAACTTCTCTAAACTGTAGCTGTATGCCATTAGTCATTTTTTAGACGTTGATTTATGCATTATTCTTTTCATCGATTCTTGGCACAAACTACTTTTGTGTATGCACGTGTATGTGGAAGACACGAGAGATGTATTTCAAGCGTGCAATTTGGCTTATGCCTTGTTTTCGTTATGAGTTATATATTATGTATACCTAAATTTCACACGCGCCTAATTTATACTTTCCTCGCACATTAAGCGCATTAAAAGAATTTGTGATTTTTTTTAACATTATATATATATGTATGTATTTACTGTATACAATATATAATTATACGAATATCTTATATCTCAATTCAAAACTGAGAGAAAAGGAGAAATTATAAATATATAAGACAGCCTAAAAGGGATAACCATCTCCTCCCGATCGATCTGCAGCCGCACAGAAATAAAACTTAAGAAGAGAGGTAGAAATGTGTAATAGAATAAACTTAGAAAAATAATTAATTACACATTATTCGCAGGACAGTTCCATCGTCTGACTGACACTGATTCACAAGCACTCGATTTAATTCCCCCATCTTCAACACCAGGAGAAAAACGGACTCTTGTTCTGGAAGCGCTGAGTAAACGTGTCAGAGAATGAAAACAATCTGGGGGCGCCGTTTCCTTTGGCCCTGGAATAAAATAACGCGTGTGAAATTCTGCAAGAAGATCAAGCTGACAAGCATTATATATATCTAATATATAATAATTTGTTGCATTTTTTAAATAAACATAAATAAAAGTATATACTTTTCCACGATTACAGCCGGCATTTGTACCAATTGTACGGGGCTCTTGGCGTCTTTCAGAGCCTGTTGCAGATTCAAGATTTGACCACGCATCACACTCATTTGCCTATCAAAGTGATGCCGATCAAAACCCTTATCTTGCTGAAATAGATGAATAAATTAGACTAATTGTTGCATATAATTGAGACAGACACATACACACGATATAAAACAATTTCTGCAAATAATAAATGTAACTTACTTTAAACAATTGATATAAATCATCGCAGAGATCTTGTACAAAGTTCTGGTCCGAGAGTTGCGGCAGGACTAGTTCTCTCGTGACTTCGCTGAACGGTTGTTTCGCCTGAGTCAACCAAGCCCAATGATAAGGATACGCCCGCCAAGAATCCGGATGCTTGAAAGGAAAGGCCAGGCCGTTGTCTATCGCCGCGATCTTCACTTCACCCTGCTCGGACCCGTTTTTACTGACACTAGTATCATACTTGATCAGCCAATTGTCATTACCTACGAGATCGAGATTATCTTGTATATACAAACAATCCAGGTAGCAAGCATACGTTATTTTGACGTCTAATGACGTCAGTTTGCTGCTTGGAAAGATATGATATCAAGCAAGCGGCTCAATCGGCTTTACCTCTGTCTGTATTCCTGATGATATAATCCAGAATGACTAAACGCTCGAACTGAAGTTGAAATTCTCGGCTCAGACGCGCCGGCATCGATTCGTTTTCCCATCGCCTCAGCCAATAATCGGCGTCCTTGTAGCTGTCCACGAAGACTTGGAAGGAGCCGACCTTCGGCGGCAGACCGATGCGATTGAAATGCGATCCTACTGTAGGAAACTGATCCATGATAGCCTGTTTCATGCGCGCCTTCTGACGATCCAGACGTGGATAATTGAACACCTCGCTGACGAGTTTCACTACTCTGGTGTTTGGTACAATGCCAAGACCTAGTTTGCGATCGACTAGACTCGCGCCTGCCTCGCTCAAGTATCCCTGATTCGGGATCAGACAGCTCCTACCGAAGCAACAGGGACAGCAGAGCTTGTGCATCCATTTCGTCCACTTTGGATTCAGCCTGCCGTAAGGTTCCTCGTCCTTTGGCTTGAATACACCTATTATTTTCTAATAAGAACAGTACAAGATCAGCGATACTTGTACATCTCTTTGTTGCGCAAGCTCCTTACTTTTGTAAGAAGACGAGAAAAAAACATCTTACCCCTGCAGGATTTTTGACAAAGTAACTACCACTGGAACCCTGATATATCCTCTCCGGATAAACCCCATTGTCTATCGCACACTCAGCCTGCCACACCAATTCCGTGAACTGAGGGTCATCTACAATGCAAAACATACAGAAACTTAATATCTGCATACAAGGTGACACTATCACTCAGATAATGAGTCACGCATCAATATGCACACAAAACATATATAGAACGCACAAACTGTTTGAAAAAAAAAAAGAAACAAAAGATAATTCGACGAACCTGGAAATCTGTTGAAGGTAACATCGAGCTCCAAGCGACCCAGGAGAGGCTGGCTCTCCCGGTCGATCCCGGAGGAATCTATGGCTAGGGTTTGGTCGTTGCTCAGACCGGGAATGAACTCGACGTCAGGCAGAAGATCCGCAGGCGGTGGCGGCGGCGGAGGCGGTGGAGGTGGCGTTAACTGTCGCTCGTTCTGCGACGACAGACGCGGTTGCTGCTGCTGATGGTGATGGCTGCTGCTGCTGTTGCCGATGGACAGATCCACCAGGGCATCGGTCTCCACGAGAGTGACCGCGGGACCGGTGATGCTGTTCTGACTCTGGTACTCTCGATAAGGCACGTGCAATTGCCGCTGTTCCGAGTCGCTCATTACAGGATTGATCCTGATCGGTGCCGAAGTCGACGACCTTCTTAATCTTTCAGTTTACCACCTCGACGACTCGAGCCTGTCTATACCTTGCGACATGCCCGCGAGCTCTCCTCGTTTCCGCGTGTTCCTCGTCCTCGGTTCTTCTACCTCGATAACGCAGTTCCGTCTCGTGCCAACGTAATGACAGATGCATCAGCATATCCTATGCGTCTATGCGTCATCCAGATCACTGTCTCATGTATTGTGTATGTACGTACGTATTGTGGACTAGAGGAATACGCGACTTGTGGTCATCGATGTTGACAGGGAAGGGGACACTTGCTCCGATTTGACTGATTAACCAAATTTTCATCCGTCATCCCAACCGCGGACACTATCAGCTGATAGGATTACCGCCATACTTGTACGACGCGTATGCACTTTTCTCTCTCTCTCTCTCTCTTTCTTATGTTATATGTGTATATACTGCGGTATACTCTTAACGTCATTGCGAAATTATCATTGATCTTCAACCGCGGGAATTTTTTAATGCCAGAGAATAAAGATATGACAAGATATGTTGACAAGTGCGAGTGCACTTTGAGAATAGATTAAAGATTATCTTCCGGTGAGAACACGTGTGTCGGAGATATTGGAAGGGTTATGGTTCAATGTGGATATATATATTTTTTTCGGGAATCGTAGAAGATATTATATCCTCAAACAGTTTTACAGATTACAAATTTATTTTTTTTTGTCCACATTATATAAGCAAGACTAACAATAAGATATAGGGCTGTTTCATGTGTTCGTGAAAATTCAAACTAAATGTAAATAAATATGGAAGAACGATAGTGAAATTAATCATCAAGTTAAATTATCATGAAACAGTTTATCACATGCATATAACTATATAAATTACTCTTAATAAACTCAAACAACTATAACAATGTTTATATTTTAAAAATTTATGTTACCATCAATTTCTTTCTCAAACTTTAAAATTGTTTGTTAAAAAAAAGTAACTAAAAATATTCGATATTATTTTCGACAAAAATAATATATTTTCAGTTTTTCTTTCAATTTTCTCAATCCGAGCACCTATACGAAGAGCGAAAACGGGCGAAGCAGAGGATCAGTTATACACTATTTCATCTTTAGATTTTAGATATCGAGCGTCGTTTCCTTGGTGTTAAATTCAGTCCTTCATAGCTCACACTCGAGCTGTACAATATGTTTTCTGAAAGCAAACATGCTAATTTAGTTTTAAATTACAATTGAGCAATGAGAATTTTAACATCTTAAAATATTGAAAATTGCAACAAACCTCTTGAACGTTTTAGATTCAAGGGCGACAATGGTTTTCCATTCACCAAAACCTGCTTACGCTTAATGGAATGTTTACAGGGAGATAGCCATCCACTCATATTGCTCCAAGAATTGTTGAAGTCTGATAATGCTGTAGACAACTCGTGGGATGGACGATATTTTTGTGCACGATATCTTTTAAATAAATCCTTATCTGGAAATTATTAACAATTTTATGACAAATGTTCAGATGTTCATTTCTAAAATAATAGCATTCTTACAAACAACACCTTTTTCTTTAACAGATGAGCACAATTTTTCATATAAAAGATTATCATCCACACATTTATTCAAGTTAAAATTAATTTTGGGAGATTGCAATATTTTGCAATTTGCAGATACTAATTTGTTAATTGTATCAGCATTGGTATAAGCATTTTTATTTTCTCGAGAATAATATTGTTCGTCCCTATATATACTATTAATTCTATTGTTCAGTGCATTAAACAGCATTTGCAGAAATTTTGTCTGATAGCAAACATTCTGAATAAATAATAAACATGGCGATAGATCTGAGAAATCAGCAGCGTTTATATGATATAACATTCGTATAAATGTTAGATAGAGCAATGTAAGTAAAGTGAAGAATGAAATAGTGGAACCATCCGTATATAAATTGTTGATTGTATTAATTGTTGATTGCTTAAATTTAAAAATTAAAAAAAATTATTTTGCATATTTCAGATTTTCATATGATTTCTATCTTACCTCTAATAAGAAATTATTGTAGTTAATTTTGGGAAACTTATTTGCATCAAGTATTCCAGAATTTGTATTCATCTTCAGGACAAGTTTGTACAAACGATTGCAGGATTCTTTTAATATAATTAATTTTTTATTCTCTTTGTATATATATTGCATTTTCTCAGAAATGTTTCTTCTCCATACTGCAATATAAAATATTGTGATAATTATTAATAAATACAGACTGTATACAGAAATGTTTTGAGTACTGACAACTTATGATATTTATATCTTCTACATCTATCAATCGTTTTTGAATGAATGATGACATTAGTGTATTAAGAGCTAGTCTTTCTATGTCTTCTTTTCTATCGAAAATCTCCGATTTATACGTATTTAATATTTCAATCTCGTTCCTGAAATATATATTGATATATATAAATTGATATATATCTATTTTTCGATAATAATTGATATAGAATTTACTTGTAAAAGGTAGTTGCAGTATCAAGAATTTTCTGTGTTTCCTCATGAGTTTCTGTTATAATACTACATTTTTTAGCAATTACATTATTAAAGTATGTTACAGTTACATCATCCACTGGACCTGTGCGTGGTGCATCGCACAATTCTCCTTGAACTGAAAAATGTGGGTTAGATAAATTGTGATTATATAGGAACTATTGGTTTTCATACATGTTTATCATATTGCTTACATTCTCGTTTAAGGTAACTTTTAAGCGCGACTTGCGACAGCTTCCACATGATAATCAGAAACTTGCTCCCTCCTGATTGAATCAGATGAGATAGCAATATTGATGGGAAGTTGATGTCAGGGTTGTCTTGCGAAAGAATGGAAAGAAAGTTCTTTATCTCAAAACGATATGTTACTTCATCCTTTTTGCACAATATCGGCCAATTGACGATTTGGTTAAAAAGTGTTGCGTCGTATACAATTGACAGATAATGAGATACATGCAGGAAACCAGCCGTATTCGGTTTATCAAACATACCCTTTCAGGAGAAAAAATACTTGTATTAAAAATTTGTAACTTACATTATATAAAATCAACAAAAGAAAAATTTTTCTCTGCAACATATGACCATACCTGTCTAAAGTGTTGTTGAAATGCATTGGACGGTAGTACCATTTGTGTGAGCAAACATACATTTTTATAAAAGGATGATCTAATGAATCTAATATGACTATCTTCCAATCTGTTCATTATAATTACGTAGAGATAAAAATTCGATTCGAGTTTGTTTCATCAATGATCTATTTACATTACACAAGTGGCAATATGTGTGTTTGACCTATACAAAACATTTGATTATCTAAAAAATTGTATATTTATATACACACAAATATAACGGTAAACTTTTTCTACAACGGTAATTTTTTTTTACATACAGATTGGATTATAGAAGAATTTTCTTCCAACTGTGGAACTGGAAATTCTTTCCTCAAATAACATATTTAGCTCTTGTATACAAAACGTTGGTAATTTCAAGGAAAATTCTACATAGAATTTTCGTGTAATTTTTTTACATAATGCATAATGCGAAATAACTTCATGTCTTCTCTACGAAATTTTCTCAGCAACAATAGATCCATTGTTATACCTGTGCAAAAAAAACCATAAATAATAAACAGATAACCCTAAACTCCCATTTGTTATCATTTAAAATGATCTTTTTAAAAATAATTATTCATATTTTTATCCTTTTCGCAAATATCAGGCTGTAAAAAAACACAATGCATGACCGTGTAATTTTTTAATAACAATTATAATTTTTAGATTGATGAAGCCAAATAAATTTAAAGCAATCGATGTAAACCAGAGAGAAACCTGAGAGCGGCCACCGCGATTCAGTGAACGCGTGTACTAATGCGCCCACTGAGAAAGTAAACGTTAACCATATCACGGAATCAAACTATTTATCGTGCTTTTTACCGAGCGTCACGACGTAGTTTATGTCCACTTTGACAGGGGGCACACACGCGGCCGCTGAATCCCGGTGGCCGCTCTCTTGTTTCTCTCTGCTACATGCTACGGTCTGGTTTGAATGCGGTTTGCGTTCTGCGTGCATTTTATAGTTAGAGTTTCTGCGGAAGCTTGTTATGATTGTCACGAATTTTTGCATCTGTCGAAGAAGCCGATGACTCGCTAATTTACTTATGTGGTTTTATATTAATATTTTACTAAACAATTGTTAATATATAATGGCGTCAGGATTGGAAAGCTACATGAATCGTATCCTTTTTTATATTATTTACCTCTCAAAAGCACAAAAAAATTTATTAACCTAAGCACCATCTATAGATACGGTTTCAATTATCACTTCGGATGGTAGAAATTTTATTGTAAGTATACAAATATTTGAACGAATTTACGGAAATTATGAATAAGTAATCTGCAATTATCTTAAACTGCATGGAAATGTATATTCTCGATTATAATAAATATAGTAGACCTTAGTGTCGTATATTTATATTGCTCCCTTATGTATTAAAATTATTAAATTTAATAATTCTTTTATAATATTTTACTTTTATATAGTAATTATTTTATATTTTAAGAAATTAATCGTAATTATACTATACTAGGTAATTAATATACTCTAAATTTCTATTATCAAGATATTGCATCTTCCATGCAATTAATAATTTGGCTTAATTTTTTAATCGAGCTTTTATTTCAGGGCACATTAAAAGGTTTCGATCAGACTATCAACATAATTCTTGATGAATCACATGAACGGGTATATAGTACAACACAGGGGGTGGAACAAGTTGTCTTGGGTTTACATATTATCAGAGGAGATAATGTGTTAGTAGTCTCTTGAAATAAATTTCACAAACAGTAGCTCCAATAATCGTGTTATAATGCGATTATTTCTTTTATTGATACACCAATATTCACAATATAAATAGAAAAATAATTTTATTTTATATTATTGGTTGTAAGAAAATAAATAATGGACATAAAACATATTTGTAAAAAATATTGCTTAATTATAAAGTATTTTCTTCTTTTCAGAGCAATAGTAGGAGAGTTAGATGACGAGATGGATGCACGATTGGATCTATCATCGATACGTGCTGATCCTCTAAGTTCTATTATACATTGATAAATGTACCTGGAATTGTAATTATAATCGACGCTCATTTTCATTCTAATTTTGAAATAACTATTGATGGCATTAGAAAAAAAGAAGATTACAACTCTTCTTAGAAGTTGTATATCATATAAAAATTTGTCATTTCTCATATATATGAGATATATATATACATATATACATAAGTTATCATATAGTTGTATTTCAAAAAGTGCACAGAATTAATATAGTAATATTTACATCATCGAGATAAAGCAGTAAGAATTTGCGTTTGAAACAATTGTCATCTGTACAAAAAACTTACTATATATTAGTAAACTTATTCTTTACAAATGTAATTTTGCTCTGTATAATATAATAATATAGCGATAGATGAAAATATAATTGCATCATAGATTAACATCGAATAACATCTAAATAATTCAATAAAGATTTAATTATTTCGTATTTTATTTCTAAATTTATCCTAAAGAAAATACGTACACCTAGAGAAATTGGTCTGCTTTCTCGCAGCATTATATATTTAGAGTTTATCATTATTATTATTTAAAGTCACACGCAAATTTATAAGAAGAAATTAGTGAAGACGCTAAATAATAATTTACGTCGAAAATGCGTAAGAATATAATGTTATTGAATGTCGCGTCATTTTGAACATGAATCGATTCAATACCGGAATTTACATGCTTGCGCATATTTCTTTTTTTTTCTTTTAAATGTAGAAAAGTATTTCGTGTCATACATGCCACAAAGTCTTTTTCTATCGAGTGCTATATATCAATTTCTTTACAAAATATTGCATTTCACGTTAGATTTTTTATAATTCCGCGATTAAAGATCGTGCATCAATCTTTACGATGAGTTACTTGATACATGAGATCGCAAGTTGTATGAAGAGACAATAATGGATGCAAGTTGTATGAAGAGACAATAATGGACGCAGGCACTTTACGTGCCATATTTGCATGGAAGACAACAAAACTATCAACTTGATTAACGTCTTTATCAACTCGTTTGCTCTTATTTCGATATAACTTATGCTAAGTGTCTTTTTTATGGACTCTATATTTATAAACTAGCGGATACGCATCGAATATATATCTATATATATCCTTTATTTTACTATTATAATTATATTATATATTTCACTAGCAACGTGTTGAAAACTTTATGCAGAACATTACAATCAAAGTGATGGTAGTGTTTTTGAATGCTTAGAACGTGCAGATTTTCAGACAAGAAAATCGCGTATTGTTATAAGCATTGCATGTGATGCAGTTTTCTCCTGCTGTATTTATTAAAATGATTTGAAATGAATTACGTTCAACATGACTTACTACTCGATTTCCTTTCATCACTAGTTTCTAATTTGTCGATTGTAATCATTACTAATACAGTAATCTTCAGAATCAAAACTTTCTTCAAAAATATAGCAGTTACAGATTTATTTCTATATAAACGAAAAGTGAGTAACAAAAATGACGAATATTTATATATATATATATATTTACATAAATATTTATAATTTAAGAATAAATCTGTAGCAATAATAAATCTATAATCATCGTATCGATAGCGTTAAAACAAAATGGAAAGACTAATAAACAGTCGAGTACGTTGCATGAACGCACATATGTATATGTATATATGTATACACACATACATGCAGCTTGATCGCTCATGAGAATTATTTTATCAGGTGTTCACAATCTATATTCATTCACTCTGCTGGTTCTTTTAATTATTAGTCACCATATTGGTCCTATTGCGATTTCTGTTGCGACGAAGACGACCACCACGCTGTCTATTGCTGCCCGGACCCCAATCATCGCCCATAGGAGGACCAAAACTGGGTCCATTCGATCCGTTTGGATTAAATCCCATCATACCGGACTCGCCACTTCCGCCACCGCCGGGTCCTCCGAAATTGTTGTAGCTGCCAGCGCAGGGATAAGGGGGTGGACCCCCTTCATAGGAATTGTCCGGCCCAAAGGTAACGGGTGCGGGACCCAACAGTCCAGCTCCGTTGTTACGTTGCACATTGAAACGCGGATCAAAATTCATCTGATTCTGGGACGGCATCGGAACAGGCCCGTTCATACCATGCGGCATCCCCATAGGCGGCGGCATCGGTCCGGCATTCATCATGGGCCTCATCGGGCCCATAGGCATCGGGTAATTCGGACCCATCGGGCCCATCATGCCCTGTGGTGGACCCGGCATTCCGGGACCAGGTGGCGGTCCGGGCATGCCAGGTGGTCCCACTTGCATGCCTGGACCGAGACCCATATTGGGTCCCATCGTTTCCATCGGCTGCATTCCCTTGGAAACGTTAATCACGTTTTGCGAAGATGACTGCTGACTGGAAGCGGCTGCCTCGAGCGTTTTCCGTCGCGGATCCGTACGAACGGCGCATTGCGGCGGCGATTTTGGTGTCTCCTGCTTGATCTGTTGCGGCGGCGGCGACATTGGTGAGTCGGCCAACTCGGGTTTGACGATACGGAAGATCTTACGAAGGCGCGGATCGTACTTGACCTGCGCGTCCTCCTTTGTTAGCTTGAGACCGGTATAATCCGGCCTAGGTATGTCCACTACGTAAACTTTGTACGGCATTGGCGGATGCGACGCGATACTCGCGTCGATCTCGGTACATGGCTTGTGCGCGGGCGCCGGTTTGAACGGCAGACTCAGTATCTGTCGCAGATCCACGTCGGATTTCACGCGAAGATCTGTGTCGCCGAACTCGCTGGCCTGAAAACGCTGTCGAAAGTCCATGTCCTGCCGCCTAAGATCCTGATCCGCTCTGGTCCGAAGATCGGTGTCCATATTCGCGTCCATCGCGGTGATACCGGAACTGTAGATACTCGTTTCCAGCCTAAGAGGCTTCTGCGATTCCCTCTTAGCGTCGGATATGCTCGGACTGCTCGGCTTCTGTTCTACTTCTCGGCGTTGTCTGGGATCTCGAGACATGCGCGGATCCCTAGACACGGGCGCGGCGACCGAACTCAAGCCCGGTGATAGTCTCGGGCTCGACGACAACTCGCTGTCCGGCTGTTTGGGATCTTGCGCCGATTTAGTTTTGGATGCGTCTTGGCTCGAGTTGGCCACTTGCGCTTTGTTGCTCGTTGAGCTCTGAGCTTTTATAGTGGATAATAACTTGGACACCTGGGCACTGATGTCGAATTTGCTCAAGTCGCCCAATTTGTCCACAATAGCGGCCGGTTGGGGCACGTTGGGCGCGGGTGGCGGGGACGGAAACTCTTCCTTGACAACGACGTTCGGCTTTTTCTCCAAGATCTCGATCTCTTCCTTCGAACTGTCCACTATAGTAAGATTGCCACCTTCCTCGTCATCGTCGTCATCAACGTCCTCGTCATCCGAATACCAATCCTCGACGATCTGATCGGTTCGTGCACTGGAATCATTTTCCATGTTCTTGAAACTGTCTTGCGCCGCGCGTTGCTGCTGCTGTATTCGCATGAATAACTCTTGCGCCTTCTTCGGCAAATGAGACGGTACCGCTTCATGTTCGTCCGTAGAGGAAAAGGAACAGTCATGTTCATCTGTTTAAATACAAGTATAAATAATAATTGCTCTATGCCATTATTTTATATCATGTTTGATTAAGTTTTTCGATCATTCATAATTCATGTTATACACACGTTTTTTAAAATATATTATAATTATAAATAGAAGTAAGGAAGAATGCATACATAAGATAAGAAATATTACTAAACAAAAAATTAGGAGATTAATCATTCTTTCATAAAATCGAATATATATTTTGTATATATATATATATATATATATATATATATATATATATATAAGTAAAAAGAAAAAGTAATTATTCTTACTTTGCTCGCTATCGAGATGCTTTTCTTTCTCTTCATCTTCAGTTGGTACTTCGATAATGAGTTCCGCTTCTTCGTCTTGATCGCTCTCATCATCGGGTTTATTTTTCGATATACTCGCTACTTCATCGGCTAGATAAACAGGTGGTGGTTTCTTCTTATTCAGTAATTGCCTCAAATCAACGTCTTTTCTCTTTTTCGACTACAATATTAGAAATAGAATAAATCATGATATATTAAAAGAAACTTTTAATTTAAATTTTCCAATATAATTTATCATAATAATAACTTGTTATAATATAAATTCATATATAATGTTATACCTTGTCTACTATATCATCTTCTCCTACATCCTTCGTAAAGTCTTCTTTCGTCTTTTGTACAGTTTTATTTGATTCTACATTTCTTTCGCTATAGAAATCTAATTGTACAGCAGATTGCTCCTGCGCTTGTTGTTGCGTAGCTAAACCTAATGCAGCGTTTGGAAGCTGAAGATTCATTTTAGTTGCCGACTGTAGTAGCATAATCTGCTCGAAAGGAACTCGATCCTCATCCGAACCCCATCGCGTCTTCTTTCCAGAAGGTTTCCTCTCCCTCATATTGGCTTGTTTTTGTGAACTTGTTTCTATTTAATAAATTTTAAATTTCAAGTTTAATATAAAGATTGAAATATTACACAATAAAACACATTAAAAAAATTTTAATAACAAAAATGCATTAAAATTTTCATATATATAATTTACCTTTGTCTTCTTTTTCGTCAGTAGGTGCTGACAGATTCAATTCGAAAAGACTGGGAATTTTTTGATTTGTCGCATCTTGGCCTTGCGCTAGAGAACGTGCAGTATTATTTATCATTAACATTGCACCCTCTCTACTTAATCTTGGAAAATCACCAAGAATTTCCTTTGGAGCAGTTTCTAAATGTTTCAGAAGAATATTTTTTACCTGAAACACAATACATATAAATAAAATATTTTTCGCAAACAATTTAGACATATCTTACTTAATTTTTTTTTGCGTTGTTCAATTTTTACGTGCAATTATAAATAATTGTATAAAATATACCTGTTCATTTAAAGGCTGATGTGAAAATTTACAATTGTCGCCTTGATTACATTTCAGACCAGTATGGAAGAACTTGCAAGGGAAATCGTGATGCATGTACAAGCACTTGTCACGTTTAGCACAACAATCCATAAGATAAAACTTGCACAATTCCATCTTTCTCGGTGGTAAAGCGTTGTGCGAATATGGACAATCGTCTCCCCTATGACACTTTCCTTGCATATAATATACGCAAATTGTATCTGTCTCCTGGTCGTTATTTTGCTGTCGACGACCATTTCGCTCGTTTCGGATTTGGCCTCGAGTTTTGTTTTTACCACCACGTTCATTTTTACCACCGCGACGTCCTATTATACATTCACAAAAGTGTTAGAAGCACGATCTAACATAATAAAATTTCTAAAAATTATAAATTAGATATTTTATATGCAATGAAAATAAGAAGGATTATATAGTGTTAGTTATATAACAATTGAGAAAAATAGAAATTAAATATTTTTGCACCTCCTCCTCCCCCTCCCCCTCCGCCACCCCCCTCCTCCTCCTCCTCCACGTCCAGTGCCGCGTTTGCTATCATTTTCTCTGTGTCGATTTATATTAGGTCTTTCCTCATAATCTGAATTACTATCGAAATTTTCGTGCTCATTTGTACGTCTGGGAGAATTATTATTCTCTTGAGAATCTTTCCTGATCGGCGACGCTCCTCGTACGAATAGCATTTCATCTTCATCCTCGTTGGTGTTTTCGTCCTCGCTCAATTTTCGTTTCTGTAAAGTATCATAAAAACTAATTAAGTTATAAAATAAGGACAACATGATAGCCAAGCTTTAAAAGCAATCTCAAGAAGTCGATAAAAATAATATTTAGTACATTTGTATAAATAAAATTTATCTCGTGCACTTTTTTTACATACCTTTTCTTTATTGCGATCCACTTCTTTCTCATCACGAGTTCTTTTTCGAACTTTATTCCTGTTACTCTTGTTCTTTGCTTTGGATTCCTGATTTTTCCCTCCATCCTCTTCCATAGCAGCCTTGATGGCCTTTTCAACATCTCCAGCCCAATCTTCAGTTGGACCTTTGTACTTCAAAAAATGTTTACCAGCTGCCTGTGTAGGCTGCTGCTTTTTATTCTTGTTAAACTTTGCATCGAAATTTTTATTCTTTGCAGAATCTGACTTGGGTGTTGGTTTAGCAGCCTCTGATGCATCATTTGCTGCCCGGACGACTGGCTCGTCGTCTTCATCTGATGGAATTTCTCCATCTTCCAAATCGTTATCATTGCTGTATATTTAAAAAATTATTTAGAATTAATAAAAGTATTAATTTTAACTTAATAAGTATTATTAATCTCTGAAATATGAGATTGTAACTTATTCCTTGCGTACTGATTTACGTTATTAATAATATAATTATGTTAATGTTTACAAATTATATAAAATATTTTACTAATTATATGTATAAATCATAAACTGATATCTATTGTGGAATTTAAATAACGAGATATTTAAATTCAATGGCTGCAACGAAGACAATACTACCTTTTTCATTTAAAAACTAAGTTTTTTTTTTTACTTTGAGATATCAAATTATTTTTTGTTCTATATGAGAGGATGTATGCATATTTTTATTGTAAGCTACATAATTAATAAAATATAGATATAGTCTGCAATATATATATATCATATAATTGCGACTTTTTAATGCATATAATAATAATAATGAATTATTAAACACACACACATACATATATATATATATATATATAGCTTCTAAAATAAGAGATGCAAATTTTTGTCATGGTTTCATTGCATTGTTTAATATCTCTATGTAAGATGAAGATAAGCAAGATCTGATGATGTTTATTTCTGAGAATACTATAAAATACATTAGAGAAAACAAACGTTTTATTACAAAATTGAGGCATGGATTTTCCGCATTGCATCAAACTTTCCCATATGGAGACAATAATCCTATTGTAAAGCTCTAAACGAGAAAGAAACGCATCCCTCGAGACGCTACGTTATCTCATCACAATTCATAATAGCCTGCCGAGATATCGCGCGTGTTTTGCGTCTTATTAATGAGCTAAAAAGGGAGATCGCGAAGAGGGCAGACTCGTCATTGACTCGTCAAGGACAAACTGATAGCGCAGTAGTGCTATATACATCGTGGAGAATTCTATATCTCTCTCTCTCTCTCTCTTTCGAGAGGTGAAACTCGACTCGAGTGGACTATAACGTGACGGTATCCGAAGCTATTGACCGTGTCGAAAACGTGGGGTCTTCGGGGAAGAAAAAAAGAGACCGCGCATATTCAGCGCGAAACCAAGTTGCGCACCCGTTAGAAGCCGATCGATGACAATCTCCGGTGGGGAAACATCATGCAGCTATATACGTATACGTAAAGGTCGCGTAAAGAGACGCGTCGAAATCACAGTTTTACGTAAATATATATCCGATCGTGAACGAAGAGAACAAAAAAATATAGCGATATCGGTATCAAATCGAGAATGAGTCCAAACTCCGATCAAATTAACATATGTTAATGATCGAGGATATAAGATATCTCGATATAATAATGGTATATCGAAAATTTGAAGAGTTTTCAAGCTCTGAAAAAAAGAGAAACGATTCTCTATTTCAATCAAAGTTGACTATAAAATTTCATTGTAAAAATAGATACACCTTTGGAAACTATGAATTGATTTATAATATGAAAATTTGCGACAAAAGAGGTCTCGCATCTCAAGTAGCAAACTAATGTCATTAAACGTCAAAATGATGTTATTTTGACATCTTACGACGTCAAAATGACGTATGCTTGCTACTTGGAATATTTATATAGTACATCGGAGATTGAATTCACCAAGATCAATACCGTGATCCTTCCTTAAACCCTTAATAATATAAAATTACTTATTAATCATCGATTAATTGTACCGAATCTCAATTTTTATGCATAGGAGATACGTCGCCGCGTAAAAATGGCGGATCTCGGAATGGAAATAAAAGATTGGAGTTGCCTTACCGCATCTCATCGGGTCATCATCATATCATTATAAATTATCATCATCATCATCAGATCATGATCATCATCATCATCATATTCATAGCTTCGTCATTACGACGAATCGTCATAATCATCATAGTATTATATGCATCGAAGAGAAACCGTTTCACATTTTCCAACATCGTCGTCGTTGCAGCATTGTCGATTTAAAGGGTGACATTAAAGCGGATGACGCCAAATGGGGGACATTATGTCCAAAAGCTCTTCGCGTGTCGACTCTCGTTCATTGAAGGGTTTCTCTCTCTCTCTCTCTCTGTCGCTTTCTTTCTTTCTGTCAGCTGTATATATGTGCGCGTCTCGTGTGTCAAGAGGGAAAAGACTAAAAGGTCTCGCGAGCGTCTGATTATTCCGGCGTAGGAGAGATGTTTATACAGAGTGACTCAGATCTATCGCGCTTCATCCGTGACCTTTAAGAAAATTTTCTCTTTCATGTAGAATGCGAATGGAATAATTTTATATAATTTTTTTTATAATTGATTTCTCTTTTTTCGATTAATTTAATTTATCGATATCGCGATAATTAAAATTCTCTTGCAATAAAATATATAATTGTTCTCTCAGACAAGAGATTTAAACACGATTTGCTCCGAACTTAATTTAAAGCATTCTTAATTCTTTTGTAAATCATTTATTAAATTCTTTATCATCGATCGATTTTTTAATATCTCAAATATACTGATATTTCTTATTCCCTCTAAGAAAGAATTTATTTTAATCGGAATATTCGTCGGAAAAATAAAGCGCGATAAATCCGATATATATGTCATAGGAGAAAGAAATTGAAGGATTGTGTATATCTTTCCGTCCTGCTTACATCCATTATATCGTGTCCGTGAATGTAATCGGTCTGTCGTAAAGGAGGGAAAAAAGCTAAAGGTTCTTATCTCGACCGCAAACAATCGATTCGTATTACCGCGACGTTTTATCGTCTCGATTCACGAATCAAATAATTCAAACACGGATATCTAATTTTGCATAATTACTTTTATATCGCACATACGTTCGCAATAAAATAAAGCTCAAATATGCTCTCTCAATTCTCGTCCCGATCATTTTCTATAAATAGAAAAGAGCCAAAACATCTCCGATCTGAAATCCGAAAATAAGTCATCTGGGAATATCGATTCGGAAATAATTGCGGCGTCATTCGAAACGTCATAAGAGAGAACAGCCTTGATCCCCTCTTCTCGTCCGAAGATCGACTCGATAACGCATGAAAAAAAAAAAAAAAAAAAAATAAATAAATAAATACATTCTTCTCTCGAACCCGGATGATGAAAAACTACGAGATTCTATACGAGAGCTTTCGAAAAAGAAAAAAAAAAAAAAAAAAAAACGATGCGTCAAAAATCGGAGTAACGATCTCCGGTCTCTTGCGAAATCGGTCGAAAGCAGTGAAGAGGGGAGGAAAGGGGAGGGGGAGGGAAGAAGGAAGAACGAGAGGGGCTAGGTGAAGAAAAGAATGGCGATGGAGGGAGCGCAGAGGAAGTTTCGTTACGATTTGTCAAACGATGATGTGTGGTCACTCGCGAAATATTTCCTCCTCGTTTCCGTCCCATTAGCGAATAAAAAAAAAAATAAATAAAAAAAAAATAAAAAATAGAAAGAGATATGTATACATAGTAGTATATGTATATATATATAGGAAGGCAAACCTTTGGATTAGAGTCTCAGGCGCGGAAACACTCTCTACAGCCATTTTCGGTAATTCGGTTCCGCAGATCGATCACGATCTGTTTCGTGTCTCTCGGCTCTCTCGAAGCGAACAATAACAAGTATGAGCGAGTTCTCTCTATATCAGCACTGGATCCGCCGATATGTCATCCGATCGGCGATCGTACGATCGATTCGACCGACCGCACTCGACAGGTCTTTGCTCTGGCGGAATAATCGCGCTGCCCGAATGGACGCTAGCATTCGAGGAGAGCTTTTTTAATCAAACCCGCCGGTTCGTGTGGAGAACGAACCGACTATATATACGTGTCTCTCTCTCTCCTTGTCTCTCGTTTTCTCACGCTAAATCCCGAAAAGAACTTTATGTACAGACAGTCAACGCCCTTTTTATCGCTCGTTTCTTTAATCTCTGTCTCTCTGTCACAAAAGGACCTCTCGCGGGAGGTCCTTGTTGGAAAAAGTTTTTCCTACCGAACTGAATGAAATCTGCGGAATTATCTTGCACTCTTTTACCCTCCTTTTTCCTCTCTCTTTCTCTCTCGCCGAGAGGGCGGCGGATATATATTATTTTTCACTAAGTGCGAGCGACCTCGCGATCTCTCTCTCCCAAAAAGCCCGTGACAAGCAGAATGGAATTCGGTCAGATCGCGCGATCCTCCTTTTCTCGTCGCGAGAACGACGTCATTCTGGCTGACGTGGCATATGGCTGACCCAGGCGTCTCTCTCTCTCTCTCTCTTTACCTACCCACCCATCTGCCTGCCTCCCACCGTTCGTGTGTGTGTCTCTGTGTTTGTTACGTCGTTGTGCAGCCCGAACCGGAAGTGCGACGCGATGAAAATGGGAGCGCGCTCGCGCCTGCGTACTTCGGCGGAAAAAAGAGGGGAATAAAAAAAGAAACCTCGGGAGTAGTCTCTCGAGAGAGAGAGAGAGAGAGAGAGGCGCAATTCTCCCCCTCTCTCTCTGCCTCAACCCTCTTGATAACGACGCTTTCACTCCTGGCGATTTTTCAACCGCACGATTATATTCTTCGGCAACGACGAATATGGTTTCCCTCGAATAACGACGACGAACGGTTTATATTTTTCCTCTTTTTTTTTTGTTTCGTTTGACAGAGAGAGAGACAGAGATACCAGGGAGCTTTTTTTTCGTTTAATGCGCGACCCTTTTTTGCCGAGAGATCGATGAGACGGAGGATGATGCGAGAGATTTTTAGCGTTAGCTCGGAAAATGAGACGGGTTTCTGAATGTCCAAATCACGGATTGTCAAGCGCACCCTTTTTCCCTGAACGATGAGAAAACGCGTGAAACGTAGAAAAACGTCCGTGCGAACGCGCGTGCTTTTCTCTCTTTCTCGCACGCGTCGTTCTCTCAGCTCGACTTTGATCTCTCGGCAAGAAGCGTTTATAAACAATAAAACATATGGTTGCAGCGAAAGAAAACGAGATTATTTTAGCCGCAAAGCAAAGACGACGCAGAGTACGCGATCGGTCAAGATGCGTGTTTACTATACAAGTAGAATATAAAAATGTTGCCAGTCAATGACGGTGAGCGAAACTTCGGAGATCAAACTAAACATGGCCACATCTGGAACTATTCTGAGCCTCTGAGCCAGACGCCCGTCACCGGAAACCTTCGGATGGCGGCGGCCAGAACAAGCTAGCAGCGGCTTAGGAGGGATAAAATGACGCTCGTCGGCCAATCGCGCGCGCCGCCGCGGGACCACGTGACTCGCACGCCCTACGTCCCGTTCACCTGTCACCTGTCATCTCCCACTCTCTCTCTCTCTCTCTCTCTCTTTCTTCGTGCGCGATTTCTTGGCGCGTCGCGCCAAGAGATTCCTGAATATATATTCGCTATAGTAGCCTATTAGCGCGGGAACTTCTACAAGAGAGAGATGCGATGCGTCGACTACTAACCGAGTTGAAAACGTCGGGCTCGGCTTGAAATGTAGGGATGCCTTCTCGGAAAGTTTTGATAAATTATGTATAAACTTGTATATGTAATATACGGCGCTCGCTGTCAAATATTTTCAAATACTTATTGATTTTGTATATGACATTACGTGAGCGTCCGGGGGGCAATTGCTCTCCTTTTGAATAAATACTGGAATTTATTTGCGTATTAAATATAAAAAAATAAGAACAACAGATAAGAGATGAAAAAATATTATTATGCCCCCTTCTGGAAAAAATATCCTACGGACGCTCAATATTATTTAAATAAAAATTTTGATATTTTCCTTTCTTACTTATTATTAAAATGATTAACAAGTGTGTCTTGTGTGATGATAAATTTGTTTTCTCCTTGATTAGATAAACGCACATGTGTGTGCGTGTAAAAAAACAGTTTTATCGAACTGTAGAACTGATAAGAGGAAACGATCAGTTATCGGGAAATTTGTGATTCTGATGATCTAATAAATATATCAGTTTTTTTTTTATGTTCTTATAAATTCAATATTTCTCTATTAATTTTTTTTAACATCCTAGGTATTGTATTACTTTAGCATCTATGTACACATACCTGAAGATATTAAAAATAATTATTAATAACTATGCGTTTCATATGTATCTAATTTACCTTCATTTCTAAACAAGTTGAGGCACATTTATAATTTATCACATTAGATTTGTAATTGCTTCTTGAAGCAAAAATATTTTGCAACAGTCTTTCGCATAGTTGATTAAATAATTATATATATAAATAAAAATATTTTATTTCCATATGCATTTGAAAGTTCAAGCTCTTATATTTTTACTTTTAGAAAAAAATTATTGTAAATAAATTTGGTACACAAATTTCATAAAATAATTTTCTGCAGTTATTATATTTGGCACCTTCGTGTTAATGGCTTTAGTGAAAAAATATTGCAAATTTATCAAAATACTGTTGCAAAATAACTTTGAAACAAAATATTAATCAATTAATTATTAATCAGAATCACTTTACATGTTCATGTGAACGATGATGAAAAACGAATGAAATACCGCTAGCCCAGCATTGACGTAACGGTATATCCGGTAAATTCCGCGGATTATACGAGTGTCGCCATTCGGATAAATCGGAATTGCAATCGGATTGCTCCGGTGGACCTTTCACCTCGATTCCATTAACGCAACGTCTGCATTTGAATCTAAATAAATAATACGAATAATAAAATATTACTCTTGTTCCACCAATCATTCTAAATATTAAAAACAATCCTATCACACTTACTTATCGTGCGTGTCTGAAACAGTATTTTCTTCTATTTTGAATAAATCGCGAAGATCGTTTATAGTAAAATGCCTCGCTACATCATCCTCTTGATCAACCACCGTGGAACTCAATGCTTTTTTATGAGCTTGTCTTTGAAATATCTTTTCTTCTATCGTCCCCGTCTGAGAGAAAACAAATTTATATAAAATTAGAAAAAAATAATTTGAAGACATGATTTAAAATATAAATTAAAAAAAAAAATTTATTAGAGATATAAGTATAGTCTACTGACAGAAAGAAAACGATAGACGAAGCACGGCTTCTTTTGGCCATCTCTCCAAACTCGGGCCATCGCTTGGTCGTCATTTGCGGGATTCCAATCCGGATCGAACATGACGAGACGATTCGCACCAATGAGATTCAGGCCGCAGCCACCGGCTTTCGAACTGAGCATGAAGATGAAATCGTTACTGCTCTCGCTATTAAAATTATCGACCACTTTTGCTCTCTTCTTGATACTCATCGTACCATCGAGTCTTACGTAATTGTAGCCACGTTTATGGCACAGTTTCTCGAATAAATCGAGGGTCTGTGTATAGTTAGAAACTAGTACTATTTTGTCATTTGTTGTGGTTTTAATGGATGCCAACAAACAATCCAGAACCATCAATTTGCCGGATAATTCTGGTAGCAGCTGCCTGTAACAAAGATTCTGTCATCAAATGATAAATTTCCATTTAGTTCTTAAAGTAAAATTTAATATTACTTTGTGGAGTAATGCGGCGGCAACAATTGTGCAGCTTTCTCAAATCCCTCAGCCTTTTCCATTATTTTATCATATATTAAGTCAGGATGATTGCACAGTTTTTTTAAAAGAGTTATGGCAGCCAAAGCGGATAAACGGCCTCCATTCTTTGGATTGTCACTGTCTGTATAAAATATTTAAGGATATAAAATATATACTTTATTATATATTATGTGAGTCTACATATTGAGATGTTACTTTTTCTTTCTCTTAAAATGTAATTTAATTTTGATTTAATTTAAAATTTAATTTAAAAACATACCTTCCATAGACCTTTTTATACTATCACTTTGTATGAAATTCTTGTAGAGACGCGTTTGCAGTTCTCCCATTTTTATGCATACCACGAGTTCGTGTTTCAGTGGCAGATATTTCGAAAGTAAAGCGGCCGTACGTCTAATAAGACATTTATTAACGTTTGATACTAAATCGGCCAATCGTTCCTGGGCGAGTTTACGTTGTTCGTCTGTTGCATCTGCGTCTTGACCACGTAATATGGGCGTTTCGAACTTTCTCCGGAATTCCTAAAAACATAAAGTTAGAATAATTTAGAAAATTATATCATCCTTTATATTAATATACATTCTTCCATTTACCTGTGCAGTTCCCAGTAATCCTTGATTCACAAAGTGTACGAGAGAAAAGTATTCTAGAAGATCATTTTGTATAGGCGTTCCACTGAGCAACACTCTTCTCTTAGCCTTCAAACCCATCAGAGATTGATATGTTTGATTTTCGGAATTCTTTAAACGATGACCTTCATCGCATAGTAAAAGGCCTACTTCATCTTGATGTAATACATGTGAGTGTAAGCGAAATGTTTCATAACTTATAATGAGAATAGGAGTTACACATCTACCGCCGTAAGTTTTCATAAACCTGAGGAGTTGTGTGTCAATATCTGCTTTCTTGCCTCCATCAATAGCAAGGGTGTTCACCATATTATTCAACCATTTATTAATTTCATTATACCAATTCTTTACCAAAGAGCTGGGTGCGACGATAATTGCTTTGTCTATTAATGGTTTAGCTTCTGGTCCTGTATAAACATTTTTAAATTATATTTGCATTTTTTCTAGTCTAAATTTAAAAAAAAAATAATTTTACAGATATCTCACCCTGCTTCAATAATGTCCATAATAGTGTTATGCACTGCAATGTCTTGCCAAGACCCATTTCATCTGCCATAATACAACCATATGCATCTTCTATGCGTTTACCCGTTACACATTCATACATAAATTTCACGCCTTCACGTTGATGCGGCCTTAATACATTACACAATAAAGGATCCACAACTACATGTACAAGTTGTTTGCATCTGCAAAAATTATACAAATATAATTATAACTATCTTAAAAACTATACATATTATGATAGATTGGATCAAAACATTAAAAAATATGCTATATTTAGAAATATACATATGTACATACGGGTCAATTTTCAGTCTTTCATGTTCGGATAATTCTGGCGGTGAATAAACGATTAATGCATTGGCATCATTAGGATCGTGTAATGGTCTACGTGGTCCTGCTAAACGTAACCCAAGAACTCGTCCAGATAATTGATAACCAGGTACTGGTATTTTAAATGGTTTGCTAAGAAGTTTTCTCACTCTTTCTTCCTGTTTAATATCACTTATATATCATATTTATATATAGCAAAAAGTTTAATAAATAAAATCTTTTACAAATAAACTTACATGTTCGGATACTATTTTTTGCATTGTGTGGATGCCATCATCAGAAAGAAGAATAGCTTTGCGTTCCGATATTTGTATATTTTTGACATTTTTTTTGGAAGTCCTTCTTTTTGATTCTGGTGGACAATTTTCAGATCGAGACAGAGTTAATGCTGCTATATCGTCCGGTATATCCAAGAGTAAAGGACGTTTCCCTCGTTGACTAGGAGCCAGTGACCGAATCTTAAAATACGCAAAGGTACACACATTATTATATTTTTAATTTTTCGTAAGACAAATGGATACTTCAATCTATTTTGTCAAGTAAACTGAAGTTCGTTTTATCAATAAACACAATGTAAACACACGCAACGTGAATGACATAATTCTATGATACTCCATACGTTGATACATCATTTTTCAAGAGAGTACATTTATAAACAAAATGGAAATATTTGATAATTATTACCATTTCACTTTCAATTATTCATTTTATTGGAAAATCAACGAAATATCTCGTAATTATTGCCGAATACGAAAATGGCGCGAACCGCTAACAAAACCAACCTCGACTAAAAAAATTAAATGATCACAAACTATAAAACGATGCTAGATGCAACACAACGTTGTTTTTTGAACGCAGTGAATATGGTTTAGGCGCCAAATTCAAATCACATTTAATAAAATTTTCTTTTTTTCGATATTAAATATACATATTTAATGTATATAATTTATATATATATATATATATATTTAATATATATTAAACATATAAATATATATTTATATATACATAAATTTAATATATATTCTCTATTTATATTAAAAATATAAATACAGAAATGACATAATATTAAATGAAAATCTTTGCTTATCAGAATGTGTGAACTTAAAACATTTAATTACAAAAAAAAAACTATGAAATTGTTAATCATACGTTAATATATTGAGATACAATTAGTGAAGCAGAATAATAATTGCATCATGGTGATGGATTAAATAGCACCATTCAGACAAACAAAGTGCTTCAAACAACAATTCTTCTTTAATTTTCTATTTCTAACATGTACATTTTGTCTCTCGCAAGACAATACATGATATAATGGTTGGCTCAAAATATTCTCTAGAAATAACTGTACATATTATGTTAAACGTTTCTCTCATTTCAATTAAACATATTAAGAATCTTATATATGTGAATTTCACAATGGAATGTAGGGAACGCAAAAATACAGTGTGATTATAGATGTACTTCTCTATGTTTTTTGTCTATGTATAATACTGAATGATATATTACACTTTACAATGGTCGCTTGGTGTGAGTGAGCACTGTTGCTCTAAAGCACGAGAGATATATGCGTCAAATGTTGAAACAATATATATTCACAATTTATTATTTTCATGATAAATAACATGCGTAGTTTTGAATCTGCAACTTGCACATTTGCACACGCAAGATTCCATAATAAATCTGTTATAATTTTTAATTTACTTTACATATCAGTATCACTGTTATTTACTTTACACTCTCATTGCACAACATCAAAAAACGTGTACGATCCTTGTAAGCTTGTAACGTTAATATTTATAGAGCGTAAATAAGATATACTCTTCCATTCTTTTTTCCTTCCCTTCGACACGTCGCTAAACTATTTTGTTGTCACGTCATGTCAATCTTTTTGTCAATCTTATTCTCGCAAATACGCGAGAATAGATATATATTTTTCCAATTAATGTCAATAAAAAGATATATCATTATACGCACGATTTTGACATTTAATAATAATTGAAACAAGCTTACGCGTAAGGCGAGACACATAAATAAAAAGGTGATTAGTGACGGGAATCCCTCGGATAGAATTCCGCAAGGGTGCTGGCTGGAATTCGCTTGAGCATCTCCTTGGGGAAGATACGCAGCAGTTGCCAGCCGATATCTAATGATTCAAAGACGGTGCGGTTTTCGTAGCTACCCTGTGAAATAAAGTTCTTCTCGAATTTTGACAGGAATTCCAAGTACAGTAGATCATCCGGCGTCAATGCCTCCTCTCCCACAACGGCTTTCATTGCCTGTACATCTTTTCCAATGGCGTAGCAAGCGTACTAGAAAGATATATTTATATAAAATATCTATAAAAAATAATTATAGAAAAAAGATGAGATATATAAAAAAGTATATATAATAATTCGATTTCGCAATTTAATAATAAATTATTTTTTTTTCTAATTTAATATAATAACTCACCAATTGATTAGACACATCAGAGTGATCCTTTCGCGTCATGCCCTCGCCGATGGCGGACTTCATGAGACGCGACAAGGACGGTAACACGTTCACAGGCGGATAGATTTGTCTGTTGTGCAGCTGACGATCTACGTAGATCTGACCCTCGGTGATGTAGCCAGTGAGATCGGGAATCGGATGAGTGATATCGTCGTTGGGCATAGTAAGAATCGGAATCTGCGTGATGGAGCCGTTGCGACCCTCTACACGACCGGCTCGCTCGTAGATGGTGGCCAGATCGGTGTACATGTAACCGGGGAAACCACGTCTACCCGGTACTTCCTCGCGAGCGGCCGAGACTTCGCGCAATGCCTCAGCATAGGAGGACATGTCCGTGAGGATGACCAGCACGTGTTTTTCGCATTGATACGCCAAGAATTCGGCAGCCGTCAGAGCGAGACGTGGCGTGATAATTCTTTCAATAGTTGGATCGTTGGCCAGATTCAAGAACAAGCATACATTCTCCATAGAACCATTTTCTTCAAAGTCCTGCTTGAAGAAACGTGCAGTCTCCATGTTGACACCCATGGCCGCAAATACAATGGCGAAGTTGTCCTCGTGTGAGTCGAGGACGGATTTACCTGGCAACTTTACGAGTCCTGCTTGACGGCAGATTTGCGCGGCGATCTGTCAGAAAATAAAAATAAAATTTAGATTAAAAATATCTAAAAAAAAAAAAAAAAAAAAAAAAAAACTTTTATTATACAGAGTAAAATTATGCACGTAATTTAAATAATACCTCATTATGCGGCAAACCAGCGGCAGAGAAGATGGGAATTTTCTGACCGCGAGCAATAGAATTCATCACATCAATGGCTGATATTCCAGTTTGAATCATTTCCTCTGGATAAATACGAGACCATGGATTAATAGGCTGTCCCTGAATATCCAAATAATCTTCCGCCAAGATTGGCGGTCCCTTGTCAATTGGTTTTCCTGATCCATTGAATACACGGCCCAACATGTCCTCAGACACTGGTGTCCGCAGGATGTCACCAGTGAATTCGCAGTGAGTGTTTTTTGCATCGATGCCAGATGTGCCCTCAAAGACTTGAACCACAGCTTTGGAGCCAGAGACCTCCAATACTTGTCCAGAACGTAGGGAACCATCGGCAAGTTTTAGTTGTACGATTTCAGCATACTTTGGAAATTTTACTTCATCCAATATGACCAAGGGACCATTTACTCCAGACACTGTCTTGTAAGCTAGAAGAAGCAAATAATAGAAAATTAATTATTGAACTTGATGTTTTCTATTATATCAATATGTTTATTCTTTTTCAAGTAAGATAAAATTATGATTATATTCTAAGGTAAAATTGTAATTATATTTTAAATAGAAAAATAGGAACATGTGAAAAGATAGAGAATTATATGTATTAATTGACTTTTTAAAGTTGATAATATCTTTAAATATATAAGATTATATTTTTGTACTTTACAAATGTCTTTTATATAAATATGTAAAATATGTATAAAAAGAAAGGAAAATTGATATATGTGCAATACTTAAATACAATAAATAATCCATAAAATACATATATATATATATATATTTTTTTTATATTTAACATTTATGTAAACAGAATAAATTTTGTTTCACATTTCTTAACAAAATAAATTTGTAAGAATTTTGATCTACATTCATGACTTCTTAAAGAACTTGCATTATCAATTAAATAATGATTAAAACTTTAGGTAAATTATGTAACATTCATATTGTTCATCGTTTATACCTCTTTTGCACTATATTATGTCATAATATCCCAGATACCGACGACACAAGTTACGCCCGTAGGCGAAAATATCATGAAATATTGAAATAATCGGATTAAAAAAACATCTCGGTAATTTCTATAATTCTCAATATTAATCGAGAAGCTATCTCGACATTTCCTAAAAGCATGTAAAAGCAAAAATACGCGTTTGTACAAAAAGCATTCGCGCGAACGCAAATCGTCGTCTGCAGTCACATGACGAGATCTCGAGAGTGACAAATATCCGGGGACGTTCTCGGGAAAGAGGTTCTCGTTCCCCGGGAAAATCCGCGAGAAAACCGGGACGACTGGATCGTCGTCCGGGATCCCTCGCTGAACAATTCGAGGAATCGCAGGTGAATTTCGGGGATCAGCTGATGCGGTCAGGAGGATCGATCAGATGCTACGCCCAATTGAGTCCCGAGTTCTCGAGTCACGATATTCTTCCCTCGTTTTCGTCGTCAACGGATTTATCTACTTACTGAGACGAGGCTGCGCGATGAAGTCCCGGGACACGGCGAGCACGTGTTCCTTGTTCGCCTGGTGATTGCTAATGCTCTTGGAATACATCTCGGATACCTGATATTCCGACTCGGTAATCTCACACTCGCACCTTATCCGCTACTGTCACTCCGACGAACAGCGGAGGAAACTACTGACTCTGCGTCGCGACAGGAGGGAGAGAGAAGGAGAGAAGATGAAGAGAAGGGATGATCGGAAAATATTATAGACGCGAAATGGGAAATATTTAACAACGCAAGACGAGAGAGAAAGAATTTTTGTCCTTCGACGATATGAAGACTCGCGTCTTCGGATAAATCGTTTTTTTTCGAGTAAATTGCGGAATTATCGTAACGCGATGCGCACTTTGGAAGAGGGAGAGAAGGATGGAAGACGAAAGGCACGTGCAATCACGTGGCTTGGACTACGTGAGTCGTTGAACGTTCGTTTTGAACGAAGCTCGAGGTGATTAGGAGCTATTTTCGACCTGTAAATAAAGTCACGTGAAATTAAGACAAGTTTTGATAAAATTATTCATAAAATTCGAAATAATGTCCGCGATTTTTCGATACTTCTCGACATCGAGTGATGAAAGATGGCAGCTTTTTCGATTATATAGATAGATATAGTCTAATTGCCGGATTCTGATAAAATTATTTCGGTGAGAAAATTATTCTATCGACACTTATTTACATACAAGTATGTATTTCTCGAATGTAATAAATTATTTTCTCGAATGTAATAAAAATCTATATCTTAATTTCTAAAAATATTTCTTATGACATTTCTTACAACATAAAAATATTTCTTATATGCAATATTTATATATATGATATAAAAATGTATATTTTTATTAATTTTGACTGAAAATAGATGAAAATTTGGATATATATTGCAGGAGATGCAGGAACTAACCTTACTAATCCACAGTGGCGCGGCTGTCGCGAGAAGTCAGGCGCGAGTCACGCGGTACGACGCTACGTTCAGGCGGCTCCGCCACTGACAGTTCTTGTGACAGGCGCGCGCGGCCGAGAGCGGTGGGGCAGTGGCGGTAGTGGTCGGCCACGTTTCCCGCGGACAGGACGACTCCTTCTCGGCGCGAAAGAATCTCGTCAGTCGGTCGAGAGCGGCAGGGTGACAATTAACCGCTGGACGACGTCGGTCGAAGAGAAAAGAAGCGATGGCGGCCCTTAAGAGAATCACCAGCCTAACCCGGGCGCTCGCGACGGCGACGTCCGCGTCGCGGCCCTGCTTCCAGCGCGCCTCGAGGAACACCTACTTCACGTACGTGAACGAACCGTCCATGCCGATCCCCGGCAAGGAGCCCTGCTGGCTGAAGACCGCCGACGAAGCTATCGAGCAAGCGGAACTTGACTCAGGTAATCGATGACAGTCTCTTTCGCTCTCTCTCTCTCTCTCTCTCGCTCTTTCGTCTTTTGCCGAAATAGAGCAGCGCGATATTTCGTGGATTTATCGAATTTATTTTTATGGTCGAATGCACCGATTGATTTAATATTATTCCACCTTTATTTTCCTGTCAGTATCATAGGTGAGACTATGACTTGAAATAGAAGATAGCAAATCGCTGAATCAGAGGCTTGTATTATACAAGCGCACATTGTTGACGTAACTAAATCTTGATTGTGGGCCTTGATGACGTGTGGTTTGAACGTCACGGATGTGCATTATCATTTCTTTAAGAGCTTGGGAAATTTCTGGAAAATCAATTTAGGAATTGTTTAAAAATTGATTTTTGACGTTAAAAATATTTATCATTATTTAGTATTTCTATTATCCTAAAATATTATATATTTCACTTATATTTCACCTTATATTACTTCAATAGGATTTACTTTTTACACAACAGTTGAACCATATGGTAAACAATAATATGGTTTATCATATATTTGTTTTTCTCCATAAATATTTTATAGTGAAATACAGCCTCTAACTCTGAGGCGGATAATGTAAATTACTACTAGAGCAGTTATGCAGATACGCACTTCATTGACTATTTGCAAGAGTGAATTCTATTAAATTTCACTCCCTTTTAACCAAGCTATTTATCGCCCGCGATTGAATATGAGCTACGTATAAGCGACGAGGTGTACGTTGCGAAGTTTCTTTTTACATATATCTAATTTTTATAAATATTTGTGCAAGTTTCTTCTTTGATTTGATTCGGAAATTTACATACATATCTCAAGCAAACATTTTACATCTATGTAGAATAAAATTTTGACTAGGAGCAAGTATGCATATAAAATTACACAGACATAATACATATTTTATAATTAATTCTATATTTTTATTAAAAAAAAACAAATAGTTTAAATCTTATCATAGCATATAAATATTTAAATCTTAAGATAGATCGATATATGATCGAATGAATTTGTGTGGAAGTTTAATGCAAAATATTGTTGTTTATTACCTCTTCGCAAAACAATTCGGTCGATCGATATATTTATACTCAGCCAAATTTCGCGCCACGTCAAAAGCCCACTTACAAGGTAATTGATTGCTAGTACTATAGCCAGGAATATAACATATACTTTTAGTCAAATCGTCTTGAATTAAGGGCATTAGTTTTGCCGTACAATTCTCACAGAATTCTTATAGAATTATTTCCAGATAAGCGTGCCGAAAAATGAACTCGATATTATTCTAGCGATTATTTTTCACAATCGAACTATTCTGCATATATTCTAATTAGTAATAACAAACTGCATAATAATATTTTATCATTTAGATTAGTATTCATTATGAATTAATTATATCGCATATATAATGCTAATACTTATATATGCTTAAAAAATAAAGCTTAGAAAATGTTATTGAATAAATTTTTAATTTTAATTTTAATTAAAATAATTGTTTCCTAAGCATATTACAAATAGGTTTTAGAGCTGCATTTTTAGCCATCCAAAACATAAATATTAAGAATTTTAATTGATAAAAATCAGTCATTAGGGAAAATTAAAATTCTTTCAAAGATAATTTAAACTTAATAGGTTTATTATTAATTTAAACTTAATAGAGAAATTTAACAACCATATTTAACAGCCATAAAAACAAAATATTGTTTTGCAGAGTTTTTTTTTTATTTATTCCTGCTGATTTAAATACCGGTTTATATTGGATATTTTTCCTTTTTCATACTTTTATCATCGATTAACAAATTGAAACAGAATTCTGCTAACGTTGTGTTATACAAGTTTATGACTTACGTATTTACACAGCTATTTGATAAGCTTGATAAAAATTGATTCGACGCGTACGATCATCGTGTGTATTTAATTTATGCTGCTTTATTCGTCACAAGAGGCATGAAACACTTGTTTTTTTGCCAGTCAAGAAAACTGATAATCGACTGACGACTTAAGCAGCTGCAACTCCTTTGTTGTTAATAACACATGACTTTGGTACAAAATTATTTGTTTATACAATCATAAAACATTGAAAACAATAATTTTACCCTTTATTCATCTCACTAATATATAGGAAAAAATCTACAAGATAAGTTTACGCAAATAATATAAATGTGAAGCACGTGTAGAGTCAATTTAATAATTCATTCACGACACTGGGTCTCGTCCTTGTGATATAAGATGTGTAGAATGATGTAAGATGTCCTTGTGACTTAATGTCTCTTCTATAATGATTCCCGTTAAACTAAATAAGCTTTCAAATCTTATCTTTTCGATTGTCTTCCCATTGTTTCTCATTACTAAATTTACAAATGACCTTCTCGTCTCGGTCGAACATCAATTTTATGTTTTTCGAATGGAATTGATAAAAAAAAAATTTCACACAGCTGGCAGCTGTGGAGATGATAAAATAGTGAACGAATTCCAACTACCAACATTGACCTCGATACGCAAATCTATGTATATGTATACACGCATATTGAATCTAGCTCTCGTGTTTAAATATAGTCCGCCACTATAGCATCAACTAAAAATTTGCCAACACAATAAACTGAATTATTTTCGATTAGAAAGATTTTCGCGTTGTAAATATTTTCCCGATTCTCCCCCTGTGATGTTAACATATTTGCAGTATTTTATATAAAAATATATGCTACGCTTTTTTTATACACGGAATTGTAATTTTTATCTTCTCAATCTCACGATTTTTTATGATATTTTTAATAAATTTCTGTGTTAGTAAATGAATAAATAAAACATATTGAACGATATAAATAGATAGAGAAATATCATCATATATAACATATTGTGTAACAAGCACTTTCTGATAAGAGATTGGATAAAAATATCTTCTATTACCTAATATTTTTTATTGGATAAAATATCTTCTACATGGAAGAATAAAAAATTCACTTTTATAATAATTTCTATATGATTTTGAATTTCTGTATTTTAAAAATGTTTTCCTAAAAACTGCATATAGTATATTTTTTAACTGTATCTTTAGTTATATAATGCAAATTAAGAGAGCTAACATTACAGCTATTATTACTATTATACTATTATAAAATTGCAGTTGTAATATGAATAATATAAGAATTGCTATTTTGAAGATTACTTTGATTATACGGTAATAATAATTTTGTATATTTAATATACATTTTAAGTGCATCGAATAATAATAATAATAATAACGCATAATATATCAATGTGTGTAGTTAGAATGTTATAGGCAACATAAACAAAAATTATGTTTTTGTGTTTAATAAGAATTCGGATAAAATACAGTAAGAACGTCTGTATTAGTTAATTAGAGTTGATTTGATAAGACAGACGTATTTTTCGCACATAGATAACTCTAACATTTTATAATATGGCCTTATTGCCCCTGTAAAATTTTTAGAAATCTTTCACAGTGGGAAATATAGATGGAAAATCAAACCTAGTCTAGTATCGTAAATAATGAATGAGATAAATAGTATGCATGAAATCGTCGAGATATTTTCGTATATTTACTAACATATATATATATATATGATGTGTGATAAACAGTGTAAACATTAAGCAATGCATGTCATTTTCTGTAATATGTTGTTGTGAAATACTACAAAGTACAAAGTACAAAAGTTTCTGAATCGTGTCAACTTTTCCTATCAGCGCGGCAAAAAAATTTTCTTCTCGACTTTTGTAGTTGCATATGATTACATGTATTAATAATATTCAACGATAATATAGTACACAGAAACATAATAATATTTGGAGAGAATTGATTTATTGCATAAATATTTATCGTCCATTTCTAAATTGGGATACAATTAAAATTATATAGTATAAATTAACGATTTAAATCATCTTTTGTCTAAACATTAACAATATTAAACAATATTAAAGTAGGATCGAGAAATTACAAATGTTATGTTCAATTTATTTTAGAATTTTATATATATATATATATATATATATATATATTGATATTCCACACAGCAGAAAATGCATTAAAAAAAATTAAGATTATTAAATTAGAAACAATTGAAATAGGAAACCGTTTAAACTTGATGTATGCAAATTGATTACAAAAGGATACTATTTATAATTTCAATATTAATTTAATCTCGAGCAATTTCTATTTTGATAAAATCTTAAGTTCAAGAAGTAAATATTGTACAAAGATGTTTTTCAACTCTCACTTACAATTAATTATTTGCAGATCAGCTGGTTTATGTCCAAGGCGCGGCGGCGACCCCCGTTGAATTGCTGAGGGCGATGACTGATTATGGGGTACGATGCGATGTGAGAAACGTCCGTTTGTATCATATGCATCTCGAGGGGGCGGCTCCGTTTGCTAAACCAGAAAACGCAAGTACGTTACGGTGAAACTCGACGTAATCTTCCGTCTTTCAAAGTATTTCAATAACAAGTGTTGTTTTGCTCTTCGCGTTCTTTTGCGCCATACGATTCGCTTCCCGCTTCCCTTTGTTTCTATTTGAAGAGGCTACTTTAGTTTCTTTTTGTAGTTGCATTTTTCGTTTTGTTTCAATAGAAGCTTAATTGTCCTAAGATTTTCATAAAATTGAATACGAATATAATATCAATTTTCATAAAATTGGATATGAAATAAAAAACTACATTTTTTAAAAAGAATTAATTTTAAATTAATCGAACGAAAATTCAAGAAAAACTTGTACTACTTAAATACTTAAATTTATGTTTCTGTTCAGAACATTTCAGATCTATCAGCTTGTTCATTGGCGGTAATGTACGGCCTGCGGTGAATGCAGGCACTGCAGATTGCATTCCCATTTTCCTGCACGAAATCCCGCGTCTCTTCAAGGAAGGCTACCTGAAACCCGACCTCTCGCTCATCCACGTGTCTCCGCCAGACGAAAAGGGTTACTGCTCGCTTGGCACTAGCGTAGACTCCGTTCGGTCCGCCGTGAGCCATTCAAAACGCATCGTAGGTAAATCTCGGAAGAATCTCGCGAATACTACTTACATTCTTCGTCGTATGAAGGCAAGATTTAAAGGAAGACTAATTTTTCGCAGCGCTAGTCAATAAATATATGCCCAGGACCTTCGGCGATGCTATTATTCACGAAAGTCATCTGGACTTCGCTGTGGAGCATCATGAACCGTTACCGGTTCACCCGGTGAAGCCACCATCTAAAGCCGAACAGCAGATCGGCAAGAATATCGCTGAGAATCTAGTAGTGGACGGCGCCACGTTGCAACTTGGAATCGGCAGTATTCCTGACGCCGTGCTGTCGCTGTTGGGAAATCATAAAGACTTGGGAATCCATTCCGAGATGTTCAGCGACGGTGTAGTGGATCTCGTGAACAAGGGCTGTATCACAAATAATCAAAAGACGATGCACCGGGGCCGGATCGTCGGTTCGTTTTGCGTAGGCTCGGAGAAGCTTTACGATTTCATGCACAACAATCCATTCATAGGTCGGTTCGCGTCTGCATTTGTCACGTGTTTGAAATTATTTGGTTGATTATCGATAGTTTTAAGTTTCAATGGTTTGTTTTTCTTGTTTCTAACAGAGATGTTGGTTGTGGATTACGTCAATGATCCTAGAATAGTCGCCAAGCAACCTAAGATGACCGCCATCAACTCGTGTATCGAAGTGGATATCACCGGTCAGATTTCTTCAGATAGCATTGGTACAAGAATGTATTCCGGTTTCGGTGGACAATTGGACTTCATAACAGGCGCTGCAATGAGTGAAGATCGACAAGGAAAGCCGATCATAGCTCTTCAATCGGTCACCGCTAAGGGTCAGAGCAAAATACAGCCAGTTTTAACGTTAGGTAAATAGACAGATATCTATCGAAATAATCCTATAATTTCACAATTCAATAATTAGTATAATATTGAAGTATAAATCTTTAAGTAATTGCAATTTTTAAAGTTACTATATGCTTAACACATCATGCTGAAAAATATGCAAGAAATCTATAATTTGAAGAATTACAATACATACTGTTTTAATGTATTATAAATTGTGTACACTCAGTTTTTCTTAATTTAAACATATCAAATTTAATATCAAATTTAGTTTTGAATTTACTTCTGTATTGATCCAACGTGTTCGCATATATATATATATATATATATACGAATCGTTATTTCATCACGCTATATATTGTTAATAGGTGCTGGAGTAGTCACCAACAGAGCGGTGGCGCGATACGTCGTGACCGAACAAGGAATCGCCAGCTTGTTTGGCAAAACTCTTCAACAACGAGCGTATGAGTTGATCCAGGTGGCTCATCCCGATCACAGAGAGGCGCTCGAAAAAGCGGCGTTCGAACGTTTGAAAATGATGCCCGCGCCATAAGCCTGAAAACAACAACGCAACGCAGAAAAATCATATTCAATAGCATTTTACAATCGGTCGTCCGCGTGTTTTGGTCGCGTGTATAACGACCAATCGTCGAAGAGTCACGTCGTGTCTTCTTATACGATATACGCGCTCTCTTGCCGGAAGACAATTGTCGGCCTCCTAGAATAAGAGAGAAATGGTGAATAAAACGTGCTAATTAATTAGACCGAGAACTTAATATGCTAAATTGTAACATTACGTATATAGAAGTTCGTAATGCGAGAATTCATAGATATAGATACTAATTAAGTCATACGTTTTATATTGTCAGAGAGAAAGAGATGTGTTCGCGTTTTCGAACACAGTTCCGATAAATAAAAATGGCATTATTCAGTGCCATTCCGAGATGTAAGCATTTTTATATTAAATCTTTTAACGTTCCTTTGTATAATTTTCCGTATGTTACCGCATTGTACGACAAATTCGAAATATAAATACGCAAAACAAAAAAAAATATATATATAAGACAATTGATATTGTTGATATTTCATTGCATGATATATTTTTATGTTAAAAGAAATGGGATAATTATATAGTGCACTTGTATTTATATATCTATATTTAAAATATATTCGAATTACGAATATATTACAAAAATTCAAATCGATATAGTGCATCCGCCAATTACTTATATTAAATGTTATCTCGAAAAATCGAACGCCGCCAAATCAGATGTTCAAATAACAGTTCGTGGAGATGGCAACGGATTCATATCGTTTGACGTATACGTTCAGCGAAATCTCTTTTAGATTATGTATCATATAAGTTTTTATACGATCGTTTATACATTTATTATCGTACGAGAGCTTGTTGCTGATTTGGTGTTGACAGTTTCGGAATAATGTTCCGAAATCTGAAATTAGTCTTTGGCAAAATTCGACAAAATACAACAAAATCTTTCCATTTATGCGGACAGCGGTATTTTCAAAGTTTAAGGGAACCTTCTCAACCTTTAAAACGATGTCCAAAATGGGTTTGCGTAGAAGACGCGGTAAAGATCATAAATTCAGGTATTTATTACAGCTCTATTATAGTTCAGACTGATATTTAAACTCTGTATTTTTCAATGAAAAATATGAAATTGTCTTATAAATTTTTTAATCGATTTAAATTCATTAAGAGTTAAAAATATATAACATTTTTAACTTAATTAGTTCTTCCTGATGTGAATGAATTATAGTTTGGAATTTTTTCTAAAAATATCGTACATATGTCATAGATATATCAGAAAATTTCATAAAGCAGAATGATTTTTCATTAAATATCCGATGAATATAAATCGTTATTCTGAATATATGTTTTTACAAACCAACCGTTTCTTTTTCAGAACATTTGGTTTTCATACAAGGTGGTGCGGCCACGCCGATGGAGCTCGTACGTGCCATGACCGAACACGGGGTATGCAACAATCTACGCGGCGTCAGGTTGGTGCATATGAGCCTCGAGGGTGATACACCGTTCGCTAATCCCGAGTTTGAGAGTAAGTGTTCGCGTAATTGCAATCTCCATTCATAACACCCATATCTGATGATGGAAAATAACACTCTACGATGATGTTACATTGAAGAGCACTTCAGATCTATCAGCCTGTACGTGGGTACCAATCTCAGGGAGGCGGTGAACGAGGGACGGGCGGACTGCATTCCGGTATTCCTGCACGAGGCGCCGAGATTGTTCTTCGAGAAGAAAATCGTGCCGGACATCGCCCTGATTCACGTCAGCATGCCGGATGTACGTGGATTCTGCTCGCTCGGCGTGAGCGCGGATTGTACCCGCGCGGCTATTTGCACCGCTAAAGTTCTCATTGGTACCGAATCATTAATAATGTGATAACGGCAATACTAAGATGTGATAACAAGATGGAAAAAAACTATGCTATCCTGACCCATCTCGGTCAGCGAGATAGTTCAGATTTTTGATTAATAAAATAATTGCTTTTATGTATAATCGTTAATTGCAAAACTAAACAGATGTTTCTCTTTCTTCAGCGCAAGTAAACGAACACATGCCAAGGTCCTTCGGTGACACGGTCATCCACTCGAGTCATTTTGACTGGGCGGTGAGATACGATTGTCCTCTACCTTGCGTGGTCTGTCCACCACCTAACGAGCTCGAGACTGAAATCGGCAAGATCATCGCGCAACGCTTGATCGAGGATGGAGCGACATTGCAACTCGGCATCGGTAATATTCCTGACGCGGTGCTCTGCGCCCTGGTTAATCACAAGGACTTGGGAATACATTCGGAGATCCTTTGCGACGCGATGGTCGACCTCGTCGAGCACGGCAACATCACGAATAAATGCAAAGTCAAGCATAGAGGACGTATGATCGGTTCTTTCGGCATCGGCACGAAACGATTGTACGACTTTCTGCACAACAATCCGTTTGTCGGTAATTATGACAATGGGTTTATCTTGATTGATTGCGCCCCTGTATTGTTTTGCAATTTGTAAATTATTTTGTATTGCTTCATCATCTAGAGATGTTAGCGATCAATTATGTTAACGATCCACGAGTGATTTCGATGCAGCCGAAGATGACGGCTATTAACTCTTGCATCGAGATGGATCTCACCGGCCAGGTGTGCTCCGACAGTTTAGGCTGCAAGATGTATTCTGGCTTCGGCGGTCAGTTGGATTTTCTTCGAGGTGCGGCGATTAGTCAGGACGGTCGTGGAAAGGCCATCATCGCGTTCCCTTCGGTCACCAGCAAAGGAGAGAGTAAAATACAACCAGTGCTTAAACTCGGTACGAAGCGAGATTAGATTTAATTAGAAATTGTTGCTGCAAATAAATTTTGTATTTTAGTATATAATTTTGAATACTAATTAATTAATAATTATATGGTATATAATTAAATAATAATTATTTGGTAAAATTATATATATCCTGATCTTTTAGGAGCTGGAGTTGTGGTTACAAGAGCTCACGTGCATTACGTAGTCACGGAACACGGGGTGGCAAATCTCTTCGGTAAAACCTTACGACAAAGAGCGAATGCATTGATTCAAATTGCGCATCCCGATCATAGAGAATGCCTCGAAAAAGCCGCGTTCGATCGCTTAAAATCTAACCCGACGAAATATCTGTAACGTTTGTGATGTGTAAATATATACAAATTATATAATAATGTTCAAGTTCTGTATTAAGTGCATACACAAGAGAGAGGTAGATATTCAAGTACATGTCCAAGCTTAATTTAGTTTCGAATCCATTAAATTAATGTCACATAAATATGCTGTGTCAAAGATATTTTAAATATGTGTATTAATTGTTTATATTATTAGCTTTATATCAAACAAGCTAAAATAATAAATTAATTTTGATATAATGACATAATACAAAATTTCTAAATTAATAATGGGAGAATAATAAATATATTTTGATGAAAAAAGACTAGTACTGCATTATAATTTAACAAATTTTTAATTTTTAATGAATAAAAAGTTCATTAAAAATACCACACTCGTAGACATTCACATGTAACATGACTGTAATATCAATCTTTTGATATATATAGTTCAAATATATTCACAATAAATAAACTAAACATGTGCTAGAAATCTATACCTTCCGGCAGAGTTCCCTCTTTTCTTCTCTTCTCGACATTCTCGTAATACTCTGAAAAATCTACATAAGGCTTGATTCTGGCGTTTGGATCCGTTATTCTGGCACCAGACGGACACATGTCCGACGTAGTTGATGTTTCAGTCGTTGACGCGTCGTCAAAGTTGTCGTCAGTAATGCCGGTGCTAGTGCTCGAGAGATCTTCGTTATCCGGTATGCTGATCGACGCGGTTTGCACTACAGGATTGAATCTGACAGACTGACTAGTAGGACTCTTCAAGGCATGCGATAATGGGAAGTTGAAGTTTCGCACAAGGAGAGTTATGTCGTCGCGCTTACTGGTGATCATGGTATTTTGCGTATTACTCATATTCACATCATGATGGATCCTCACAACTTTATCAACAACTGCTTGGGCGACGCCGGTTAAAGTTGATTGCACTCGAAACTGAAACAAGCAAAGAGAGAAATGAGATTTTGTATGTGGAAACTGCTTAGTTCAACATTATTTAGGTCAAAGTATACTACCTGTTCGACTGCTATCAAAGCTAGCTCCTTATTAACTTGATCGGTACCGGTCGCTTCCTCCAACGACTTGTATAGGCCGCGTGACATGAGCATTAGAAATCTGCAGGAATCGTCCAGCTCGATACTACCGTGAATCTCCGGTTCGGCGATGATCGGTTCCGCTATGGAAGCTGTTAACTCCTCAAACTCTCTGTAGCCTCCCTTGACAAGATAGTTGCCAAGGCAGCGTGTGTTCTCCTGATTTCCAAGATGAGAACCTGCAAGATGTGTAATCTGTTCTTATTTACCAAAATCTCTTCCTAGTAAGATAAATGTCGGTAAATGAAATGTACCTTGCCTGATCGATTCGACGTCCAAGCCAAGTTGGGATAATCGTAAAAGCTCATCTTCGTTCCTCAAGTCATGATCCACGCTTAATTGTATGACTCGTAAAACTTGATTGCTGTCTGTTTTGCACAACAGTGCTCTGCTGTCGCCGACATTCGCGACGTATAGTTTTCCTCTATAAACCAAAGCCACTACCGCACTGGTCCCAGCTGAAAGCTCGCAATTTAACGCATTTAGCTTGTCAACCTGCAAAAAAATTATATATATTAAAAAAATATACCTTTAATATAATAACCTTTAATAAAAATATACTTTTTAATATGATATATGACTAACCAGGTCTGGAAATTTTTGATAAGTTTCATAAGAATTCAGTCCATCAGGTATGTCAAACTGTAGACTAGCTCGTTCTGCTAACAAATCACCAATTGATTCCAGATATCCTTTTTCAACTGCTATGAAGGCTTGTCTATAGAATAAATACTTTGTATGTAGAGAACTTATAATTAATTGCAATTTATATGTGTGTATATATATATATATATATATAACTGTCATATATTCAGTATTTTTGCATAATTAATATATTTGTAAATTGGAGCATAAAATATGCATAAAATTTGCATCAAATCAATTTTTAATTTTATTCATTTTTATACTATATCATGTTAATAGAATTTTTACCTAAGAACTTCTTTTACTTCCTCATCAGTTGATTTCCCGTTTAATTGTCCCAGCAGGATTTCTGCAGTCACTCTTTGCATAGCAAAATTGGCTGCTTTAGTGCCTTCGTGACCATCAAATACTGCGTAAAGAAATGTGGAGTCGTCATATTTACAGTGAAAACTACGATCTTCAAATAGATGCTCCTCTTGTCGATATCCATCCTCTCGATAGATCTGGTTAGTGGAAAAGCCCACTCCTAAAATATCACTGAATCTCAATAACTCTCTCTCTTTCTCTTCTACATTTATCTCATTATTATTTAATATACATATCCATCAAATAATAATAAATTTGCAATGTTGTAAAGTATTATATAAAAAATTGAAGGAGATTACTTAAAAGAGATACAATTGTTTTTGAAAAAAAAACTACTTATTATTCTAATTTATTCAATTAAAAGAAATATAAGATAATAAATGGATTTGTGTTTATTTTACATATATAATTTTTAAAATTAATTCTATAATCAATAATATCAATATATATATTTTTATTGAGATTTTAGATCATTACTATCAAAATAATGAATGAAAAATATACCGGACTGTTTGCAGACTGGCAAATCATCTGTCCAATTATACTGACTGTCCTGAAAGAGCATCGAAGCTGGACGTTCCCCCGCAGACATTTTTTTTCCCCACTTCAACTAACAATCGACAAAACTTGATAGATAATTATTTTGCATCGTTGGTCCTGGATACATCGCACGAGGCAGCGAAAAACACGTATGCGTAGGTTTACATAAATGGCGCGAGCAGCGCAAAAGAAATAGTGAATGGACTTCTTTTTCCACGGATCTCCGCAGATTTTTATCCTCTGAGAGAAACGCAATTTCCAGGCTGTCGAGAAATGGATAAACTATAAGGAATCGAAGAGCAACCAATACTAAAACTCAATTATACTTGGTGAAAAGCAGTAGTAAACAATAGTTACTGATCAGTGTTCCAATGGACAACAACGAGCCTTTGGTAAAGGTTAGTAAACCTAGATGCACTTTTTGTCAAACTTGTTTATTATAATATATTCTGTTGTATTAAATTTTTAATATGTACATACTTTTTGTCATACCAATGTATGTCTATCTTTACTGACATTGAGTAATTATTTAAAAATTGTTTGTCAACATAAATTGTTTATTATAATAGATTCTATTATATTCAATTTTTGAATACGTACATATTTTTTTGTCATACCAATATATGTCTATCTTTACTGATGTTGAGTAATTATTTTAAATGCAGAGATATAGAAGGGAGGAGCAAGAGGACAGTCCTTTGGATACAGATGATGATTATGTGCCATACGTATCTGTCAAACATCGTAAAAAGCAATTGCTGGCAAAATTGGGTAAACTCGGAGAGTTAAAAGAAGAAGGTGCTAATGGTGTTGGAAAGAGTAGCAGTGAGAATGAAAAAGATGATGCTGACAATGATGACGGACAAGTTTGGGGGAGAAAGTCTAACATCTCTCTTCTCGATCAACATACTGAATTAAAAAAGTTGGCTGAAGGTGTGAAACCTGTTCTATGAGTTTATGCAAACAAAGAAACAATGTAATTTAATTTTAGAGAAATTGTTTATGTAAAATTCTTATTGTAATATTCCAGCCAAGAAAGAGAGTGCTATGGAGAAGCAATTGAAAGAGGAAGAGAAAATTCTAGAAAGCGTTGCTGAGAATAAAGCTCTAATGGGTGTGGCTGAATTAGCCAAGGGTATCCAATACAAAGATCCTATCAAGACTAATTGGCAACCACCGAGAGCGATACTCAGTTTTGGCGAGATACGTCATGAAAGAGTAAGAAGGAAGCTTAGGATACTTGTGGAGGGCGACGAAGTACCACCACCTTTAAAAACTTTCAAGGAAATGAAATTTCATAAAGGAATCTTGTATGGATTGGACCAAAAAGGCATTATCAAGCCAACTCCAATTCAAGTTCAAGGAATACCTACAGTGTTAGTTTTCATATTATCATTTTGACGAATTATATAATTATATAATTGAGCAAAAAGTACAAATGTTATATCATTACAGGTTGTCTGGTCGCGACATGATCGGTATAGCTTCTACTGGTAGTGGTAAAACTTTGGTGTTTGTTTTACCTATTATTGAATTTTGTTTGGAACAAGAGCTCGACATGCCATTCATTAAGAAAGAGGGACCTTATGGTAAATATTTATAACAGTAAATAGGTAGAGTTGATATTTTATTGACAAATATTAATATCACATACATATCACATATATGATATTAATATTTGTATAATATTAGATAATATCGTATTATACTATGTATATATTAATATTAATATATTTCAATTCACAGGCTTGATAATATGTCCTTCAAGAGAATTAGCTAAGCAAACTTACGACATAATCCGACATTATACCAATAGCTTAAGGCAAGTGGACTGCCCAGAAATACGTTGCTGCTTGGCCATTGGAGGTGTACCAGTTTCGGAATCATTAGCTATAATCAACAAGTTAATATTTTTTATTGTCATTTAATTTTCGATATTTCTATTTCTAATATATATGTATGTGTCATATACATAAATTTATAATATAAATTCTATATTTATAGAGGCGTGCACATAATGGTAGCGACACCGGGACGACTGATGGATATGTTGCATAAAAAGATGGTCACTTTAAGCGTATGTCGTTATCTTTGCATGGACGAGGCAGATCGTATGATAGACATGGGATTTGAGGAGGATGTGCGAACAATATTTTCATTCTTTAGGGTAATTATTTATCTCAATATCTATACGAAAATCCGCGAAAAAATATCAAGTATTTTTAGTATTTATTTAGTAGAATAATAAAAATTGCTTATTGTATATATTTTGTATTACAGGGACAGAGGCAAACGCTATTGTTCTCTGCTACTATGCCAAAAAGAATTCAAAATTTTGCACGTTCGGCGTTGGTAAAACCCGTGACAATAAATGTCGGTCGTGCCGGTGCTGCATCGATGAACGTGATACAGGAAGTAGAGTACGTCAAACAAGAGGCTAAAATTGTTTACCTCTTGGAATGCCTTCAAAAGACTGCGCCACCGGTTTTAATATTCGCGGAAAAGAAGCGCGATGTGGACGCTATTCACGAATATCTACTTATAAAAGGAGTGGAAGCTGTCGCGATACATGGAGGAATAGGTATAGTTATTTTTCGCGAATATAATTTTTCAATTATAACATGGTAATCTAATATTATTAAACGTATTAAATATATTAACATATTCATGATTTTATATATTTTTTATACAATGTAATACAGTTTCAATGCTAAAAAATGATCTAGCATTAAAAACAAATAAATCGTATTAGTATTTCGGAGAGAATATTTGAATATTGTTAAAATGAATTAAATGTATCGTTCATTTTTAAAATTTTCAGATCAAGAAGAAAGATCACGTTCGGTGGAAGCGTTTCGTGCGGGTCGAAAAGATGTGCTTGTCGCGACAGACGTCGCATCGAAAGGTCTTGATTTCGCCGATGTGCAACACGTTATCAATTACGACATGCCAGATGACGTAGAAAATTATGGTAATATATCATGATACGCAAAATTATAATATTGGATGAAGAAATGTGAAATAGATGTTTAATGTATTATATATACTTTCAGTGCACAGGATAGGACGAACCGGTCGTTCCGGACGTACCGGAATAGCGACGACTTTTATCAATAAAGCGAACGATGAATCTGTATTACTTGACCTTAAACATCTGCTGATGGAAGCAAAGCAGAAGGTGCCGCCGTTCTTGCTGGAACTTTGCTCGGAGAACGAAAAATACCTCAATTTAGGAGGTAAAATAATAATCATCAATTTATCTATTTTTAATTGGTGTTTATTTCCTCTCTTATGTCGTTATTTATATTTATATTTATATTATTCATATTCTTGCGAACTTTAATATTCTTTTTGCTTTATTGCAGACGAACGCGGTTGCAGTTATTGCGGTGGGCTCGGACACAGAATTACAGAGTGTCCGAAACTAGAGGCTGTGCAAAACAAGCAGGCGTCCAATATCGGACGTCGCGATTATTTGGCCAGCAATGCTGCTGATTATTAAGCAGCATGTTTTAGACAAAATAATTTTTATGTATTCATTGTAAATATATATACATATCGAGATTCAATTTCCACGATAATAAATGTGTCTTATAGTTAGAATAGCAATGAAAACATATTTAAAAAATATTAAATAAAATAAATATTTAAATTAAACAACAGTATAAACTCTCAATCATTATAAAAATTAAATTATTTTACTTTATTAAATTATTTTTCTTTGCTAACTTCAGAGATTCATTCATTTCGCGAAAGTGAAACAAAAGCTACCGCAGATCTGTCACCGGTGACTTTTTCACATAAACCTTTCAGGCCCAAAATAATTCAAAATTCTTGTTAATAATGATGAATTAATCTACCCGGCCTTAATCAAGTGCCGGGCGTATTGCCCAGAATGGGTTATTAACATCGCAAGTTTCGAAACATGAAAAAGTACTGGATCCATTATTCAGGCGCCAAGGGAAATCATCGCGCTGATCGAAAAAGCTTATTCTTCAGAGATTTTAGAAAATACATTTTTAAGAGGTTTTTTATGCTCTTTTTATAGTTATTTATCTTAAAGTTATTGTTTATTTCTAATTATTTTCTAAAATGTCATTAAGCTATCTGTTATAGTGCAAAGTGTTGTAAGCTATAAATAATCATCGTTTCTATTGTTAATACGTATAAATATGTATAAAGCGTGCTCAATTTTCTATCGCGTTTTTAATATGACACCCAGCTACTTTGCAATCATTAAGTGCAAAACATTATCCTTGCTTCGATATTTTTATTGAAAAAAATTGTTTAATTAAGGAATCTTTCATAAGCCTAATATGGAAAGAAGTGTATAGAGCTCGTATATTATTTTTATGGTAAAATAAAATTTTATGTGAAATTAAAAATAATATGTATTACGTATTAATTTTATGAAATGTCAAGAATTATCTGACATCGACGACGATTGACGATGGCGAGCCAGCCGCGACTTACGAAGACCCAAGCACTAAGACAGGCGAGGAGTGCCGCTTTGGTGAAGGAGCTTGGGCGAAAGCAGGAAATGCAAACACAGCCACAGCCACAGCCACAGCCTGGCATAGATCCTAGTAGAAGGCGCAGATATACCCCGGCTGAACCGAAAAAGGTCGAATTTACCAAACCGGGAGTGACAAAGGCGATGATGGCACGAGTGAAGCAGGCGGAGAAGTTCAAGCAGGAGTATGAGCGTAAGCGTGAAGAAACAATGCCGATTCAAAGGATGCCAAGGAGGACACCCGCGCCAATCGGCGGCGATCCTAGGTGAATTTTCAAAATTATGCGATTTTTGCGTTATTGTTGTCGTTATTTAAAAAGTGTTTTGTTATTTAAAAAGAATTTTCCAAACGATTCGGAATGGTCATTTTTTTACGCGTTATAAAATTTCTGAAGTAAAGGATCCTACACCAAATACGTAAGACTTTAGCTTTCGATAGAATTGACTGTTTCTTTTAATTATATATATTGTAGCTTATGTCTTGCTGAACAAAAAATGTAATAGCTTCAAAGCTAAATATTGAGTAGTTACTGAGTTATGCATATGCAGTTAGTTAAACAACTCGCACAGCCCGAGTTTTTCGTGGTTGAAATGATCTTACGAAGATTTAATTTTATACAAGATTAATGCGTGAGGTTTTTGATATATAAAATCCTAATAAAATTGAATTCCGATAAAATCAGTTGGTTTTCTTATTTTAGTGTTTTAGCTTATAATGTGCTGAACAAAAATGTAATAAGCTCAAAAAACTAAATAATAGATATAGTTACTGATTTACAGTCAGTCAACGAAAACTCACACGAAAAACACAAGTTGTTTGACTAATTATAATTCAGTAACTATTTCTCCAATATTTGAGACTATTACATCTTTTGTTCAGCAAGTTGCAATCTACAACATATAAAAAAGCAACCAATTTCACCGAAAGCCAAAATCCTATATATATGTATGGTGCACAGTCCTTTGTCAAAATTTAATACCTTAAACATTCTAACATTCTAAATTTTTTTTATATATCTGCACCTGTGTTAGGTTTGGTAGAGAGAGGGTATCACGACGAGCTCCGACGTCTCCACCGCCTATCAGGCCGGTGAGGAGGCCTCCTCCGCTGGAGAGGAGAGTCGCACCGGATAGACGGCCACCGGAATCACTTCCGACTATTCCAGAGAGAACCAGAGAATTAGCGAGAAGCATGAATGCCCAGGTGATCCTAGCCGAACCGGTTGGTGAGGGTCCGATCGACAGCGTCGTGATACCACCGAAATCGGTGAACGAAAATCGCATGACCATCGTCACCATCCCGCAACCATCTGCCGAGGCACCGATGTCCGAAGTGGCGAACCGCTCGATCAGAGTGATTAGGTGACTTAATTTTCTGGAACTGAAGAGTTTTCTCTTTTATTTCTTTTTAGTTTCAAGATTTCTGAAAAAATGTAAAATATAAAAAATAATTTATTTTGATACATATTTCAAGATTTGCGTCGAAGAATCAATGTTATACACTTCTAGTTAGAATTTCAGTAGAAACGAGCTTTTTTGTTGATGCTAAATCTTTGACTTAAATATTGAGAATTTTATTTGTTACAAAATAAATAATTCTTATATATTTTTGTTTAATTTCTCTATTTCTTGTATGAATTAATGATGAATATTGTTCGGTAGTGAAACTCTTGACGAGCAAGATGCAGCGGAAGCAGTTACAGTGAATACTAAGCTAGAGGGATTGCAACAGGCAAGACGGGACTTTGTCATGGCAGTGGCAAATGTTGGTGGTAACGCTGTACAACTCGCGGAAGAAGAGAGGCCTAGATATATACACAGGCATACATAATATTAAAATATTATGAAAATAAGAAAAGATAAAGAATTACAATTTTGAAACATGCAATCAATATAAATCAATAATCTTCGATCGACTTTAGTCAAGTTTTGAAAGATGAATTGAAATAAAATTAAAAACTTAAATAGAAAAAACCTAGAATATAAAAACAATCAGTGTGTCAAAGAATTCTATTTATAATAAAATTTGTTGATTGCAAAGAATTATGCAAATTAAAAAATATGAGAAAGAGACATTTTCCGAAAATATTTCATTGCTTTTATATACAGGGTATTTCTTAAACATATGTCAAAAATTCAAGGAGTGATTCTTTGGGTCATTTTATGAAAATATCTCTGATGATTTTTCGAAAATCACTTCGTTTCGAAGATACAGAGCGATAAAAATTTACAAGAAATACATTTTTATTCTGGCATCACTGGTAACAACAAAGTTCTTTGTACATTACATTAATAACTTTTATAGGTAATAATTATTTTCTTATAAATTTTTATCGCCTATACGTATATCTTCAAAACGAAGCAATTTTCAAAAAATTATCAGAGGTATAAATTTTCATAAAATGACCTAATAAGGAATCGCTCTTTGAACTTTTGACATATGTTTAAGAAACCTGTATATAGATAGTGAGAGAGTTAGGCTTACGGTTGGAAATAACATTTGCATTTAATGCAGAGTTCCCGACATTGAAAGCGAAATGTTCCGCGTCGAATACGGTCTGGAACATCCGAGTGTCGTGGCGGCTCGCGAATTCGCCCAAAGAAGCATGGCCGGCATCAGAGAACGTGAGGCAGCTCGCAGGACCGAACAGGAGTTCGAGAGAATAGCTAGGGAACCGTTGCCGCAGGATCTGCTCTTCGACATGCCGTTCGAGGAAGAGTTTTTACGCGAGGGCGATATATCCTGGGAGGAGGAAGAGGACATGCCGGTCACGTCCAGGATGAGAACAATTCTGCATGATATACCGAGGCGCGAGGCGCCTTACAGATATCCCACCTTCGATCCAGAGGAGCTCGAGAGATTCTTCGACGTGGAAGGATATCCACCGAGTCCTCCACGCGGACCTCCACCGGGTCGTGAGCATCTGCCGCCGGATCTCTGGGAGCTGGAGGATCCTTGGGCCCCGTGCGGAGTAGGAATTTGTCCGGAGCCAGATGTATCCGATCTCATTCGTCTCGAGAGTCCTTGATCCTTTGACTCATACGCGGAGAGAATTTTCTCTTAGATTTTACTCTGAAAATCATGGTAAATAAAAATATTAATATGTACATAGCACATAGTAAATTACATATAATAAAATTAATCGAACATTTTTTATATCTTATTGTGGATATTAATATTTTTATTGTGGCGTGTTAACAGTGTTCTAATTAAAATTATATATAGATGATCATCTAGATAAAATTTTGACGTCATCTTATTTTATATATAGATAATAAAAATATGTATTATCTATATCTGCATCTTAGATAAAAGGTATTATCTTTACTATAAATGATCTAGAATAATTTTCAGATAATTTTGATTTACAATCATAGCACATAAAAATACTTAAATAGTAGAACTTAAGCAGTAAGCGATAAAAATATGGATAGATATGTATCCCTTTTATAATTTACGTTTTTTATAATTGTGTTTACATAAGCAATCTTAAAAAGTATTATCTGGAAAATTATCTAGATGAATCACCATATAATTTTATCTTTTATCAATGAATTTACATTTTTTCATCTCATCTTTATCAAATTTTAAAATCATCTATATAGCACAAACACTGGTAAATATTAATCAGAGAAATCTCTAATAAAATTTTCTAATTCTTCCAATACCATATTGTTCCATGATTTTCAGGAGGGTAAATTCCAAGAGAAAATTCTCTCTGTGTATGTTTGTCGTAGACTTGTAGACGGACTTATAGACCTTCGTTTCCGAGATGTTCGAGAGAAGAGAAAATGGTACGATCAAATTCCTATATAAACAGATTAAAAGAGATCATTCTTGCGAATATATTATATTGGGAACAATTTGTTTGCAGGGACGCAAAATAGATGAGATCTAATGAGCAGAGGACGATCGTCAAACGATTGCAAATAAAGCGCGAAAAGTCCTTCATCACATCCTCATACTTATATTTATACGATACTTCCCCACATCATATGATACTTTATAATTAAAATCAGTACCTGTACAATATTTTAAATAGTGATATTTCTAAATATTAATCGTGCAAAATTTAATTTATTTCTTATAAATAAACTTTATATTCTTATTTCGTTATTTTTCAAAATTTTGAAGAATAACTCTCGACTTTTTATTCGAGCATCAGAATATATATGTTTAAAATCAACTGAATAATATTTTAACACAAACGGAGGAAAGATATTGTCGTAAAGCTAAAAGATTAACATATTATTATTTTTATTTTTAACATCAACTTTCTGGCTATACATATGTAGTACTATACTTGTAATTATAGTTTCGATCTTTGTTTGATCTCATTATCAATAAAATGTAGTACAGGAAACGACTTTATTCAATAATGCAATTTAGAAGTTTATTTAAACAGTTCCTTTTCACTATTTTTACAATTTATTTATTTATTTATTTACTCCTTTGTTATGCAACCCTTTTTACTTCGAGTCAGTATAGCTGCATTATTTATTCATTATACGATAAATGTCACCGGTATATGATCGATTATTGATAACTAAACGATTTTATCGACTGAGTAAGTTCGAATATTTTATCAAATATGACGGCACCAACTTTGCAAACTTTACAATTAGATATACTTTTTTCTGTGTCAACAACATTAATAATAATAGAATAAAAAGCCTCACAAGTCCAATCTTTTCTCCCTCTGCAATATCTTTTCTTCTTTTTCTTCCTCGAAAGTGCATATAAATTATTGCATTAAAACGCTTTAGGGCCGATTTTCCAACTTCTCGCTATAAGTTTTACCTGATAGGTATAGCTTCGTCTCTTTTCAGATAATTTCTAAAAAAAGAGACAAAGATATGCTATACTTGTTGGGTAAAACTTATCAAGAGTTGGAACAACCGGCCCTTAGTCTTATAAATTCATTTTAAATACAGAAAAGAATATATATATATATATATATATATATATATATATATATATATATTAGAAATATTATTATAGAGAGAAGTAGAATTGATTTAGTTATATATTTTCCATACCGTTCTACAATTTCAACGCTTTCTTCGCGTTCTTGTAAAATACATGCTTACCTCATGACAATTAACAAAGTAATATAAATATATATATATAAATATATATTTATATATAAATATAAATATAAATCTAAGAGTGCCGTGGAGGAAAAAGGAGCAGCGAGCAAATGAGCAAAGTGGAGTCGCACTGTCGCACAGCTGGTCCGGTCCGACCGCACGGCTTATCTGCGCGCGCATGCGCGCTGCTCAATGGCGATCGCCAGTCGTGTGGATCCGTTTGTGTGCGCGGTGCTGGTCCTACGCGGCTATCTCGGCGGACAATCGTCGATCCGAGGAACCCGGTCCACCGGGAAACCGCGAGCGCGACGACCAGGGGTCGAGCTCGATTCTCGTCGAAGGCGTTCAGCGCACAGCCGGCAAGACGAAGCTTAAAATGCCACTGGTGAGTCCTCTGTCCTTTGCTCCCTCTCGCTCGGAAGCTTCTCATTGCACATCCTGACTGTCAAGTCTCTCGCTCGAGAATGCTCCTCGTTCCTTGAGCTCTCCGCTCTGCTCTTTTCTTGACAATTTCTTTCTCGAAAATGTCATTATACCCCTCGATTCGGGTTCTTAATCAACGAGCGAGAATGTCACTGTTCGTCCTCGCGGTTGTCGAAAATGAGACCTGGGTGCGGTTTTTGTGGTTAGTCCGAAGCAAAATAAAGGAAATTACGAGTCTTTCCGAGCGAGAATCTGACCTCCAAGAGTTTATGTTAAGTTGCACTTTGTGAACGATACGATTTCAAGTGTTTGTCGAGAGTACAGTTTAAATGGGTCAACAATGAGAGAAAAGTATGTCAATGTATGCAAATGATGCTAATGTCAAAATAATGACTATTTTCAATATCAGTAATATATGTACAATATTATATGTATAATATTAGTAATACTGATTAGTTTATAGTAATTAATATGTGAGAAAAGATATCAGGGATATGCCATGTTATGATGTCTGCGAAAGAAAGGGGATCGATTAAAGTAATTGAATTTTTATACAAAAAGATTTGAAAGTGGATTGTTTACGATGCATCATTGTTAAATTTTATTTTATAGAGCACAAGTTCGAAGAAGTCATTATGCGTACTGCCTGAAGATGTTCACGAGAGAAAAGTACGTTAGTGTACAAAAGAATCTAATATTAATATTATTATCAAAATCAGAAATCATACGCAGCATCATTTTTAATATTTATTATTTGTTATAAGTTAATATAGATTATTTCTTAATATGAATAAAAATTTATTACATATATATATTATTATGTCTGTCAAAAATTAAATAAACTACAAATTAGTAGTAAAATACAGATATAATCATATACTTTTAGCATAATATGAAAATAAAAATGTTTATATCATATTTTCAGAGCAATCATGCTGCCCTCACACCATTGGAAGATATGTCTGCAGGACGAGGGCAAGCAGGTGGAGGGCCTCCTCAGAATTGTCAGAAGGTTTTTATACAGCGTGACTACAGCGAAGGAACAATGGTTAAGTTTCAAACACGATTTCCAACAGAATTGGAAAGTAGGGTGAGTATTTTAAATAAGTCAAATATTTTATTTTCTATGATATATAATTTCTGGAGATTGTGGGGAAAAGAAACTTTTTTTCTAAAATAAGATATTAAAATATATTTATTACGGTATATCTTCCCATTTAGCTGGATAGACAATTGTTCGAGTACACCATCAATCAGTTGAACAATTATTTCGCGGAAGCGGAGCGTGCGAGCTGTTCCACTTACTGCGAGAGCTGTCTATACTGTCTCACGGGTTATCTGATAAGCATATGCACCGAGACGCACTATGAAAAATGTCTACGCAAAGTCGCCAAATTTGTCAGCGAGCAGAATGATCGGGTGTACAAGCCGCGCGGCCTCCTACTGACAGATCCAACGACCCGCGGACTTAGGCTAATAGAGATCTCGGTACTGGATAGACCTGCGTCGTGACTGCATATTAGCCGATCCAGGGAGTTCTTCATGTGACCCCCGCGCAGCACTCTGGACATTACCTCGTTAGAATCACGGACATGCACGCGCTCGTGAGTGCCTGTCGGCACGATTACGAGGCATATCGGTTGGTTTGAGCCGGTTACGCAGTGTGCAGGAACCCTGCGCGAGGCTGAAGGGAATCAGTTTTACATCAACGATGATATCTTGCAGGCCGTAGGTCGCTCAGGTGTATCTTGTACGATTAATCTTGCCGAATATGCGCGAATGAGCTGAAACTCTCTTGTTATCGGGTCAAACTTAGTCGTACTTAGCCCTAAAAAGTAAAATATCGTAAATAACGATAAAATACGTGCGTCGAAATTCGCAGGAAACGGAGATATGTATTACAGAGGCAAATAATTCGTCGGAGATTTTGTTGTCGTAGATTTACTTGTCAATCTAATTATAATAACAAGCTTACACAAAGTTGGCCTAATTGCGACGAGAGAGTCTCACGTTCATTGGCGTTCGTGGTGTCTCGATCCTAAAGTGGCAGCTTCTCAAAGGCGAGAAAGAGCATGCATCGAAGCGCGTGGATGTGTAACGAAACCGTGGCACTTCTATAAGTTCAATTTTCTATATGCGTACAGAACATGTAACATACGAAAGTATATATGAAGTATATGTGGCGAATCAAGGATTGCGGAGAAGGAAAATAAAATCGTAAATGTGATTTAAATAATCGAATTGTTTACCGCGAGCCACTACGTTGATTCGTCATGTATACGATGGGGTCTACATATTTTTTTACTGTTCATTTATGACTTTATCGTATCATCTGCATTTAATTAATGAGACGTGAATGAAAAATGCGTGTTTGCGTGAATTATTTAGCGAAAAGATGGCATTCGATTTTAATCGTCTATGATACGTGCGTTTTGTTCAGAGAGATTCCACCGAAAAACCTAACCGAAAACTTTAATGAATTTCGTTCTCGATGAACGCTCAAACGAATGAGATTCCGAATTCTTCTATCTTCCGCGATATATCTTCCATTGCGCTTATGTGTCCGCGTGCAAAAACAAAAAAAAAACAAGTAATTTCGCATATTTACGTATATACATCGGTTGTGGTGTTTCGGCGCGAAAAATGTCTCTCGACAACAAAAGAAAATAGAATTCGATCGAAATTACTAACACAAGCACTCGTTGCGCTATAAAGAAACCCGAGGATTGGCTTTAAAAAAATGCATAAACACAGTGATACAAGAGATAGATTACGAATTCAAATCGATTGGCATTGTGATCAAGGATAAGCCGAAACCATTTGCTATGCTACATGAAAAATTTCTTACGTCACTTTAGTACGCTCTCTTAGTGAAAACTGGAACGCCCGTTGGCTATCGTCGCCGATCTCTGTTCGTGAGTCCTCGAGATCTGCTCGCGATACACTGGATATTTTCTCTACTCTGTTAATTAGTTGTAAATGATGATCTCAAACGATACAACGACGCAACACCATGTCTACATTTACTTTTTCTTACTCGCACTTTGGGAGCCTAAAGTGTCGCAATAAGTCAGGAACAACACACTTTTTTTGCATAGCATCACTTTGTCAGGTATTGACATAAATCGCGAACGTGTTGAACCAAGTTTAGATTACGATTTTCGATTTATGATATATACTTATCGCGGTATTTCGCATACAAATGGTGAACGATCTCTTTCATTCTTGATCACAATGCTGCGGAGCGCCTGTTCGACGTTGTAATGCGACGTATTGCTAAAAGAATCTTGCCAAATCAGCGTGTCACTGCCTCGGCGTACGATATCCTAGTGTGGACGAACGGATAGAAAAAAAAATCCTTGTACAAGCTAGAGAAAATTGAAGAGAGAAAGAGAAAGAGAAATGACTGAAGGAAATCTGCCAATTTTCTCAAACGAAAGAAAGATGATTTTTGAAACAGGAAGTGACATTAGGGAAAGGATTTTTTTTGTTATCCAATTCTTTTGCACGTCGCAATATCACGTACACGGTGCTCTGATTACATGCAACATGCGCATGTTTGTGCATATAATGTATATATAGCGGATTAATCGTCGACACACGAAGAGTATAAAAGAAAAGGAAGCAAATCGTTTGTTATACTTAATTTAATTTAGTAGGACCAATATTGGATTGATGATCCGTAAATTGTAAAGGACACCATCGTGTTACGAGTGTAATTTCTAAATGTTTTAATAATTAAACCGGCGTAAGAGCTCGTATATCTTGCTTTGGAGAAATTTGTTTTTAATTCCTCGTCGATTATTTCACGCGTGGCATCGATATAAGTATGGTAGCACATAAATATAATAGACATATATTATGTAGTTTATATGTACAGTTACAGATTATATATATAATATGTAAATATGTATTATGTATATATAAAATATAGTTTTAATATTTATATGTTTATAGATATAAATATAAACATATAAATGCGGAGAATTTATTTTATATATGTATATATATAAAATAATATATAAGATAATATAAATATATAATAATATATTTATATTATGTTATATTTTATATAAATATAACACATAAATGTAGAGAATTTATTATATATACATATATATATATATATATATATATATATATATATATATATGAAATATGTACCTACACAATATAGACATGTTGATTTTTCTACATATATAAACAATACAATATATAATATAGTAATAAAGAATTTAGTCTTTATATTTATATATTTATATATAGGTATATAAACATAATGTATAAATATGAAGACTTTATTATATATATGTATGTATATGTATGTAATCTATATGTATAGTTACAGATTTATATATATATACAATCTATAACTGTACATATATAATTTATAATAGTACTGTACTAAATTCATATTTAAAAAAACCGCGTAAAAAATTTACCGCGCACTGGAGTCTCGCTTCGATACTTCGAGAATTGCAAGAATTGCTTCTCATTGACAAACTTCAAATCGTAGAGTCAGGGAACGTGTCGCGGCAGATCGCAAGGAATGTCCGTATATTTTCCACGATTATTGTTATTAAAAGGTGAATTTTGCGCGCGTGAAACTATCGGAAGTGTTTTATAAACCGTTTGTTACATGAATATTACATGCGACCATTTTTACTCGTTAGTATAATATCGCAAACGGTAAATCGGCTAATCGCTTTGATCTCACATATCATTTCATCGCGCTATGTTCTTACCAAGACACATAGAAACTACTTGGATCATTATTAGGTAAGGTTTTTCACAATAAGCTGCAGTGATTATATTTTTCGAATGATTCATTATTTTGTCTAATTATATAGGCATATAAATATGGAAATTATACACACACACACATATATATATATATATATATATATATATTCTCCATATTTATATATTTATTTATATATTTATTTATAAATTGATATATTTATATATATTTATATTTATATATGTTCATTTATAAATTATATATTTATTAATAATATGTAATTTATACATATAATTACAAATTATATAGGTATACACACACACACACACACACAAAATTTGTAACTATACATGTACATGTGTAGTCTATGAAGGTATCGTACCGACAACAACATTTAAAAAGCCCGCGTAAAAATTTACCGTGCACTACGCCCTCTCATCTGAACATCGTAGTCTCGCATCTCCCTTCGATACTTCGAGAATCGCAAGCATCATTTATTCTCGACGGACTTCAAATCGTAGTCAGTCACGGAACGGGCACGGCGTATCGCAACGAAGATCTGCATGTTTTCCGCAATTGTTGTTATTTACAAGTGAATCTCGCGCGCGAAGAATTATCGGGAGTGTTTGATGAGGCGTTTGTCATATGAATATTACGTACGATCGCTATTACTCGTCAATATAGTATCGTGATCTCGTACATTGGCGAATATTGCTTCGATGTCACATATCACTTCATCGCGCCATTTTCCCGCCAAGACGCAACAAAATTATTATTAGGTAAGATTTTTCATAATAAGCAGCAACGATTATATTTTTTCAAATGATTCATTACTTTGTGTCATTATCGCGATCGAAGTATTGACTCATTAATATCCAAGAATTGCAATATTGAGTTTTCTATAGAATTCTATAGAATCTATAGATTCTATAGAATTCTATAGAATCTATAGATTCTAAAGAATCAATTGCAAAATAGTCGTCTTCAATTCGTCCTATATTTTTCTTCGCGATTATTACTGTTTGAAAGAGAAAAATTATATTATTGTGAATGTTTTTTATAAAGTCGGACACCAAGTGTCGCTTGAAATTATTATCATATATATATTTTTTTATTTCAGCATCGAGATCTGTTCCTGTGTTCATCCTTTGTGGAGTTCATCAAGATTCGCTGAAATCTCTCGTCTTCGAATCTTCCATTTGCCGAAATACATGGTGAAAGTGCAATGACTGCACCTTGTATCGTCACTAAGTAAGTGTCATCACCAAGTAAGTGTTATAATTATGTATCTTTCATGTCGGCAATGAAGCCGTGAATTGTGATGGATGCATTAAATTTATACTTTGCGTGGCAAACTTGCATCAATACTCATTAATTACCGATAATCGGTGATATCAAAGTGATATCTTTCCTCTGTAAAGGAGAGGAAAAAAAATATTTGATAGGAATTTTGGATAATATTTTACTTTTAGTGCCTAATAAACAAATCAAGATCTAAGCTCTTATGAGGTTCATAAATTATAATACTTAATTATAGGAAAAAAATTGACAATTTTTTACAATGAGTTTTAACGATATTTTCTTCAGATTGTAATATTGAATTTTTTAATTAAAATAATGATAGAGACAAATTAATATTCCTAAAATAAATTTTTTAACGATATTTTGTCTGATTATGTCATATTAAAGTTTTTATATTAAAATAATACGTTTCTATAAACATAATAATTTTCGAATAATATCTAATTTTGCTTAAAACAAGATTTAAATAAAAATAATAAATTTATAAGAATTACATTTTTCTAAGAATCATATTTTGAAGAATCATGTTTAAAAATTTGTTTTTAAATTTGATAAAAGGGCTTAAATAGTAATTTTGAAAGGGTAAAATAATGCGGCACATTTGAGCGGCTGTTTGAGCACATCCAGATTTTATTTGACCGTGTGCAACAATTTCTGATAGGCATATTGATTCGCAGCTATATCAAAAGACTAGAAACCAGTCTCACTCTCATGTTGCTTAACTCTCAGACTCACATCCAAAAACGCAATGCGCTTGAGAAATTCTGTTAGGAAATAACACCGATTTTGTGCGCGCAAATTTTCCATTCAAGATATCTGACCTTTAATTTAATCGATGCGATAATTTGAATAAATAAAAAAAGAGAGAAAAAATTTACGGCGTACTGAAATATTGCCTTGAGATCGGAGTTATCTTCCGATCGGTATGTCCATATATGTGTAAACGGCCGAATAAACGGAAATGCTAATGAATGAGTGAACGTAATATTCGCGTTTGTCGCGATCTTTCGAAGGGTCAATGTACAAAACTCGAACTGGAAATAATCGCGGTGGACTCGCGTTCATGCTTGCGTCACGGATTATATGTGCATGCGTGCATGCATGTACGATTTAATCCTATCATTGCCTCCGTTTACGAGCGCTGATTAACCGCGATACCAAAGTGCCGCCTCTTGCTATGTACCCATATATATGATTCGTTATGTACATACATATATATATATATATATATATATATGTGTGTGTGTGTGTGTGACGAGATTTGATGATGAATATTTATGCGATCGTGTTCGCAACTATATTCAAGCTAGCTGTAAGTTCCATAAAAGAAGAATTCTTTCTCGCAAGATGGAATTTTTTATTTTCTCACATACGAAATTGAAAATGTTGCGCGTAATTTGTGTGTGCTTTACTCTTTTTTTTAAAATATATATTCTTTATATTCTTACAAAATATTTAAAATCGTTGAAATTTTTGCGCTTATTGTTAGAGTTAAAATTCTTTATCTACACGATTTTTAAACACTTTAATTCTCTACTTACTTCGGATTCTGTGTTTACAAAATTGTAAACGCGAAATGCTTTTTGCTACTTGCAGAATTTAAAATATTTTAACGCATTTTTACTTAAGACTTTTTTATGTGTAGAATTTAAAATATTTTAAATTTATTTACTTGAAACACTGCTAAAATATTGAAGAACACCAAATTCAATTCAAATTAAGAAATTCATTTTTTTTTTATTTAACTGTATCAATTTTTAATTCTCATCTTCATTATCGCGGAGATCGCTTTGCAAGGAGAGATCCGAATAACACAAGCATTAAAAATTGCACTCGTTAGTAATTTGAATTGCATATCGTGGAGCAGCGTGTCCGCGAGTCCGACTTTGCACGTCCTTGATCTGCAAAGCATCACGTCATCGATCCCTTCGCCCGCCGAATAATACATATAGCCTAGAATATCATCGAGATGTGATACAAAAAGATTGTCAAAATTGAATTCTTCGTCATCATCGTGTTATCATTATCCGACGACGTCCAACGTTTTCACATGCATACACATAGCACACTCCCTCGCGCTCTACGGAATTGCGATTATGAGCAATGTCGTTGTGAGGTGCAACGACCGACCGTCAAGTTCTCTAACTATCTAGCCATCGACTAAATGTACATATTTACGTAATACCGTGTCTATGTATTATCGCCTTAAGATCTACGGACAACAGTCTTCTCTCAAGATCCGGTTTTTTTTTTGCGTAAGATATCACTTCGGATATTCTTCTCGTCTCTCTTCTGTCTTCTTTTTTTTCGTCATTAATATTATTACTGCAGATTTTGATTCGTCATCTGACAAAGGCATAGCGAAGAAGTTAAAGTCAATATAAGATACTTTTTCAGAATATATATTTCCTTCCTCATATAATTACGTCAATTTGCATTTGTCCCTCTTGTTATATAATCTTGTCTCTTTTTCGTGTTATTTTCGTATTATTATATGCCCAGCTTTTCTTCGATTATTTGAATTTGTGTCCAATTCGATCAAATAATATCAAGATGTTTAATTAGTTTTTATTTTCGTAAATATGAAGCGAGCGATTGTGAAACAATTGATCTTTAAAAAATTAGAATATTCTTTTCTGATAAGAAATTTAAATTTTCTTATTTATTTTTTGGCCTTTACTATTCTTTTGAGATATTTTTTGACGTGATACAGTTTGTTTTTTTCAAATTTAATTAAAGCCTCTTTTCTCGTGTTTTTAATTTTTACAAGTTGCAACATTTACATCATTATTTTTTGTCATTACTTGTTTTCTCTCTTTTTAAAAAATTTTTTTTATATTGATCAATTTTAAATTTATTAAACGATTATTTTAAATTGCAAAAATATAAGTAAAGTAAATGACAACTTTGCAGATATCGACATTCTTTTATATTTATATTCTTTTCTTTTTTGCAAGTTTTTGAAAAGGATTCATTTCCCATAAATATATCTCGCTACTACAAAAGTAGCTTAAACATTTTTTAAAACAATTTTTTCGGCATTATTCACTCATCGAGAGTAATTCGATTGCGTTATTGGAGCAGATAGTCTTATCCCCTTAAAAGCAATTTCTAAGAAGTTCATTCTAAAGCTTTTTTCTCAAGGATAGTCACATTAATCCATAGAGTATCTGTCAAATTTCTTCCAAACAGTCGCACCGACAGATATCATTTTCCACAATCTGGAAGCTGCGACGTGTATTGAAATATGTCTTTGGGAATACATATCATCGGCCATTAACATGGCATCATTCGGGAATACTTTCGAGCGTCGTTGAAGTTAGCCGTCAAATGAGCAGGCACAGTTTGTTCCGATTCTTTCTTTCCGGAAGCAAAGCTTTCGATTTACCGGCGTCCTCCGAGCTACTTCTAGCGTAGAGAGATCTGCTGATGCGATGTCGGACTCCTTTGCTCAGAGTACGCCCGCTCTTCCTCAATGAAGCGAATCTACCGAGCGTCGACTTCTCCGGCACTTGTTCCCTTTTGTCGGGGTGAGCGCAGTTCAGTGTCGTTACCGTGAATTCGATATCCCTGGGTTCGTAAGAGACAAATTCCTCCACCGGTTCCTCGATTGTGTCGCGATCGATCCACGTCAGTCCCATCTCGACCTTCTCCGCCAAGTCCTGCCAGTGCTTCCGGTTCTCCATGGTACCTTCGTAAAGCGGTAATATCCACGGGAACGTCTCCGCCAGGACCTTGTAGAGCGGCAGGCAAATGACATCGATGAAGCCGACCTGCATCTGCGGTAATTCATCCCGTCTCTCGCGGTCCATCATCGCCACCGGTTGCTGATTGAGCTGTAAACGCTCTAGATCGCCTTGGTCGAAGAACTCGTCGGCAACCAGCTTCGCGACGCGATGCTGCACGTCCCAGGGCTTCGCTATCGCGCTCACGTCGCACGCTGTCATCATCATGCCGCATAGTACTGCAAAGGAACAGTCAGGATTAATTAGTCGTATTTTCAGACGACGAAAGATTTTGGAATACGAGGTGGGATCAAAAAGTTGCTGCAATTTTGGTTTATTTGAAAAAATATGTCTTTATTCGTCTACTCTCTAAATTTCTTGGAGTGAAAACTGAACAATCTCATTCCAAAAGAGTGGAATTTTTCTCCAAAAGAGTGAGATTCTACTCTTTTATGTTCATTTTATATTCTCAATTAATATAGATGAATGAAAAGATACTTTTTCAAATAAACAAAAATTGCACGAACTTTTTGATCGTACCTCGTAAATTAAATATAAAATTATCTTACGCTCTTTCTTCTCCTCGCTCTGCCAATCGAATTCACCCTCGTCGATCACTTCCATGAAACGATTCCTCTTCTTGAAATACATCGCCAGATCGGTTGATAGGATAGCGCTTTCTACGACCTTCATTACGCGTCTGTAGTCCTCCATAGACAAACTCTGAAAGATATTGTTGCTGTCCGAATTCAGGATCATGACGCACTGATCGAAGTGATGGTGTTCCATCGTGCTAGTCGAGTACAGAATCGCCAATGGCGATTCCGTTTTCGTCTGGAATGCGTTGTTGGTACCGCGATGGTCCAGATCGTGACAGAGACAGGCGACCAGAAGGCCGAGAATTTCCAGATCGGTCATGAATTGCTCCATCTTGCCCGTCTTCAGCATCGCGAACATTGTCTGCGCGACGTTTAGCGCGTGCCGCCAATTGTGATACTTTACTGGCCTGTCAAAAATATCATTTCTACTCTCACAATTTTATTTAAAATCGTGCATTTGAATTTGTGTCCAATTCGATCAAATAATGTTGAGATGTTTAATTAGATTTTATTTTCGTAAATATGAAGCGAGCGATTGTGAAACAATCGGTCTTTGAAAACATTTATTTTATTATTAAAAATTATTTTTTTTCTATTATCTTTACTATTTTTTCTATCTTACGATCTTTACTATTCTTTTAAGATATTCTTTGACTTAATGCAGCTTGTTTTTTTTTCAAATTTAATTGAAGTTTTTTTTTCGTGTCTTTAATTTTTACAAGTTGCAACATTTACTTATATTATTATTTTTTGTCACTACTTGTTTTCTTTTTTTTTAAATTTGCATTAATGCATTTAGTACCTTTAAAAACATTGTTTTGATAAAATCAAATTTAGCATGACGAACGTAATCAAAAGACAAGGAAAAATCTACGAGATGAAAAACAAGAATGAAATGATATTTTCACCTATAATTTTTCTTCACACTAAGAATCCATCTGCATAAGACGTCGTATGGTATGTGAAACTTCTGTATGAGATCGCACTGTTTGAACATTCTGATGGTGGCGCGACACGTGTCGTCGTCGGTGAGATCAAAGTCGATGAACGTGAAACTGTAGAGATTATATATTTCTGCGGACGGTATAGTGTCGGAGACAAGTCGCAGGGCGTCATCGTTGTTGGCGGTCGCGTGATAACTCAGACACTCGAGGGCCACCTTTTGCTTCGCCATCAGCTTGCACGCGGACTCGTACATTTGTGTATTATGAATGCCGAGACCGCAGAAGATGGCGAACGCCTCGAATATCGACACGTCCGAATCGGTGAAAGACGTGCCGTTATCCTGCAAACAATTTTTTACATCATTAATAATTAGACACTCGTGCGACAATTCTCTTACCATGTACACAGAAAATTTTCTCTTAGAATTTATATTTTGAAAATCATAGTAATTGTGGGACTGCAATAAAAATATTAATATCTATCACAATAAGATATAAAATACGTATACTATTAATTTTACTAAAATAAAATTTGCTAAGTATACATATTAATATTTTTTATTATGGTAAATATTAATCAGAGAAACTCTTATAAAATTCTTCAATATCATATTGTCCCACGATTACCATGATTTTCAGGGTAAATTCTAAAAGAAAATTCTCTACATGTATGATATTATATATTTATGTCATTTTTGAAATGAGATGAATGTTTTTTTAGAGAAATCTATTCGATAATAGTAATATTACTAGTATGAATAAATTGCCTTAAAAACTGTTTTTATATAATTTTAATTGCACATGCGCGCAAAAATATGGAAATATATACGTATATGCGCAATAAATTATCGTTTGATACTTAGCGATTTGCACACTCAAGCCATATATTATTTTAAAAAATCAGGAACATAATAATTGCGTAACATAGAGTGCAGATTATATTAACAGATTATTAAGGATTATAAATGCAAAGTATCTTGATGCATGCAAATTATCAACAACAGATTATATAGATTATTCAAGATTATTACCAAGTATTATTTATAAATTGCGAAGTAGATTATCAATTCAGACCTTGTTGATCAATTGAGCAACTCCGATGACGATTCTCTGTCCGTTAACGATCGGCATGCACAGGATACTCCTAATGGGTTTCCTCCCGCTCTCCGTTACGTCTTTCTTCAACCACGTGGCGACGTCACCAATATTGAGAATCTGCCCCGTCGCGGCGACGTATCTCGCGATCTGTCCCAAGGGACTCGATAGGTCGTTGTTGCTTGGTCGATAGACTCGGGCCTCTTGCGTTTCGTTCTCCATCTCGAAGACCATAGTGAATTTGGTGCCTTCGGTCGATGTCTGAGAAAAATAAGAATAATATAATTGCATCTTATATAAAAAAAATATTTAACAATATTTTTTTGTCGCTTTCATTTTTATATCCCGTCAACGTTATTTTCAAATAGTGTTATTTTTAAGAGCTTGATGGGAATATGTTTTAAAGCTTAACAAGTCATATTTAACAAGATAAAATTAAAAGCTTGAAGATATTCTCTAAAAAAAATAATTTATAGATTTTCCTGTTATTGGAAAGGTTCAATTTTTAAATGAATTTGATTAACGTCACGCAAGTACGGGTGAAATACGGTCATTTCATCGGGAATGCTGAAAAATAACTGCGCACATTTTGATTTTTATTCACGTGTATCTCTTTGTAAAATTAATTTGATCACTTACGTGTTGTTGAAAAATGTCCTCCATGTCGATGTTGTTGCTCTGAGCCGCCAGGAAAGAGAAAAAGATCATCAGACTTACGAATTCGAGTAACACGTGACGGTGCCACTCACCTCTCTTCTCGACAACGGCTTTCTGCTCTCTTGCACCGATTTCCCGGGCCGCTCGACGATTTTCTCGAGATGCCCCTAGAACGCGAAACTTAGCATCTCTTATTGTGCTCTTAATAGCAGCGTTTAGTTAATCGAATATTAACATATCCAACTAATTGAACGTACGTCTATTTTTCCGATATATATATATACAGGGTTAGCATAAATCGAGGGTTAGCATACATGTATTCATCGAGTTTCAAAACTTCTCATAATACTTACTTTTTATTTAGAAGTATAAGACTTACAAAGATGGGTGATACGCATGAAAAGATGTATACTTCTACATAAAAAGTGTTTTGAAACCCGATGAATCAATTATTAGGGTGTCTGCTGATGAATCATTTATCAGCGGTCAGGGAAATCTGGAAAACCGGGTATCGTCAGGGAATTTTATAAATCTGGAATTGTCAGTGAAGAGTCAGGAAATACTATTTATCTGAATTTTTTCACATTATTCTACATTTGTCTCAATAATTTGAAATTTTTTATTAAATAAATATAAACTTTTCTTTAACTCCCAGCACGCTAATTTTTTGTATTGTTAAAAATCGATTCATCTGCAGCGTGTTCGTTAATTTATATTTTTATCGTGTTATTTTATTTCAAATAAAAAAGGTGATTATTTAAATAGTTTATAGTGACATGTTTGTTTCGATTATCGTACATAATGCAGATTGTATAATTGATTTAAATTTTTGTTTTAACTTCGAACCTTTTCATTGTTTAACATTTAATTGATTTATCGTATAAATATGTGCAAATTATATATTTGGAAAAAATAATACTAAAAAGTCAGGGAAAACATTAATTTCTGGTTTTGGAAAATCTGAAAAAGGGAATTATTTTCATCGAATCTGCTGGACACTCTGTTTATGCTAACCCTGCATATAGATGGTTTCGAGAATCATTCTCTAGATTTACTTCACCATCTCGGTTCAACGACGCCGTATATATTCCACATATCGCGCAAGGGTTTAAAATCTATCTCACAAACAGAAAGCACACTTACTGCTTCGCCGCAATCCAAGTCGAGCAAATAAACGGCGCATCTTTCGCACTTGAGGAGCTCCTTCGCCTCGGTCATGATCTTCGTGACAAGACACTCGAGATTGTTTTGCTCCTCGAATATGTTTCTCGCCAGATTGAGAAGTATCTGATTGCGCCGGTATTCCTGCACGGACAGCTCGAATAATTGCGCGTTCTGTATGCCGATACCGCAGAACGTGAGGTATCTACGACAATCGATATATGTTGGGTAAAATTAGATGCGCGATCGTATTAATAAACACATTGATCGTGCACGGCGCCCATTATAATTGCGTATATACCCGGCAATTACAACATAGTTCTTGTCAACTGGCCTTACATCACTTATGCAATCAGTTAATGCTTTTGCTCCGAACGAGGGCTTAAGCGTCTGATACTTAATTATAATTACAAATGCGATTATGTATTTTCTACACGAATCTCGCCTCTGTTGCCTTACCTTTGAAACACCTCGACGTCTCTGTCGGTGAATTCGTTGCTGCCGTTTGTCTTGTTGATGATTTGAGCGACTCCGATGACGTCGCCCTCGTAATTACAGATCGGCATCGATAGGATCAACGTCGTTTTATATCCGGTTCGCATGTCGATGGCGCTGTTGAATCTCGGATCCTATGTGAAATGTGAACAGAAATATTCATATTTTAATCTCAACGTCGAAGGCGTAGGACTCATTATCGATTAATCGGCCATTAGATAGAATTATTCAGAGAGCTTAATCGCGATTCTTTTTTATCGCTCGTAATCATTGTTGCCGAAGAAGAATTTAGTAATTCGGAGATGCGAGAGACCTTATAAGCATCCTTAATGTTGATAATTTCCTTGGTATGCGCCACGTAACCGGCGATACCGACTCCGAACGGTATTTTGATCTCCTCGTTCTTCGCCCGTTGAATGGCTTCCTCCAGCTCTGTGTCCTGTCTGACGTCAAACAGTTTTGCCACGAGGTATCGCTCGTCCAGGGGTCCCTTAGCCAGGAATAAACTGCCGCGATCGGCATGAGTGAGTAGGCCGACATTCACCAAAATCTTATGACAGAGGATATTTATGTCCAGCTCGTTCGCCACGTCCCTTATTAGTTCCATAAACAAATCGCTCTCGTCCAGCTTGCCAAGCTCCTCGCGACGACCCTTCATCGACGTATGAGTTCTATAAAAGATACGTAATACGTGATTTAAATCATTGTAAAGCGTGTCTTGTATTATGGAGATCCGAAAACAATTTTTATAATATTAAATGTCGATTATAATTCATTAAAAAATATATATATGAAAAAATATATAGAGACCCATTATGGAAGTATTTATTTTAATATACACGTGCAGCAATTTAATAGTGTAACATGAAGATGTGAGATAATATTGTGATATATTATCTTATCATTATTACACGGATTACCTGTTGGGACTCCTGCTGCGCTTCGCAGGTGAACTCGAGGCCAACCATGTTTGAAAGAGATCGGAGGTAACGCTGTTGCGTTTGCCCCGATTGAGAAGACTCTCCTCTTGCTGCACGCGCGGCGCGCTTGGTGTTATCGGTTGCAGCATATACGTGTTTTGTAATCTTTGCCGAAGCTGAAGGCTCGCTTTCTCCCGCATCCACGTTTCGACTAGAGCGGGATTCGCCTCCAGGTACCTTTGTAATTGAAAAATGTCATTTCGTAATGTGTGTGAAATATGGAAGTTTTCGACGAATTTGCATACATAAAATCTGAAAGTATTCAAGTTTGACAAATCTTCATTAATCTTGCTTATATAATATGCTATATTAATGAGATAATATGATATTATAAATATATAAAAAAGTAATAAAGATTTGTCAAACTAGAGTACTCTTCGTGAAATTTTATATATGCAAATTCATCCACATATAAAAGTTAAATATTAAATATTTCTGTGATATATCATATCTATATTTTTACAATATTTTAAAATAATGAAACATATGAGTTACATATTTCATAAATAATTTAAAAGAGTAAAACCATTAAAAATAATCTGTGAGAAACCTAATATGTGTTGATAAAACTTACGTTAATATTTTGACAACATTTATTTTTAAAATTCTTTTTTATTAGAAATAATTAATTGAATAATATTGCCATTCTTGAGGAGGGAAGACAAGCTAAGTTAATATATAAGTTGATTACCTTCCAACTCTATCCATAGTGAGGTTGTCGTCCTCATCGTACTCGTGTATGGTGTCCTGACAGCTGACTTTCTTGCTTCTGCACAGCTTGACAATTTCAGCCTCCTTTACGTCAGTCTTTGTGCTTGTACTTAGAGATACTTTTGATTTTGGTCGCGCGGACGTTTTTAACTTTCCGGGACTATCGTCGACGGAATCGACGTTTTCCGATTGTTCGGGATTGGACGAGCGCACTAAAAGACAGTCGTTTTTCTCCGGTGTCCTCTCGGACACCGGTTTTGTAGAGATCTTCATCGTCTCGAAATTCTCGAGATTGTTGTTGTGATTCGCCTGTAAAAGGTATTATAACGCCTGTAAAAGAAATTATTTGTTCCTACGCGATATAAAATTTATTTTTAATCTGTGACATATTTCAAATTATTTTGCGATATGAAATGAAAAATATATAAAAATTGCACTCAATATTGACTCTGTTGTTACGCGAGCAAAACCTGTAGTTTCATAATATACTTTTCAAAGAAACAATTTTAAAGCTATTTTCCGAATTAATTCTCTTTATTTTTTTTAATTATTTGGATATTATTTTAACATGTGTAATTTTGGAGAATTTTTACATATTAAAGTGAGCTTGTTGTACATCATACAGATTTACATAATTCTTAAAAAATAAATAGTAATATTTATTTATATTTTTAGGCTAATTGTTCAAAGTATTTAAAACGATACTCAAACATTTTTATCCTTAATACATTTTCTTTTAATAATTTTAATCATTTGTTAAAATATTCAGGCTCTGATCACAAAATATTCTCGATTTATTGAAGCATTATCTAAACTCAATTGTACGGTTATGACGACAAAAGCATTAATGCAATTTGTTTAATTACTTCCGTGTCGGCAGCCTCCGACAACTCGTCATCCACTTCGTCTTCCGCTTCCATATCACCTTGAGCTTAATGTAACGTGCATCGAGCGCAATAGGAACGTTCAGTTATGTCTGCCGCGAGAGCCGTGCGAATGAAAAGGCTTCACATCTCATCGTTTTCCGGTGTTATCTTTGCGAGTCCCGAAAATTTGAATCTGAAAAAATTCGAATCTGAAAAAAAAGTTCATAGTTTCTTTGTAACGCAAAATATCTTCCTTTGAATATTTTATATCCACAATATATAGTCTACTTGATGATGTCGTATTATTCTTTGTTTCTTTGTGATTTATCAGTAAATATAGAAACATATCGAGTAACGTAATTTAAATTAACTTTGATAAACAATTCGCTACATTATACGCGACCACCAACCACATGATTGTTATTGTTGTGTAGCGCAAAGCTGCTACTTTATTTATAGACGAATGCTCTTCTCAACAATTCATATCGATTTTTAATATATGAATATGTATACGCAGTGATAATACGTAGAGAATTCAATTTTCCATATTATCGCTTTGCGTTTGATCATAACATACAATAATTTAACGCTATCGTATATAATTCGCGACTTCTCATTCGTCTCGAATAATCCAGGTATAATCAAATTTTATACAACTGTTGAAAGAAACGTTTCAGAAGGCTTTGCCGGGAAAACAATTTTTATATATAACAATAGAAAATTATATGTATATATAATCGCAAAATTATATATGAAATATGTCCATACATAATTAGATAAAAGTGCTTTATTATATATATATATACATATAATAAATAAATATTTCTTCATATACTACATATATAAATATATATAATTTGACATGATTATATATGAACCCTTATAATTTATATATAAATTTATATAATTATATATAAAAATCGACGTATTTCACATATAATTTTACGATTATATATGTATATAATATATTATACAATTATTTATATATAATTATATATAAAAAATTGTTATGATATGCCAATGTGTGGTCTATAGGGATTTCAAGAATCGAGGGCGAGTTTCTCGTACGAATTTCATGTTTAATCGGTCTTTTGCGACTTGTGCAATTCGCATATGATATCGAGCATCTTCTTAATTCTTTCTCTCGCGTGTTTTCGTTCTCTTTCACCTTTCTCTTTCTCGCGGGGGGGATCGAAGGCAACGACCCACCGGGGAAATCCACGTCTAATCACTGAATTATGAAATTATGCGATTCAATATTCATGAAGAAGCCGCCCAGCCGCCGCCGCCGCTGCTGTCGTCGTCTGCAATTCTCAACGAGAATAACCGCTTCGCATTAAGTCCCTTGTTAATACGTTTCCTGTCGATGATTATCCTTCCCGCGCGCATCTCTCGCTCTCATAACTCCGACATTTTAGCCGCTAAATTGGAACCGAGACTGCGGATAATTGGAATGTCATAGCGACATGCGTATGTATGAACTCAATGCATATATATATATACGTATATATATATATGGAATTTGTTATTATATTCAAGCACCTCGATTATTTTTTTTTCTTATGAAATGCGTCGCATGAAATCGAGTTACACTTTGATATATATAAATAAGCCATTTCGATAAATAAGCCATTATGATATTTAAAACACGTAGTATATTTGAACGCGCTTTAAATTTATATTACGATTTAACTCAATTTTTTTTTGAAAAAAAAAAAACCAAACAAAAATACATATTTTTATATGCAATATATGTATATATAGATATTTCTCTTAAAATTATATTTAAATGACAAATAGTGCACGTTTCGCGGCTTATTTGCGTCATAAAGTTTGATCTAATAAAAGCCCTTTATAACTTATAACTCTCGAAAGCTATTAGCGGATTACATGTTACAATGTACCTCATAATATGTTTATTCCGATATAATATATTTTTTTATATATCGTCGATATCATTATATTTGAAAGGGCTATTGGTTAATTTTTTCAAATTAATTTGCAAGAAATATAAATGTAAATAAAAAAAAATATATATACATATATGTATAAATATAAAATATGTAATAATTTTGAGATATCTAACATATATTTTTTTCTATACATTTAATATGCATTGAAGGACTTGCGAGAATCAATTCCTCTGGGACGCGAGTTTGATTGCTTACTTACATAATACCGAGAGTAAATACGCCAACTCGACCGCAAAACGCAAACACAGACACCTGCATCGCTCACCTGCGGTAAACCGTTCGTGAGGATCGTCTTATAAATGCAGTACACCCGCGTGTCTGGCCCGAAATAGCCATCACTCCTGCAAAATGTCACTCGTGGTTTCCCGTTGCACGTGAAAGCTCGTTCCTCTTCACATACAATCGCGAGTCCTTCGTCGAAGGGACATTATATTTCAGCGGACCGTGACCATTTTCCGGGGAAAAATTCAACTCACTATTAATTAATTAATTAATTAATTTTTTAAATAAGCGTCATCGAACGCACATGGAATGTCGCACAAAAGTCGCGCACTTGTTTCATTTTTATTTGAAATTTCCTCTTATAGCAAGCATATATTCCTGTAGTCGCGTCGATATTCCTCTCTTGGCAAGCGTGTGGAAGTACTGTATTTTCGTAACGTTTTCCTCTCGTTGCCGAAGGCATTGAATCGCGATCGACCGAATTGAAAGCGCGACCGTCTCACCGTTTAGCGAAATTCGGAGATGCGAAACGCCGTCGTGCGAACACGCAGACGCATATACTCGTGTGACTCGCGTATTTTTTTTTTTTTTTTTCACGTTCAAGTTCGTCGCAACGTTCGATATATTATATCCGCGTTACGGCGTGTTCTCCATCTCGATCCGATGTCGTTCGCCAAATCGCGATCTTCCCTTAAAGCCACCTACTTATTGCATTATTTTCCGAAATTAATTAAATTTTAATCTTCGCTCCTTCGCTCTGTCAATTAATTTCCTTTTAAGCGTATTACGTGCGAAACTGATCAGCTGATTGAAAAATCCCCTTTTATCCTCCATCAAAGGCAGATCGTCGCGATCGCGCGTGATCGCTGTGAACTCTAAACGAGAAGATCTCCGAGCGCTTCCGGGAGCGAGATCATCGCCTCCTCCGCACGCGGCTTCGATCGTCCCCACGTCGTCGGCCTCACAAATAGAAAAGCCCTACCCTCGCTCCTTCTCTCCACGATGAGTTATTTATCGTAGAATCGCTCCGATCTCTCGCGCGATCGTCGGCGCATCTTCCTCGCGAACTGCTCCTCTTCGTTCTCATCCTTCTCCCGTCATCGAATCACAATATTGCTCGCCTATAAGAGAAAAATATCTAGAGACGAAGGTCTTGGATCTTTGCACAGGTCAGCTGGCGACCGACGTCTAGAATCGATCTCTTCGAGATCTTGGAATCATCCCCCTGGAGTCACCCCGTCTTGTTAATGTCACGTTGCAAGATCCCCAGCTCCGCAAATTGTGTCCTGAAGAGACCCCACTCGAGCTTTCTCATTCTAATTTCAGAACAAGTCCGGAGAAGAGGATAATTTCGCGAAAGAGGATCACGCAGGTGTACTATATTATAATCGCGTGACGGCTGCGTTTCGCGCCGGGACGCGAGACGCGACCGCGGTGTTATCAAGCGCGGGATATGATGCGGACCGGTTGAAAGCTCCGAGCTTACTGGAGTCTCCCTCTCGGGTCAGGCGGACGCGGGTATATTCGAGGAGGAGAGTGGCGCGGCGCGGAGCTCGGCTGGCTAGCTGGCTGGTTCTGGCTGGCTACGCGTCCGAGCCTCCCACGGTTTCTCCACGTCCGTCGACCGTCTTGGGGTGTACTATCACGTCGCATCGAACCCGAGAGAGCGCGTTATCACGCGAATATATACCTCTCTCTCTCTCTCTCTCTCTTTCTCTCTGTACCGGGACACGTGACGTTTTATCGTACTCGCGAATATAGTTGTCTTCTCTCGTGGTGCCTTCGCGTCTTCGTGGTATATAAGAGGTACAGCACCACGCTCGATGTGCGCGTGTGCGCTTATCTTCCCCACAGCTGGTGTGGGTGATGCTGTGCGCGCGCGTATGTACATCTCTCCGTGTGTATATGTATATATCTCCGATATGCTGTATGTGTGCGCGCACGTGCGGCAGGGACGCCGAGGAGAGAGACGTCTTCTCTCTCTCGCGCGCTCTCGTTCTCAACCCTCCGGGAAAGATCGATAGCGGCCGGCGGAGAGAGAGTGTATCCCGGACAGGCAGGCAGGCAGGCAGGCCATAGAGAGGCAGCATCCCCTGATGAGAGATTTTCGGCTTCGGAATTTCGCGAGCGCCGGCCGGCGCGGCGATATGCCGATGATGCCGCGCTCGATCGATCGACCCGTTTCCTTTCTCGCTGTTATAGCCGCGCGCGCTTTTGCGGAAACTAACGAGCGCGGAAAAACCGTCCCTTTCTCTCCACCCTCTCCGATAATATCGAACACCTGGGTCTAATGCGTGTTTCGAGAACAAATATATATACACGTATGAACGTTATTAATGCGATCAATGTATACGCGCACGATTGGATTTTCAACCCTTGAGCGAGTCGGCGCGCGATAGCAGCGATCGACGATATTTTTGTTGGAATATATATTCGTGCAATTGCCGCAGTTACTGCGCGATATCATCGAGTATTGATATTATGGAGTATCAAAATTAATGAGATACTCCTTCACACACGTGTATGCCCTTTCATATTGGATATATAATATGGGATATAATAATTGGGTATAGAGATACCTTGTAATGGTCTCTTAAACGTTAATTCTTCGTTCACCAATATGGGGATTGTTTCTAGACTTTAATAAATCTTGGTCGCGCGCTTATGAGGGATATATCGATGGGAATTTCTTTTTAATATGTCGTAAAATATTGGGAAATATATGAGCGAGGGGAAAATAAATTTATATATAATCAATTTTTTTTTTTTTGATATTATAAAGAAATTCCACAAATATATTCTAATAGAAACCATCTATAGGACATTAAAAGCAAATCTTGGGGATTACGAACTTTCAATTAGTTTCGGTATTGTCGACGGAACAAGCAGTATCGGTATGTTCTTTGTACTTATATCGGCTAATGAGTATATTGTATTTCTCTTCGTCGCTCTTGGTATCTTATAATCATCCGGTATTACGTTTAAACCCTTATCAATGCTAATTGACAATCGTTTCATGTTTCATTATGCAACATACGTGGAACGTATGTCCACTATTCCAAAGTAAAATCGGATTACATCGATGTATTATACAAGGTGTGCTATGTTTTTCTCTACAGATTCTTCAAGTTGCGATTGTTACTTTTATCTTTCTTCGAACCGTAAAAAAATTAATTGGAACCATCACTGGGCAAAGCATTAAAATTTTCGATATTTTGATAAAGAAATTAAAATTAAAATTTTTGATAAAGAGATTAAAATTTTATTTTTCTATTAAATGTTAATATATTTTTTTACTATTTAAATATTTTAATATATTTTTTAAAATCTTTTATACATATTTTAGATATTTACAGATTTCTTAAAGTTGTATCTGAAAAATATCATTTGTGAATTCGTTAGAAAATTTGAAATAGTTCGAGCAGTTACGAGAAAATGCATTTTTCTTGAACACTCTATATATACAGATGTCACATGGTACTTGATCCTTTTCCGAACAATGTTGATATGCTAACCGAAAACATGTGTTCTTTCTTGAAGCGATTTTGAATAAAATGTAATAAAGATTATACGCAGCTAAACACTGTTGCATAATCTGTTTTCTCATTATTATTATTATTATTATTGTTATCTGCAAGTTAAAACTTTTATCCTCACAAAGATTTTAAGATAATGAACGTCTTGCTCGTTCCTTTACGAAAATAGATCGATGCAACGATGTTTTGACATTGTATCTTACACATCAGCTCCAATTTCTGTTGTGAGACCTATGTGACATAATTTGCCATCGAAATCCATGTATTTATGTAAATGCCCACGAAATGAGGATAAACCTTGCAAAAAGGTTTCATCTCACCAATCACTTTAATTTTCATATACATACATTATAGTGGATAGAGAGTCTTGAATCAGGCACACTGTGATTTACGTTACGGACTTTTCTAGTTTCTGAAATATGACACTTTAAAATATTGTATTTTTATTCCTGATTATATTCTGCTTTTCGTATTTTGTGTTATTCATGCCTCTTTGTTGACATCTTTTGTTTATGACTGTTACACTATTGTCAACATTCCATCTATTTCTGCGAGTTCTTAGACAGCTTTCGACATACGACTACACAAGTTTTTGAAATTTGTTAAGGATAAAGATAAATTAATACAGAGTTTCTTATTTATTGGAAAGTTATTCATGGAAGTAAAATACCTGCATATATATATAGTGTTTATCATTCGTTCCTTCGTACAAAAAAATTGTATTTTGTTCGTTTTACTTTACTGCAAACTAATTTCTATTTTTTAAATAATAATTAGATTTCTATTTTTTAAATAAAAATTAGAGATTGAGTTAAATTAAAATTTTTTTGGAGTGAGGGAAAAGTGCAAGGAGAGAAAATAAAGCCTCTTCCCTGCCTACGCTTGTATTTTACAATGAAATAAAACATTAAAATGCATCATTTTTCACATTTGTAAGTTTACTTTTCTTTATATGTAATCCTCGTTTTGAATAAAATATTATTGCAAACATGTGTGAAATTATGCAATTATAATACTGAGAGTACTAATATTTTTGAACATGATAAAGGTCAAAGTTATTAAAGCTGATAATCGAATTATTTACATGCATTACACTTAAAACATGTATATTACTTTTAGATTGAAAAATATAAAACTTTAAAGACTGATATATTTCAGAAACTAGAAGAATTTGCGTGATTCAAAGTGCGTATAAAAACAACTCTATTCACTACAATATATATGAAAATTAAAGCGATCGATCAGGTGTAATCTTTTCACAAAGTTTATTGAAATGAGAGAATTCGAATGATGCGTTTTTGCATTTCCGTTTCTCGGGATCCTTTTTAGGACGATTGTCGACGATTGACTGTCCTTATTTAAAGCGCGAGCTTCGCGAATAACAGGAACATCGAGGTCATCTAGCTGTTACGAGTCTGTTTTTGTTTTCCCCTTTTTATTATCCGCGCAGTTTATCCGTAATTCGATTTTAATTTCAATTCTAATTTTCTTCGTAATATACGAAATTAATGCAACGGGATTGAATTGCTCTCTGTCACGTTACGGAAATCAATAGATAGCACAGATAAAGGTTCGACGAAGCGTTCCCTTTACGAAAGTTTGCAAAAGCTGATTCTTGCTTGCAAAATTATATCAAAATATTTTCTTTATTTTTAATATTAAAACAAAGAAGCTTACTTTGCGACGGTACTGCAATATAAAAGTAGATTCGATATAGCGAGAACACTTCGTAATACAAGTGGTACTGGAAAAGGAATAAATGAATAAAAGTATAAAAAGAATTTTTTTTCCTAAGATGAGAGATCTCTCTAAAAATGAGAGATCTAATGTCTCTCTCATTTTCACGCACAAACTTACAATCTTAACTGTACACTTGGACAAACTCCTGTTGACATTTGAAAAGCTTGTTAAATACCTGTTTTCTACCAACGCGTTTATTAAATATGAAAACAAAGAGAGACATTTAAATTATCATTTATGCGATATATTTTTCCCTTTGTTTTTTAAGAATAAAGATTTAACATATTTTAGCCTGTTTACATAAAAATAAATAAAAGGAAATATTCCGATATTAATTCGCAATTTAAAAATAATAAAGATATTGACGTGCACGATTCGTTATTAAAGATTCAACCACGCAAACGAGCTTCGATTTTTTTCTGTAAAATTTTTATATTTGATCTGAAAATGTAAAATTTTCTTGAATTGCCATATTTTCATAAAAATGATGCTTCAATCGTTTTGGACAATGGAACGTAATACGTGCCTTGTATCTCTCTAGTATTTTCTCTGCTTTTTCCTTAATGATGCTAAAATATGGAGGAGAATTTGATATTCCGAGGATACTCATGTAATATGTATATATGTATATACGTATGTATATATACTTATATATATTTCAAGTTTAATTTTGATTTGTGCGTGTCAGCCGATCAAGCCTGCGCGTCATGATAAAATATATATATATGTAATATAGTCAACATAAGTGGACGAAATGCCAGGGACGCCGATATCGTGGAGAAACGGAAGGTGAAAGGTCTCGTTGGATTCCCGCCAGGGTTATGGTTTCGAAAATAGGATGAAAACGGAGAGAGAGAGAGAGAGAAAAAAAAAATAACTGGGGAGGAAAAAAGCGCGAGAAGGGCCATCGAGATTTGATGGACGCTGAATGACTCGTTAGTGATGACGAGGAGAAAAAGGTCGGCAGTCTGGCGGACGGGTGTTAAATTTCGCTCAGGGTCGACGACGAGGTCTCTGGCGAGCTTTATCGCGGGGTTTGCTCCGCGATCTTTCATGCAACGTCGCGCAACTAATCTCTGCCACATCACCGAATACAAAGATGGTGGAATTGGGACAGCGCGCGAGAGAGCAATGGATGTTTAAAGCTTGAAAAGGCTCCTTTGCTGGAGGAAAAGATAATGAAGACGTCGCTCGCGAAGGTCAAACGAGCACGACGCGCGTGTTGTATGCATATATACACATATCTATGCATATGTAAGAACTTAGGCTACAAGAATACACGTAAAAATCATTATAATTAGTTTGTATTAAACAGAGCTTCTAATTTTATGTAAAGTAAATAGATGTACGAATTTTGTAATACGTACCAAAATTATTTATTAAAATAATCTACTACAAATCTACTATAAAATCTACTATAAAAAATCTGCTATAAAATCTACTATAAATCCACTATAAAAATCTATTATAGTGAAATTTTTTGCAAGGGAATTATCCTATAATTAAACAGAGCTTCTAATTTTATGCCAAAGTAAATATATGAACGAATTTTGTAATACGTACCAAAATTATTTATTAAAAGAATCTACTACAAATCTACTATAAAATCTACTATAAAAAATCTGCTATAAAATCTACTATAAATCCACTATAAAAATCTACTATAGTGAAATTTTTTGCAAGGGAATTATCCTATAATTATCTGTTAAGATTATAGAAGAAAAACGATAATTTCTCATTTAATGCGATGATTATAGCTTGCAATATTTACTATTTACCTTACCGTGTTATCTCGATGTTACTTCGAAGTTTTGCGTCACGAGATGAGGACCATCAACGTTGCGCGGAGGCGGTCGAAAATTACCGGATCATCATCGTGCTCTTCCATTAAATATACGTGACGCTTTTTCGTCCTTTCAGTTGTTGACTTTTCTTCGTCATTGTTTTTCTTTTATCACGGTTCTCTTTACCTAATCCTCACTGCCTAACGACGCAACCGAGAGCTTTGTGCGACGCACAAGCTTTGCCTGACGCGTTTTATTTCGTGCGGAATTAGAGTCGCCCAGACACGATATACGTATCGATTTTCTATCTATAGGGTATAATTTAACCAGCCTTAATTATTGACTCGCCGCGGAGAACCATGCGGGATTTTACTTCTTCGGTCAATTACGAAAGTATGTCTATTATTGATTTTAAACAGAGCAAAGCGTGAGCTTTCAAACAATAAGAACAATAAATGGAAAAGAGTATTCATTTTATATAATATAAATATTCCTATTATCCTTAAAGAGAAATTTCTGCCATAAATAAAAGAGAGAGTGATATTATTAATTTTATACAAAATTAAGAATAGGATTGTGAATTTGCGGATGAAGTAAGAATAAAACAAAGATTCGACTTTTATACATAACTTCAAAAAAGAGAACAAACAGAATTATATCAATTATATTATATCTCCTCAATTTTTGACACGCGATTTGCGATGTACAAAAGTTATTGTTACATTCATATTTTTTTACTAGTAAAATCCGTTTTATTATCTACTTCGCAACAGAAATAGATATTTGTTCTTCGAGAGAATGAATGGGGAATTATAGGATTATGTTTTAGAGAATGCTTGTTATAATGGCATACAATTTGTTAACAATAACTCTCAATATTGATTAATTGTACGCTATTAATAATTCAATATCGTGCACACAAATTGATGTACAAAGTTCCCAATGAGGGGACACTTCATTTTTAGAAAGATCCGCGTGTGCGTCGTTGACAGGGTCGCATTTAGCTTCCCTCGCGACGCGATTAATCCAACAACCCTACTAATGACGATCGGTGTTGTTCACCGAATAAACCCCAGGGCGCAAAGTTACGTCCCCATTTCGTCTCCTCTCTCGCGCCTCATCTCTCCGTTTAGAAATTTCTCCGAACAATGACGGCACCACCGTCCTTGCTATCCTGTTTACGCCACTGCCTCCGATTTTCTCGAAGAAAACAACCGTGGGATTTATCTATGCGTTTGAGCTTTTCTACGATCAATATTTACGTTCCTTTATCGGACAAGTCGAAAAATCATTAGGCCGTTCGACGGATAAATACGGTCGGGATATAATTTCACTTTAGAGAGATCGGAAATAACATCACAATTCAATTTATATCCCAATAGAGCGCGGTGTTTAAATTCACCGACGATAAATAACAATAAACGAAAGAGCAAGTTTATATTTTTGTTACGAATAATTCCATTATCCTCGGAGAAATCTGATAGAAAACGTATATATGTATACGTATATATGTATTTTATATATATAAAATGGTTCTCTGTCTTACATGAATGTTGTTACGAGAAAGCTTCGCATGCGCAATTAAAATTATTTTAGCAAATCGAATACTTAAACACAGAAGATATAAATATTTAATAAATATACAAATTTTTGTAGAATTTCTTTATCTGCGTTTGCAGATGCAAATGAATAATTAATTCTTAGATTTTATTCCCGATCTTGAAATTCCACGTTCGAATCCCGGAAAAAAATATTTTTAAAAATAACAATATAAAATTATATAGAAATATATAAAATTTTATACATATAATCGCAAAATTATATATAAAATATGTTCATACATAATTAGATAAAAGTGCTTTTTTATATATAATTATATAAAATATATATGTATATAATAAATATTTCTTTATATATATAAATATATAAATTTCATATATAATTTGACACGATTATATATGAATCCTTATAATTTATATATAAATTTATATAATTATGTATAAAAATGGATATATTTTACATATAATTTTACGATTATATGTATAATTATACAATTTCGAAGTGATTTATTAAAATTCGACCTGACTGGTCAGTAGAAAAAATGATACAATTATTTATATAAAAATGTTTTTCTCGGGATTCTAATAACATTTGATTTTGGGCACAACCGATCGTGAGATGCGCATCGATCAAGTGCTACTGCGATCTACGTAAACTTAATATGACGAGTCAATGCCTGCGGCAGATGGCGAGACCGTTAATGCAACGTAAATGAATTTTACTGTAGATTGAGTGCATTAATAAGCTTTCAGAGGACTGCGTCGCGCAGTTCGATCGATCGATCGGTCGTTTTCCATTATCGGGAGCGCGCGCTTCTTGTCCGTCTCGTGCATTCGCTGTGTCTCCGAATTCAGCGGATTCCTGCCCTCTCTGATCCGAGGAACGTCGCCATGCCACGGATGACGGTCCCGGGGACGCTGTTCCATCAATAATTCACTTCGGTTCATCAGTTACGACGAGGACCCGTTTCTGCATGACGCGCTTAATTGAGGACACAATAACATTACTAGACGCTACCCCCGAAGTGTCTGAAAGCGGATTTAACGATATTTCGCACCACGCGGTTGTCTATTGAAGCGAGAAATAATGGCTTGTGATAATTAGCTAATGATAGCGACGATATTTTTCTTATAGAATTTAGAAGAATTCGAATTTTGAAGAGCGAAGCTATTCTAGATATATTTATACGCAGTGTGTGCTGTTATCTAAATAAAATTATACAGAGGATTATTTAGATGAAACTTTGGTGTCATCTTATCTTTATACAGATAATAAAAATATGTATTATCTATATCTGCATCTTAGATGAAAAAAAAGTATTATTTTTACTAAATTATATCTAGAATAATTTTCAAATAATTTTGATTTAGAATCATAGCACATAAAAATACTTAAAATTTATAAATAAAAATATGAATGCATACATATATTTTTATATCTTTTTTATAATTTACATTTTTTTATAACTGTGTTTATATAAGCAGTCTTAACAATTATTATCTAGAAAATTATCTACATGAATCGCCATATAATTTCATCTTTTATCTAGATATATATTTCAAACAAAATCATCTTCATCTTATCTAAGATTTACATATTTTTATCTCATCTTTACCTATAGCTAATTTGAAAATCGTCTAAGCACAACACTGTGTATATGATTTATTATATGATCGTTGCTAAATGAGTATTTTGATTTACCGTCAAAGATCGTCGTCGGAATCGTGAAATCTTTCGTAGGGCGCGATGGATTTCCGAAACGTGTCGTAATCCTTTTTTTCCTCTATCTTAGTCAACAACTTTCTTCGTTCCAACGTGAGGTATATAAGCAGTGGACAGTACGCCATGTTCGCGATACCCACGACTCGCATCACCCATGGGAATCCAATAGCTCTGACCATTTCGCTGCCCACAATGGGACCTTAAAAAAGATTACGTCATTTATTTAATGAATCATACACGACATACATATAATCTCTATAATGTTCTATAGCTTTAATCGTAAATAGCGCATGTAAAGGCAGTTTTGCCTTGTATATTTTATCCCTCTTTTCTCTTGATTGTGTGTTCTATAGCTTTAATCATAAATAGCGCATGTAAAGGCAGTTTTGCCTTGTATATTTTATCCCTCTTTTCTCTTGATTTACTTTAATTCATTTATATACCAATAACCAATTTAATTTCGCTTTACCTAAGGAGTAAGCTAAACTGACAGCTACTTGTTGAATCGAGTAAACTGGTCCGTAATTGCCATTTCGGTCCACCAAACTGGCCAGCAGCGGCACGAGAGCTGCATCGGCGACGCCGATACCCAAACCCATTCCCAGATGCGGTAATATCAATTCTGACATTGTGTTGGCTGACGGGATGAGAATGGCGCTAACTCCAACCACGAACACAGCCAGAATCGCCACTTTGCTGCGTCCGTAACGATACGCGATCACGCCGAAGAAGTTGGTCCCGATTAAGTAGCCTACGCTGTCTGGTATGAATACCGTGCCCAGTTGCCATTTCTGCCAGATAAATTTATTACAAAATTAATCTTCTTTTTTTCATGAAAATTTCTGGAATCGATGATGTCAATTTAGCTTATCAAACTGTTTATTTGAATTTCTAACTTCTCTCATACTTGATTTCAAGTCGATGTTAATTAATTTAAATTGTTTAATTAAATTGATTCAACATATTATAATGACTCATTGTAATAAAGTGTCAGTTACACGCGATGAATTGTGATAATCAAATTTAGGACAATTTTTATTTTATTGATATTTATCATTTTATAAAAAAATAGTTCTTTGTTATACGAACCTCGGGTTTTATGTGGGTTCGAAGCCAAATGGGCAGACACGGCTCTAGTATCGCCATCGGCGATGTCGAACACCAGATAGCACCGGAGATGATGAGGATATGTGGATTAGATAATAAATGCATCCATGTACTTTGTTGCTCGTTCGGCTGATATGTACGGAATAGGAAAATTTAATTAAATTATTTGACATTAATAAACATGAAATCACACATGCGTTTTCATATGAAATATTAAAAATAAATCTATCATTATTGCAGAAGAACAAAGAAAGTTTCTGGCAATTTAATAATAACATTTAACTTATAAATTCACGTAAATTTTATTTCCCATATTTTATTTTAAGAGAAATTTGCAGTGACTAAAATATAAAATAATACGTAATAAATAATTTTAATCTAGAGCAATCGCGTACACTTAAGCATGTACAAAAAAATACGTAACCCTCTCGAAAATTAATAAACATGAAATCATGCATTTTCATGTGAAATATTAAAAATGATGAATCTATCGTCATTTGAAATATTTGGTATACCGTAATTAGCAATATAGTATTCAAGTAAATTTTATTCATCAAATGATAAAACACTGCACTCACTTCGGCGGTTGTTTGAACGTCTAACGTCAAAATTTGCAAACCTGAAAAAGTGAAATACATTCATCATCAATATTTTATTATATTCTTGCGCATGGAGAAATTTGTTTTCATACAATTATAATTTCGGAAAATTAGGTACTCACAAATTATTACAACGATGAGGCAAGATACTAATAAAAAGGTGCCATTTTTCCCTCGAGATCATAAAGCACGGAACCGATCGGATAACCCAGGAGCACGCCCAGAGCGATGCTGCCGAGGACGAAACCCATAATCTTGGATCTTTCGTCCTCTTTGGAATACTGAGAGGCGACCAGAGACATGCCGGAGACCGCTATACATGCTGAGGCTACACCTTGAATACTCCGAGCCAAGAACAGTACCTCGTATGTTTGTCCAAAAGCGAACACTGTCACAACAACGGAGATATATTGCGCCTTTAATTATGTTTTCACATACTAAATTAACAAACGATAGTTTCGCGAACACAATTCATACCAAAATTCAACAAATTAAACAACAAATAAAACAAGAAATTAAAAACAACTGCATAATTTGATAAATATTTTAGTAAAAATATTTATATCATTTCATTCATACTATTGTAATACTTCCCGGGAAAAAAAATTTTATATGTAACAATATAAAATTATACAGAAATATATAAAATTATACATATAATCGCAAAATTATATATGAAATATGTCCATACATAATTAGATAAATTGCTTTTTATATATAATTATATAAATATATATATATATATATATATATAAATATTTCTTTATATATATATATATATTTTATATAATTATTTATATAATTATGTATAAAAATGGACATATTTCACATATAATTTTACGATTATATGTATAATTGTACAATTATTTATATGTAATTATATATAAAAATTTTTTCCCGGGATCTAAAATTTTAACTTTTATTTTGATAACATCTCCTGAAGCACAAACGAGAAAAAGACTCCGATTGTTTGTCGAAGAAAAACGCTAATGCGTATAAAAGTATCGCGTCCGTAACTTACGTAAAGCAGCCAGCAAGAGGCTCAGATTTCCCAGGAAGAGGGGTCTGGCGTAGCCCAGGGTGCCAGTGAGGGTGCCCACGGCGGGATTCAAAATTAATTGGACCAGAGCCTTCGAGCTTAATAGTAATCCCACTCGACCGTTCTCGTCTTTCTCGGCGTTCGTAGTTGTGTTCGCATCGAGCGTGCACAGATAATCGGGAATAATCGGCACTGAAACATGTCCGGATTAGCAAATTGTTCGATTCGAGTCTCTCTCTCTCTCTCTCTTTCTCTTTTATTTTAATTACCAACTACAGTCAAGAGGACATTATCCAGGAAGAGACTGAGATAGACTACCGCGATGGTGATCGCGCGACTGTTTCTCAAATCGCCCAAACTCATCCTTGATCATCGATCTCGACGGATAGAGTAAAGAAAAATCGAAAGTTACTATTAGCGGAGCTCCGTTTTTAGCGAAATTTTACGCGTCGTAACTTGTTAATTCTCGATAATGAGAGAATATATCTTGATATGCCAAATAATGTTGTTAAGAGAGATCAAGTGCTAAAATAAAATATAAATCAAAATTTGGAATTTTGCATGATTTAATAATTAAATTTCGAATATAGATTTCACGATAAGAAAAAGATCAAAATCCAAATGGAGAAAGAAGGCCCTGTTTTTCCAGAACTGTGCTATTTATAACAACGTATATTTTTCAGTTTTTTTTATTTAAGGCGAATCTCTTTTCTTCAAACGTCAAAAAAATTCCGTGATTGATCCTCTCTTTTTCTCTTTCTTTATCGGTATGATAAGCGCACGTAATTCAAGTAAGTCCCCCGTATTTCTCTTTTCTTTTTTTTCGTCACTTGAAAGACGGCTCTAAACGTGACTGGAAAGCGGACGAGTTTCGTGCGGGCTTTTATAGTCGCTTGAAGCTCGTTCTTGCGCAGAAGCTTTTTCATGGGGGGCAACGCGAAGATTGGTCCGGATGGCGCATCCTTTCACGAGCCGATGCACTTTTCGATTTATCTCCATTATGGTGGCTTATCGGTCGTCGCCAGCCGACCTGATTTTAGCGGTTTTTATGGTGGTCTCATGATGTGGAAATAAACCATGGCGAACGGTGGTCGTAAACCGTGGAAGAACATCGTCAACGAGATCGAGGTGAAGGGGCTGCGTGCGTTTGATAGAATTTTCGAGAGGGTTACGTATTTTTTTTTTATACAAGCACAAGTGCACCCGATTTCTCTAGATTAAAATTATTTATTACATATATTTTATATCTCAGTCATTGCAAATTTCTGTTGAAATAAAATTCCATGGAAAATAAAATTTACGTGAATTTATAAATAAGTTAAATGTTATTATTAAATTGCAGAAACTCTGTCTGCTCTTATGCAACTATTTATTTTTTTTTTTTTTTTTTTTATAATTCTAACATTATTGAATTAGATATTTTATGAATAACTTATAACTTATGAATAATTGGTATATTATTAATATTGATATTTTATGTATGACATAATTTATTGTTGTTCAGAGTTTATTAAAACTTGAGAGATTGGGATATATATATATATATATACAGATCTATAAAGCAAAATATAAATTATTTTATATGGCTATGTTAAAAAAAAATAAAAATAAAAAATGAGAAAAAAAGATAATAATTCGTCCAAAAGGTGAATTGTTCTCTCATACGTCGCACTGTGGTGAACGCAAACTTCATTTTCGCGAGTCCCTTTGTTGTGTACCCGCTATCTCGCTATCTCGTCATCGATATTCCCGCGAAGCACACACCTGTGCCCTGCTTGCGAAATTACGATCGACCATAATGCAATTTCGGGGTTGAGGTACATGCCAAATTGATTCTGCGCCGCACACGGTGCAGCTTTCCGCTCGTGTCTCTCCTCGCTTAATGTAACGAGGAACTTCCGTCGTGCAATTGGCCACCGAGCTCGCCAATAATTATTACAGAATTCGATGTTTAGCAAAATGTCAAGTCATTAAAAAAATAAGAATAAATAACAAGAGTCACATCTAAAATATCCTTATTTAGTCACAACTTTATCATTTTAAATCTATCAATTATTTCAAAAATATATCTCTGCATTAGTTATTTATTTTATGAAAAATTTATACATTTGTATAAATTCTATAAATTTTTCATATATAGCACAGTATGAATACTAAATTAAATAAATTTATCAAAGCCGAGTAAAACTGAAATCTTCGTCCTCTCTTGGATACTTTTGTTCTTCATTTTCTTCGTCTTCATTCTCGTCCTCCTCATCGATCTTTTGCTCCCTTATCATATTCGTTGGACTGGCGTATCTCATGGGATAAATTTCGTTGTATATTCTGAGAGTAGGTGAGGAATTATCTCTATCACAAATGGCTTCTGCATTGCTCTTTTCTCCTAGAGCTATCCTCCGAGACTTATAGATCCTTGGCTGCGCGTAGATGACATTATTTGATGCTACTTCGAGATTTCTTAGAGACTGGAACAGTATTTTTGCAGTATTTTTATCATTTAATAATTTTATTATTTTTTTTCTATTTTATGCAAAGAGAAATTCCGTATATGTTATAAAAAAACAATGTTTTATCTTTTTATTTACCAGCTACATCTGTAAAATGCATATTCAATTAAACTAGCGCAATTTAATGATTATTCACCTCGATGCATATTCGCGGTGCGACATGAACAGCATCGGTCTCCTTCATTTCCGTCTGAAATCCATGATTACCATATCCAGACATTTCACGGTGATGTGGACCTTCACATCGATCGAGACGTTTCGAGTTAGGATTTAGATTGCCGTAATAATCTGAATATGTTGACATCCGTAAAATCTGATTTTCTCGAACTGGATGAATATACTCGTAGGAGGAACATGACTGTAAAGAACACAAAAATTCTTTTATTATTTATAAAATTATTACTTGATATATAGTAAATTATTTCGTCACATCATATAATCAATTATAAAAAATTAATTAAAAGTTTTTAATTAAAATTATAATAGCCGACAATTCACAGAATTTTTTTTTCTTTGAATGATTAAAAAAAATAATAGAAACGCAATGTTCTAACCTGCTTGGCGATCGAATCGGTCGGTAGATTGACATGATTGAATCTTTGCACGATATCTTTCTTCCTAAATAGGGGTGTGATCATATAATAAATTTTTGGTATTAAAATACCAAAAATTATAGAATAGGCCGTGCCAATTATGCCGAAGCAGACAACTGTGTCACGATTCTTTGACTGCATCACTATAAAACAGATTAGCCATATTGTCCATACTACCAGCAGACCGATAGCAGTGCTGAAGAAGCACTTTCCCTCATAATAATTGCGTTGTATTTGGATGATGGAGCAGGAAGCGATAAACAATGAGAGTAATAGGAATATATCATATCCTGGGAACATATTAGAACTTTAATATTATAATTGACTCTGAATAATTTTAGTAGAATGTTGTAATGTGAAATACACAAAATATGAAGCTGTGAGAAGATGAACAATATTAAGATAAATAAAGAACCAAAATAAAAATTTAAAATAAAATTTAAAAAATAAAAATTTCCATGTATGTACACAGAATGCAATCTATATATACGAGAAATTATTATAACTTTTTGAATAAATATATATCACAGCTTATTTATTTATAGAGACTTAGGAATTATATACATTATACATATTATTATATTTCGAAGCTAATAAAGAAACATCTATGTACCTACCCAATAATGCAATAAAAATTGGACTCCTGGCAATCACAGCTGAGTTTCTCGTGTTCAAAACGAAATACGTGACAGAAATGGCAACTTGCACGCCGAACATGAAGAATGCCATGAGACTGTGTAGATATCCGTTGATGTGAGCGACGAAAATATCATTCGCGGACAGGGCCAGAAAGAGTGCTCTCGAGAGCATGATCGAGAATGTGAAGCCGAACGCGAGAGTGGCGTGAAGAATTTTTCGGGCGTTCAGCTTCTGCGCGCCGAAATAATCGTCCGCGAAGCAGAAGGGTAGCACCGTCAGCAGGGTAAATATATTTGCCAGGACGAGGACGATCGTGAAGGTCGGATTGCCATCGAAAGTCTCTTCCGTTCCGAAACGACGAACGATGAGGATCACAATGATGCAGCATACAAGCGTGCCGCATACGACGGCGATCAGGAAAATAGGAACGTAAACGCTGTTCTTCAAGATGTTTCTACTGATGACATCTGTCAAAATGATCGGATTAATTTTCTCACGCGTTTATTATTTTTTCAAGAAATTATACATTTTAGCAGTGTTGGATAGTGTATCTAGATACATGTATCTAGATACAAAAGCAATTCTGATACCATGTTTTGTATCTATGTACGTAGATACAGATATAGACTTCAATTCGAATATATCTCAAGACTCAGATACACAAAATGTATCTAGATATTAATCTGTGTACCGTGTGTATCTGAGTCTGTATCTGAGATATATTTGAATTGAAGTATCTATATTTATGTCTAGATACAAAACATGGTATCTGAATTGCTTTTTTCAGATACATTTTCACATATTTTTTTTGAATAGTCCAATTCTTTAAATTTATAAAAGATCAAGACTGCAAGTTATTAACACCGGTTGACTGATTATTAAGCATTGGTCAAATTTTAGTACCATGGCGAAATAGTTTAAATGACGATATCATTTTCACGTGTTAAGATTAACAAATAAAGTCATAATATAAACAAAAATATTAATAAAAATAAAAGAATTATTCAGTACATTTTGTGCATATCACCATTATTATGATAAAATATAATTTAAAAGTATCTGATATGTATCTGAGATATTTTTGAAGTATCTGAGTATCTGTATCTATATACATTTTATCTGTATCTAGATATATTTTTTTACACGTATCTGTATCTGTATCGAGATACATTTTAAATGTATCTTACCCATCACTGCATTTTAGAGATATGTGAGTAAATTTGGATAACTACTGATGTTAAATATTCGCGGTGCAAAATTCATAAAAGTGACACAATTAGATTGATAAGAATTTTAAAAAATTTCGGAAAGTAATATAGGATCTAATATACATGCACAGATAATTATAATCATCGAGATTTTTTTTAAATAATACTTCACAAGTAATTAACATCGTATACACATCGTACATAAAATTTATATTCCTCTCTTGCTTCTATTTTTCTGCAGCTGGATGAGCAACTCATAAATAAGATGGAGTTTTAAAAAATTCATATTACATTATTCATATTTATATTATTTCTACCTTTCGTGATGACCTTTCGTTCCTCGGAGCGTTTCTGGAAATTCGCGCAGTTCTCACAATTCTCGATGAGACTCTCTAGACAGAGACCCGGCATTCCGGATGTCAGTTTCGCGGGAAGTATGCGCAACTCGGACACCTCGATCTCGTAGAGAGCGACGTCGACTAGCTCGTGTTGACGCGTCTTCATGGCGATCGCGTATCTCACCGAGTGCGAGCTCGGTTGCATCCGCAAAGCCTCGTAGACATCGGAATCGCGTATTTCCCGCTGCGATTGCGAACGAAATGGCGTCGTAACGCAGTTTTCCTCGTAGCTCCCGTCATTATCATCGTCAGTTGGGCAACCTCTTTTCTGAACTTCCTGGAAAACTTCTGCTAGCTCGACGATAGCCTTGCCAATGCCCAGGAGATACGGCGAGTTGTTCATGGAGTCTCCGGTCTTCTCTAGGAATTCGTTTACGTTTGAGAATTTATTGAGATCGAAGTCAGATGTTTTCGGTTTGACAACGTACGATCCAGGTGGTAAAAGATCTGCAAACATTTCAGAGACGTTGTCAGGTTTAAAATTAGATTGATACTTGTCATATTCGAATTTATTTTAATTTTAATATTCAGATTTTTATCGTTTAAGTTGGTGTAGGATTAATTTTTAGCAAAAATAAAAAAAATTTCTGGTATACATTTGTCAAAAGTTCTTTAAATTTCATGTTGAAATTTGCGCAAGTTAATCTATTTAATGGCTTTAACAACATCGGTCGACTCTAATTATAGTTTAATTGTCCCGTTGTCTCGACTTAGCTATAATTATGGACAGAAATAAAGGGTCGTGCAAACCAAGACTAAGAAGTTAAGCGACATCGGTGAGAAACTACCCTCTTAACTCCCAACTACTACGGTTAAACTCGAGTAACGTAACTATTGTTACGAAGTCCCAATCTCCGATTCCGACATTTAAACGTAGCTGTTGTAATTCAGGAAATGATCGACTTATCTACGCTTACAGCAAATAAATAGACTCCACTCTTGTAGAATTATAGTAGAGATATCGGAAAAGGAAAATTTTTGAATAAAATAAGGAAAGAGAAGATATTCTTTTTATCTTCTCTCACTTTTTACATAAAATAGCCGCGCAGGGATCAAACTGTTTCGTGCTTGCAATATCTCTATCGTCTCGTCTGTCGATACGTATAAAATTACTTGCCATCAATATCCGAGTTATCGAGCGGCAGCAGGAGCCACGTTTTCCCACTGATATCCTTCGAGTCCTCGCTCTCTCCCAGCCATCGTTGTATGTCATCTCTCTCGCCGATCGCTACTACCACCTCTTCCGCGATGTTCCCGTACCTGTCATGTCGCTTCACGCATACACCAACATCTCTGGTGACTTCCAGAAAACGCTTGAGAATTGAACTTAGGTTGGCGTGGACCAGATCGATGACCTCGTACTCGGTACTCAGATAGTGCGCCAAGATGTCGATCGTGGGCATCGTGAAATTTGGTTCCCCGTAAGCGACGATCGGTAGATCGTCTGAATAATCGTGAAAAAAATTCACCATGGAACTGTACTCGGATGGCACCAGTACACCCATTTCATAGTTTGCACAATTTTGCTCGAGTATCAGTCTCAAGATTTGTTTGAACACTATAATCTTGTCGTGACACGTGTCGAGTACTCTTACCCCTGTGTAAAGAAATCATGTATTTATTTACGGGAATTTATAGGTGTGTCTTGACAAAAATTACCTTGATTTTAAAAGACATAAATGCATTACTACAATTTACATTAAAATATAATATTAAAATTATTTTACACAATATATTTATACTAGATCGAGGTAGAAGGTTCTCAGTATTAAATATTACAAGTAAAAAGTAGCAGGTTAATTAAGAACCTAAGTACAGTAAACAGTGTGCAAATAATACTTTTTGTTAAAATATTATTTATTTCGTCGAAATAGAAAGAATAATTTGCTTACCGTGTTAGACTCTTAATTAACCTACTACTCTTTACTTGTGATATTTATATTTGACTATTTCGTAACTCAAACTGGATAGTTAATATTTAATATATAGTCAGCTATTTTTAATGATTGCAACCGATTATTGAAAAATAAATAAATAAGAAAAAATTGTGTAGTAATGGATTCGGTAATTACTAAATTCTTAATAAAAATACAAATACTATTAATTTTTATATTGAGTTTTAGCTGATTAATTTTAGATTATCATATTTATTTTTATATGCAATAATGTTTGCTTATTGTTACATGATATAATTATAATAATTATTACAAGTAATATGTGCACGATATAATATTCACGAACTAATATACACTTAAGCAAAATAATTTAATTTACTTACCCAACTTCATATCCGGTACATAATCATATTGATTTAAAGTTCGTACCACATCCAGTACCGTCGAGATTTGCTGGAGACCCTTGGATGACGATATATTGCAATATTGTCCGTAATTGACGTCTACGAAGACTGATAAAATGTCGATAATTGTCATTAAAAATTAGAAAATATCATGCAAGTTTTCTTTTCAATCACTCTTGTCAAAATAAAAGTTTTGATATAAAATTTTTTGACTCATAACATATATAAAATATACAGTTTGAATGTACAGAGTGAGATTTATATGAATTTGTCGAGGAAATAATATTAGTTTGATTGGGCAATTAATTGCCTAATATTATTTAAAATTCTTTAAATATGTATTACTTTTTATCGTTTAAAAATTATACAAATGTTGTAAATAGAAAACTAATTTTATTGTAAATATAAATTATGCATAATAATTTTCAGATTCTGTTCAAATGACTGGAATCTTATTAATTAACGACTTACCAGTTAAAATAGCATCACCCATGGTCTCCAATAACGTATTATTTTCAGAGCATAGAATTTGCTCGCTTTTGTTCAAAGTTAACAAAACGATATTCAACAAGAATGAAATTTTTATCATTATACTACTCGCCATTATTTAATTTATTTCTAAAATATAATTAATTAAATAATTTATGTATAATTAATTAATTTATTTATGTCTAAACTTTGACAAGAGTGTTCGAAATTTTTTGCTTCTTTTTTCTGTACACGTTTTATTATCATTATTAGTCATTATTATCTTGGCATATTATATTAGTCATTATTATATTAGTTTATTGAATTTTATCCTTATCTTATGCAATCCATATAAACAACGTATATAATTAATATTATCTTAAAAATTCTCTTTGCCCTAAAAATTTATTAAACGAGTCTTTAATGAATTTAAAGATTCTATCACACTCGTTTTATTATATCTCTTGTTAGATCTCATCTTGGATATGTCTGTGTCCTTTTTTTATTCCAAGTATTTTAAACAGATTGAATCTGTGCAGCATAAGTTTTTAAAATAGATTTTTTTTTAAATGGGGTTTTCCATGAACACAGATATGACCATGATTATTCGCGTCTGATGCACTCTCTCAAATTGCTTTCTTTGAAAAATCGTTGGCACGTATTTGATCCTGTGTCTTTCTTCGTAACATTATTAATGGAAATATTAATTGCTCGGGTCTCTCTACTTGCTTTACTCAACTTTAATGCCTGTTCCAGGACAATGCGGTCCGTCCACTTTTCTGTACAACATATTATATAGGTCAAATCTGTCACATATTGATACAAATTAATAAGAATTTATTGTTATATATCTGCCAAGTTACTCTACATGTGCGATTTTTTCACGATAGCTGCATCTCAATTAGTGTTTGCGATACTATTTGTATTATTGAGATTTTTTCGTAAACTGACAAAGAAATCAATAATTCTCGATTTATATAAGATTTCTAAAAAGAAGCTCCTTAATATTAATTAATTTATTTTATTAATTTTATTTCGCAATTTATTTTTTTTAGTATTTCACTTTTATATATATTTTTAAAAACTTAATTTGGTAACTTCTGTAATTAACTATAACGATATAGGTAATCTAGTAATCATGATTCTAGATGACATCATGTCAGGGCGTAACGCGTCGTTAGCACGCATAGGGCTTCACGAAAGTCTCGTCCGTGAAAGTCTCTCCTGGCCATTAATTTTGATGGCATTTATTAAATTGCGTGACAAGCGCCACTTCGGTGTTTAACAATCGGCACGAAGCACGCGCTCCTCTTTTCTGTCACCTCTCTGCTGTTCCAATTTTTACGATTTTACGACGTACGTCAAGGCCTATCTCGCGCTCGCTGATGTACTTTAAAGCTCCAGAAGTCTCAAGTCCATTATCGATCCTTATCCTTCGGAGAAATTTTATCACTCGGAAAAATTCCACTTTCCGCTAACGCGATCTTCTTGCTGAGATCCTTGGGACTGATTATCCTTCGAATGATGTCGTCGAAAAGTTTTTTGAAAAGTTTCGATATTTCGAGACATTTTACCACTCAAGTACGTGTTTGTTAAAAGTTCTAGACGCTTTTGTCGAATAATACTTTCTTCAGCAATTTCGAGCTTCAGGTTTCGCGCGCTCTTTCTTTCTGTGATATAGAGGATAAAAGTCGCCGCGATACTGCGCGATGTACGACGCGAAGTCGACGGAAGCCGTACTCTTGTCGGATCATCCCCATATTTTTTTAAACGAATTACGTGATCGGTCACGTTGCTGTTGGACGCAAAGTACAATATAATTGACAGTTGACAGTCGGCTTCTTTTGAGATGCGAAACGTCGCGCGAAGAAAAATAAATGAGAATTTCAAGATCGAACTTGGCAAATACTCTGTCATTAGATTTTACTATCATACCAAAATTCATAATAAGTAAACTATAATTTTCGGATCATTTACATGAATCTAATTATCCGACTATCTGTTATAATAATTATTTTAATATTTAATGCAATTTATTTATTTGCTCGACAGTAATTTAATAGTCAAAACATTATGTAACTTTTTTTGGTTTTTGTGTTTTAATTTTATTTGATTTTTTGACATCGATTTGATTACACTTTGAGCCGTAAAATTGTTTGTAGATCGAATCTCGAGAAAGAATTTCGTGACAGAGAAGATCGAGAATCGACGAAAGTTAACTTAATTTTCGCGAGCACATTTTCCGACATTGCATTTTCGTGATCGCGGGTTTAGTTTGTCTGAAATATGGGACAAATTATACGACGGTCATTATAAATATTTTATACGCCTCGAGACAATCTGTTATTTTTCTGCAAATGAACATGACATGTCTTCAAGGAAGCCTTTTTGTCGATTCATTCTTCGAGCTCTGTTACATATGTATTCGGTATATATCACGTTTTTTCTCTTTTTCAAATGCATAACACTGAAAAAAATTATTAAATTAATAAATATTTATTTCAATAGTGCCTAATAAATCATTTATTTGAAACAAATAAATATTTATCAGTTTTGAAAAGAATTTTCTTATATGAAATAAATATTTTTCACATCAAATCAATATTATTAGTTTCAAATAAATAATTTATTAAGCGGTATTGAAATAAATATTTATCCGAATCCAATAATTTTTTTTTTCAGTGTGATAGTTTTATAAATGCGACGAAGAAATCTGAAACTTCAATTTTTTCTCAAGTATCAGACAAATACGAAATAATTTGTATGCAAGTCATACAAATTTTAAATCTAACGCACACACATATAAATTAATCTTACTTCATTTGAGTGTTCCTAATCACTATAACAATTCTTATTCATTAATAACGATATTATTAACAATAAGATATTCACGCAGTGTAAAAATATTTGTGTGTGTTTTTGATCATTTGCTATTCTTATAACCAACCCAATGATAATATCGAGAGACTGCACCCAGGAACGAGAACTAGTTAGCTTAGCTATATACCTGCATATGAACACCTGCGAACAGGTAGCCGACTAGGCAGGCACTCGGGCGTGATGTCATAACGCGCCTCTATATTCTAGGCCTATAGAGAGTGTGTGAGTTTGAAAGCCTCGCTACACCTGCGATAGTCTACGAAGACGTTCTCCATAATTAACGTTGCGTGCACGCGAGATTAGGCAATAATCTCTCTCTCTCGAGCGAGCGAGCGAGCGAGAGTGCCATCGGGACGGCACTCAAACGTTCCTCGAATCCCGCATCGAGGCATCCTTTTCGAAAATTCGTCTATTCGTCTAGGAGGAACTTTGCTATCGATCCCCACCGCGGCGAATCTAGAGCGACAAGCGGTTCCACGTTCGCGGTCGGAACGTGGAACCGCTCTATAAATTTGGTCCTAGACTCCAAAACTTGAGATTCCGTACGCGGCCAACATGACAGCCGAGGAGGTAGCTCCGGCCGACCGGAGCGGCAAGCAGCTTCGATCTGCTTCACACCGGGTTGCTTTACGCTAGGCGCGCAGGTCTAGACGTCTATGGAACCGCAGGCCGGGTTAGTAATTATCCCCGGGCCGCCTCACGGTGCTCTGTAATTATCCGAAAAGTCGTGTGAATGGAGACGATATAGGGTTTGGAAAGCAGAGATATGCTTCCAATGGCCGAAGAGTGTCTCTTCGCAGATTTATCGTCTCTCGTCGCAGCATCGTCCGATTTTAGTGCGGGAATAATAAAAATATAATACAATATACGTGGAATAATAAAACATGATACATAATATGAAAATGTGAAATATAATGTATTAAAGAGAGAGAGAAATGTCAGATGGAAGATATAAATTGTAAAATATGAAGGATGAAGAGTCCTTAAATCTATTATATGATTATATAATACATTTCTGTAATTTTTGCACTTTGCAAAATGTTATATTTTCGTGTTATTGTAAAATATAGTTATTTAATGAAATAAAATACACAGTTGAAACATTTGTGTTAATTTTAACAGATTTCACATGTTCCAAACGGTTCACAGAAATTTTCGTGTTGATTTAATATAATACGGATATGTTAAATGGAGACACGAATACTGTGTTAATATTTTAACATGAAACAACTGCAAAACTTCAAATAATTTAAAATAAATTTTGTGTAAGATTAACATAGTTTTACTGTAAAAATTAATTAAAAATATGTTAATCTTGGATTTTATCATCCTCACTTATATATTATAAATTAAAAAATCAACAAGTCTTTCTGTAAATTTTAACAGATAAATATTGTCACTAAGAAAATAAAACATATTTTTGTGTAAAATTAGATATAGATACACATCGTGTTATAATTTTTACACCTTTTTATAGTTTTAACAATTCAACATTTAAGTTCAATTAACACAACAGCAATATGTTAAATTAACACATAAATGTGTTAAATATTTAACACAAAAATTTTAACGGGGAATGTTTTTAACAAGAAAACACAAATTTTTCAACTGTGTATAGTTCTTATTGTTAGATTCAAATCTACTAAATTCTTAATAGCAGTTTAGAAATAATGTCATAAAGATATTACCTTTTCTTTCTTAAAATTTATAATCTTATTATGGAAATATTTGTCGTAAAAATATATTATAACATTATACTGTATACTTCTACATATTGGATTTTTACTAGAGCATAATAATGTTAAAACAACATTCAGATTTTTCTTCCATCCATTTTAAAAATGATTTTGAAATCTCATAATAATGTATCTTGCATATCGTGTTTGAATTCTTCTTGAATTCACTCACGCAAAAATCTATTCTACATTGCAAAATTGTCCTATTAAATTCGCAATGCGTTCTCGCTTCTTGTTCATGCTCACACAGCCGATGTCGGCATTAATCTCTCACCCCCGTAGATTTGTCTACAGAAAAATCCCCGCAATCGTGCGCAGCGTGTCAAGGACGTCCCATTATGCAACTGTGGACAGTTGCAAAAGTTTGTGTATAAAGCAGGCTGCAGATCGCCGCGTTGTTATCAAACGACATCTCGCCAACTTTGAATTCGGGATTTACTGCGACCTGAAAATAAGGAAATCTCTTTCTCGCGAAATTTTCCGGATTCGAGGAACTCGCGATATCCGCAAAATCGAAGGAAAGGAGGATAGGGCTAATGGGAAATCTCTTGCTTCTTGCATTCGCGCGAAATGTAGCTTTATTACGACTGTACCTTGAGCGTGTAATGTCCTGGTTCCAGCTCGGAAATGTCCACCCACTGGCAGTCGATATTATGCTTGTAAATGTCACTGCAATTAACGGAAATACCTTGGTCCCCGTAATTGGCGCATTTGTATCTGAAATAGCAACGACGTGTCAAATTATAAACTTTATTAATAGGATTACGGGCGCGCAGTCGTGTAATTACAAGCGCGTAGAAAGAGGATGATAAAATCAAGCGAATTAAATCAACAAATTGCGTGTCACGTGAAAAAGGGAAACGTGATCGATTAAGCGCCATCAGGATTTTCACCTGGGTTGTACACCGGGAATACATTGATTGTCCTCGAGGCAGAAGGACGCTTTGTGGCCTTCGGCTACTTTATTGCCGCTTGAATCGATTACATCGAAAGTAGCAAATACTTCCATCGAGTGATAATGCCTGTAAAGGGAAAACAATCATGTTACTGTTTATTTATTCGGTCTCTCGTCAAAATGTGTCTTACAATAATTATGCAAAACATTATTGTCGATATTTTTATTTCAATATTTTAACTGATCATATACTGTAGAAAAACTTGTGTTTTCTTGGTAAAAAAAAACCCCGTTAAATATTTGTGTTAAATATTTAACACATTCATGTGTTAATTTAACATATTGCTGTTGTATTTATTGAATTTATATGTCAAATTATTAAAACAACTGAAAAAAGATGTAAAAATAACACAATATGTACATCTGTTTCTAATTTTACACAATAAATATGTTCTGTTTTATTAGTGACAAGATTTATCTGTTAAAACAAAAACAATGTTGATTTTTTTATTTTATCAAAAATTTCTGTGGACTGTTTAGAACGGGTATGATATCTGTTAAATTTAACACAAATATTTCAACTATGCAATAAACGATTAAATTAAAAAAATTTATTAAAAAATCATTTATTACAAGATTCATTTTTCGTTTAACTTATTTTACTTTAAGAAAGATATTTTACATTTTGCATATAAATCTAACTATTGTGAACTTTAAGTAAAATGTTATTTTAGAATCTGCCATTTTAATCTAATATAATTAGTTACTATTACGTTAACGAGCAAGAACAATGAATTCACTGGTATTGATCAAAGATGATAATCATCGCTTTATCTTGCGCCGTTATCAATATATAACGTCACTCACATGTGACACATGTGCCATTCCCACAAGTGTTTGGGTATAGACGGACGGAAGTCTGCGGTACCCGCGTTCAAGATCCTCGCCGTAAAACGCAATAATCGCCTCGTTTCTAGATGCCAATTTTCGGTTTCCCGTTGCACTTTATAGGCCTGCGAGGCCACGCAATTCTCCTCCATCGCGCACTGCAGCCAGTAAAGCTGACGGTCCTCGAGATGCGCGGTGCGCATCAGCTCGAGGTGATCGAACACGAGATCGGCCATCTCCCGTTGACATATCACTCCTGCCACGTTTTCCACCGTTCCTAAAAATCGTCACATTCGCGCGATACACGTACATCGAAAAAAAATTATTGAAGAAATATTTCTTTAAATAGTTCCATTTACACCTTCGTTTGAAACGAACAAATATTTATCTGTTTTAAAAAACGATTTCTTATATCAAATAAATATTTTTTTCACAGCAAATCAATGATGTATATAAAAAGTAGTTTCATTAAAAGAAATAATATTTATTTTGAATAAATAAATAATTTTTTTTTCAGTGTAATATTATAAATATGGTAAAGTAGTCGCTCTATCAACTGACTATGTGTCGCATTATTTCTTATTTCGAACTTATGTTGAAATTTATAGTACATGATAGTATATCTTTAAAAGGGAGCATTGTATATTGTATGAGGGTGTCCTAGATAAAGAAAGATTGGGACAAGGCTTATTTCCATAAAAGATGGATTAGGACATAGATTGGAAGGGACACTGTTTGTATATCCGCTTTGTTTACAGATTCACATTTTTTTCTCTTTTCTGTGTCACAGTTGATTGCTCACGCAAATCCGATAATAAAGAATCGATTTTCGTAAACTTTTCTTATTTTTCTATATATATATATATATATAATTCATGAAATATTTCTCCGATAGATAATTAAAATCTGTAGAGCTGCTACTAATTTCCATGAAAACATTATACTCCTATGAATAAGATAATGATCTCGTAATAATGCTATTATATTCCTCTTCCATGAATATTATTAATAATTCATAAATATCTCGTTAAAGATTGTGTGAGAGATACCTGGACAGTCTACAACCTTGTCGTGCAAGCACTCAGCCAGATTTTCCTCGTTTCCATTGCATTCTATTCCGCTGATCGACATTGGCATTGACTCCCGATTATCGAAAAAATTAGTCTGTATCGCGTCGGATGCGTAACCGAGACCCAATTGACGGCAAACCACAGCAGCTTCGAGAATGGACCAACTGTCGCCGCAGATGGTACTCCAATCTGAAATCGAGAGATCTGGCTGCGTCAACTTTATGTATCTCGCGGAAATTTAATGTCAAATTCATAATCTTGTGAATGACATTTAAAAGTCGCGATATTTAAACTGCGATGAAAATTTAAAAATATCGTATTTTACATGAATATTTTGATGATTTTAGCGGGTTGTGCAAAATTTGTGAGAAAAAACATTTGTTTTATCCATTTGTATTAACATTATCTTCTTTTTATTAATTCCTCTATCCTATCTACGCGTTTTATTACAAGCTCTCGGAAATTTTATAATGGATGAAGAGACAGATTATATTTAAAAAAATATTGCAATGAACTTTTCCATCTTCGTATTCTAATTTTCTCGCGTTACCTCCACTGCCCAATTTAATCTCCACCTGACCCTCGGAATGCACGCGTCCTCCGAATAATCGCAACGCTATGCCTTGCTTATGCACATCCTTTATTTTGGCTTTCGGCAATTCTTCCTGCGAGATCGATGACGATGATGCTTCTGTTTTTTCTTCGTGCAAGCAAACGACTCCGGCCGCTTCATTGTTGCCGCAATCGGAGACACCCCATCCGTCGAAACGACATTTCGCGATTTCGTCCTCGGATCCGTCGCAGTAAACGTTGTCCATCCAGTATCTTCCTTCGAAGTGTTTTCGATCATAAAAAAAAGTTATGCACTTATATTTGTTCTAATTTCTAATTGTCCACTGTGAAAAGATAATGTCGCACATGCGTATATGCACAGAGAGAATTTTCTTTTAGAATATTTACCCTGAAAATCATGGTAATCGTAGGACGATATATGGTGTTGGAAGACTTTTATAAGATTTTTTTATTAATTATTTACTACTAAAAAATATTTATATATATATACATTAGTAAAATCAATCAAACATTTTTTATCTTATTTTATTTTATTGTGGTAGATATTAATATATATTTTTATTCTTATTATTGTAAAATATTATATTTTCATTATTAATATTTTTATTGTGGTAAATATTAATCAGAGGAATTTTATAAAATTCTTCCAATACCATATATTGTCCCACGATTATCACGATTTTCAGAGTAAATTCTAAGAGAAAAGAATTCCCTCTGTGTGAAGGAAAATAAATATAGAGTACGAAATAAAATAATATAAAATAAATTCAATTGAAAGAAGATAGATATATAATATAGATGACATTATTACTATGGATTTGCAGAGAATAATAAAGTGACGCGTAACGCGCTAAAAATATGACACGCGTTTGAAGATAAATTAGAGTAAATGAATAGCTTGTTAATACACATAGATTGCTCGTCTCATGCGAATGATTGCACTCGACCGTGAAAGAGATCAGCGGTTTAAGATGAAAAGACAATAATATCTCGTCTCACTTCTGGCCTGACCGAAGTGGCCGTACGATGTCGCTTTAATTGCACCGTTGAAACCTAATTGCCTGCAAACCACACGTGCCTCCAAGTCGTCCCATTCGTCGTCGCATATACCACCCCACTTTCCGTCGTGAAGTATTTCCACGTTTCCTGCACATATAGCAATAAAATCTCGTACTTATACGTACTTTTTCCTGTTGCGGTGACTCGGTTCAACAAAGGGGAAACGATCGATTTACAAACTTCCGACTTGCCATACGGAAACTATTACATCCAGATAACACAATATCAAAATGACATTTATACAACGTTTAACATTTCTCGAAAAAATTCACGTTTTCAAAACCAATTAAGATATATCTTGCATAAGAAATTATGTACACATAAATGTAACGATTTATATAACTATTTCTTAAATTTTAAATTATACACAGAGACAATTTCCTCTTAGAATTTACCCTGAAAATCATGGTAATCATGGGACAATATGGTATTGGAAGCATTTTATGAGTTCCTCTGATTAATATTTTTACCATAATAAAAAATATTATTATCTACCACAATAAGATATAAAATATGTTCGATTAATTTTAATATGCACATAAATTATAAACATCCCGTAAAAGATTGTGTATTGTGTCATATTAATATTTGTTATTGTGATAAATATTAATCAGAGAAAATATAAATAATTTTCAGGGTAAATTCTAAGAGAAAATTTTCTTTGTGTATATTTTCTTCTGTCTCTTAAAATATATTATTTTTAGATATAAAATTAATTAATTTGTGAAGAGATATATTTGTATTCAGGCTGGCAGGTAATAATTGCCCCACTTATCGTGTTATACAGGTAGAGCAAGTTAAGCCGAGTATAGGAAAGTGCTCTATCGTTCGCAGTAATTAATGAGCAATTAATTAAAAAAGATCGGTCGACTTGCGCGAGAACTAGCGAGAAGAGACAGCTCAATATTTCACGGTTGACAGGAGTGCGACAAAGTGTTGGAATTAATAATCAAATTTAATTATTTAGTGCACCTCTAGCAATAATAAAACAATGGACTGTCTCTTTTTACTTCGCGCAGATTGGTCGATCTTTTATAATTAATTTTACATTAATTACTGCGAAGATCGTAAAACAATAGAGGACTTTTCTGCTCACAATCAGTTTAATCTGCTCTATCTGCACGCGACAGATAGGGCGATTATTATCGGACATCCTATATATAAAATAATTTTAATTAATAAAAATTAATTAAAGAAAAGATGTGCTCAATATCTTTTTTTATTAGATATATTTATGTGTTGCAAGAAATCATTTCTTTTAATACACCATTATAAGTGATTTTTAAAATTGCTGAATTTAAACACTTTAGCTGTGACAAACTTTAGCCATAACAGTTTGTGCGTCAGTAACTGCATAACAGTTACTACATACGATATTATATACCAAGATATACTCGACTCAATAAAAGTCGCGTTACGCAGGAAGAGAAAATCGTGCGGAAAAACGTGACTTACGCGCGCGGCCTTCTGTCTTAATAACAACAATATACATATACGTGAAGTAAAGCGACAAACCGGTCGGATCGCGACCCTATTTTACAGTCTGGTTTCACGGTTGACCATGCTATCCGATGACCGATTCCCGGTATCGCATATACGCGCTGACAAATGGTTGTTGACATAAATCTTCCCCGAATTGACCCCTTTTTAATCGTCATCGTGCACACGTGCGCGCAGACTCATCGCTGCACACAACCGCGTGATAAAACTCGCGCTTCGTTCTTTATCTCCGCGAGAAAAAAGGGAGAGAGAGAGAGAGAGAGAGAGGAGGAGCGAGATTTATAACCCGTTTATATTGCAGTCGCGCTTTATCGCGGGGAAAATATCAACCCCGAACGAGAGTCGAGCTTTTATCCCGGCCGGATTTACGAGACGACATGCGTCGCGCGGCAGCGCACTGGTTGCGGTGCACGCAATCGATACGCTCGCCGCATCGCTCGGTTTGTCGTGGTAAGAAAAATCGAGAGAGGATGCTGCGCGTAATTGATTGTCGCATCAATTGATCCGACTTGAACAATAAAGTTCTCTTGTTCCATGTGACTTTATGCGACACGCGGGATGCTGCGCGATAAAACTTTTTTTTCATACGATGCACTTTGTTACCATTTTATTAGTACTATTTATTGTAAGACAAATTGGAAATTCATTTTTCTCTCATTCATATATGTACGCGGAGAGAATTTTTTCTCTTAGCTTTTACCCTAAAAATCATGCTGGATTTTTTAGAATCTTATGAGTTTCTCTGATTAAATATTTATCACAATGAGAAATATTAATACACAGTAAAATATTAATCGAATATATTTTATATCTCTTATTATGGTGGATATTAATATTTTTTATTGTAGTAAATATTAATTAGAGAAACTCTTATAAATTTTTTTATATTGTCCTATGATCACTATTTAAATTCTAAGAAAAAATTCTGATCAATTGATCCGACTTGAACAATAAAGTTCTCTTGTTCCATGTGACTTTATGCGACACGCGGGATGCTGCGCGATAAAATTTTTTTTCATACGATGCACTTTGTTATCATTTTATTAGTACTATTTATTGTAAGACAAATTGGAAATTCATTTTTCTCTCATTCATATACGCGGAGAGAATTTTTTCTCTTCTAGCTTTTACCCTAAAAATCATGCTGGATTTTTTAGAATCTTATGAGTTTCTCTGATTAAATATTTATCACAATGAGAAATATTAATACACAGTAAAATATTAATCGAATATATTTTATATCTCTTATTATGGTGGATATTAATATTTTTTATTGTAGTAAATATTAATTAGAGAAACTCTTATAAATTTTTTATATTGTCCTATGATCACTATGATTTAAATTCTAAGAGAAAATTCTCTCTGTGTAACTTTCGACGTTGTCGTTTTTACTCTTTCCCATTTTTCGAGAATTAAATTTTATGTATAAAAAAGTTAATGGTAGCACCTTCGTAACTGCCATTCTCGCTTCCTATCAACTGTAATGCTCCCTCCTGCTTTTTCAGCTTCCGGAAATCCTTCTTTAACTTCTTGATTACGCGTATCTTCCCGTCGCGGTTCCTGGTCCAGGTGTCGTTGTTGCTCATACAAAACTCAAATACGGATAACAGCACTATCAAACTAAACGCGATTCTAATTCGTCGTAGTTGCACTCCCATTTTGCTTGCGTTATGAAAACTTTAATGTTCCCAGTTACGGGACCGAACACAATTATTGCAGTTTGTTGTCTATTTTTTGTGAAAAAATTAATGCAAAAGGATTGTTAGGATTTTCGACGCACATTATTCTGTTTAACAAATGTATCTGAAAATCACCAAATATGCTATACAGGACGCTGAAAAATTAATAAAATAATATACAGACTATAATTCTATTGAAATTTAAAACTGTGTTAAAAGATAGATCTAAAAGTATTTTATTTTTAAGTGATAAGCAATTTGTAATTTACAAATTTATTTAATTTCACGTATATTTAAAAAAAAATTTAAAATACATTTAATTTTATTTATTTTAACTTATTTCACAAAAATGAAAAGATTGTAAAAAATGACGTTGAATAGTATTTTTATTAAAAAAGAATCAATCGCGAAAAGTTCAATTTAAAAAATTCAATTCATATTATATATTTTTTCAATACCCTGTATGTATACTGTCTGTGTACATTCGGTGTATCACATTGGAGTGTTTCGCGAACACTTACGATTTAATCACAGACTGTTCTCTTGTTCCGGATCCTCAAGAAGAATCGAAAAGTCACATCGTACCGAATGCATACGCAGTGATGCATTAGCATTTCGCATACGATTCCGCGGGTTCTACTGATCGCGCAGCACGCAACGCGATGACTTAACGCACATATCGCCTTGGCTTATAAGATCATCAGCGATCCAGATGGCGGATTGCTTCGTTTCCGCATCGTCGATCTCTTCCCGAACGATTCATTAGCCTCGATGACCCGCTTAAGCCTGCTGTCGGGGCGATTAGAATACCCACGATGATATCCAATTTATTTTCGGCAGAGAATTTCTCTCCTCATCTCGGGATTTTCGGCTCATTTCACAATCTTTCTTTCCTTATTCTCGTTGACGTGCGATTAATTTGCCATACGGAAAGATGGTCAAACAATTAAAAAGAAGTTTCAACTGGATAATGATAATTTTTTCTCATTTTTTTATTTTGTGCACAGTTGAAAAATTTGTGTTAAATTTAATAGATATTATACTTGTCCGCATCCACAGAAATTTCTGTGTTAATTTGACATAATATGAATATGTTAAATAGAGACACGAATAATTTAAAATAAATTTTATGTTAAATTAACATAGTTTTAATGTAAAAATTAACTAAAACATGTTAATTTTACATTTTATCATTCCTACTTATATTATAAAATAAAATCAACATTTTTTCTGTAAATTTTAACAGATAAACTTGTCACTAACAAAATAGAACATATTTATTGTGCAAAATTAAAAGCAGATGCACTATTGTCTTATTTTTAAATCTTTTTTCAGTTGCTTTAATTTAACATTTAAGTTCAATTAACACACAATAACAGCAATAACTTAAATGAACGTGTTAAATATTTAACACAAGAATTTCAACGGAAATCGTTTTTAACAAGAAAACAAATTTGTCTACTATGACTTGAATAAGTCTATAACAATGAAATAATATTCCAAAAGAAATACGCACATTTCTTATATATAGATCTTTATTGAGATTAAATAATAATAAGGCTTTCAAATATTTTTACCGCAGAGATTCTTTTTGGTATCGAGTGTAAATTTAGAGAGCGATCTTGTTCAACGAGCTAAATTTTAATAACAGCGGAATTAAAACTGGCACGCGTTAAAATTATTTTTCTACGAATCTCTATCACATTTCATTTCGGAGGAAAAGGTCAGCGCTGCTTATTAATTGAGAGACATTTAGGATTTACCGAACCACTATGCGTTCACTCGTATCGGCAGAAGTCGTTTCGACGGACCTTCCTGATTTTGAACGATGTGATCTACCGTGATGATTAATATACTGGCTTGCGTGCGGTTGAAATCGGCCATTTATAACGTTTCGGTACTCGAGCGTTGCCGGAAACTCGCGGCATATTGCTTCGTCGTGCTTCTAGATGAGAATCAACTAGATTAACCCTCAATTACCACGGTTAAATTTGGGTAACTATATGATGAGATCACATTCAGCCTAATAATAAATTACGTTAATTGTGTGTGTCTGTGTATGGAAAGCAATTTCAACTCATTATTTACCTTTGGTAGGAGAACGTTATTTTTTTGTACGAAGGTCTGAGGAAAGAAAGAAAGAAAAATTAACAAGCTCTAATGACTCAGGCATTCATTCTGATAATCTTTGCAAAATTTCGCAATAGCTTTGACCCCGTTATATAGTAAGCCGTCAGGTTTATATACTTACATTGCAACGGCTTCTCAAGATAGGATATTTTATATTCCGCAATTTATCATTGCTTCAGTTTGAAGAGCATTAAAATTTATAGGTGTGGAAAGAAAGAAAAAGAAACAACAAAAAAATTCAAGACAGATGTAATAATCTGTGAAGTAACAAAGCAGAGAATCTGCTATATACTTCATATCATTATTTCCAACAGTATATTTTAATGTTATCTATTAATTATTTATGTTTAATAAAAAAAAAAAAAAAAAAAAAAAACAAATTAGTATAGTTATTTAGTTATACTTTATTTAGGAATTTTCCGAGGAATTTTCTTTCTCGAATTATGTGATCTAATTGTGCTGTATCGAACGTTCTTATCGCGCATACGGACGTTTTTCGTCCTACCTCCCATTTCTTCATTTTATCAGTAGGTTTTTGTGATAATGACGCGCGTTCCGTGGAAATGAGTAAGTGCACTCATGGGATTTTTTTTTCAATTCTTTGCTCACCGATGAATCGAACGCGAGTTTAAGTGTCGTCATTTATTGTCGAGTAGAGAGATGGCTTCATCTCGAGAAAAAGCAGTTTAGAAAGCCTTCGGTGAGATGAGCCTACGGTCCCGGTCATCCGATACATCGGTTCCGTATCATTCGTAATCATTGCGCAAGCATCATCGGATAACATGTTTATTTTATCAAGTGAAACGCCGCGAAGAAACTATCAAATTCGTTACTGCATTAATCGACCTAATTAAGTCGCCTCTTGAGTGGCATTTCAGCGTACGCGAAGTATCGTAAGTAGATATCTTCGCGATTCATTATTAATTCTAAATAACATTTTAATTAACACGATAATTCTCTTACGTTATATATGTACAATACGTTTTTATACTGTGTAAAGCTTTATTGATTATTCAATTATAAATTGAAATTTTATATTTTATTATAGTTTATATTACATTTGAGATTTCTATTTTTCGAGAGTATTTTATTATATTATTTATTTCTCGATTAAAACTGCTATATATATATATATATATATATATATATATATATCGGGCATGATAATTCGAGCAAATTGGAAGCTTTTATGTGCGTGTATTATTTTTTCTCTATCTACCTTGGCCGATTGATCATGACTTGATCATTGTGGTTGATTCGAGGCCAACATAAAGAAAAATTATATAATTCATGTAAGTCCGCGTTTTTGACACGCTTCATTCTATGGCGTAATCGCGTGAATGAACGCGTGGCGAAGTAATTATCACGTGCTATTAGAGAAAACGACCCACAGCTAAATTCTTGACATACTTCTGTCGTGAGACGCCTCTAATGTCGAGGGATGAAGGGATGAGAGGACGTTATCTCAAACGGATTCTTGCGATAAAAAAAATATTTTTTCTCGCACAGTCCACAAATAGCCGTCGTTTTCGTCATTAAATTCAAACGTAATCATTCGATTTTTTATTTAATTTTTTTACTAGACGATAATTAATTGTATGTATATAGAACAAAGGTGTTATAAATATACAAATTTTTTATATTTTTCTATTTATATTTCTATAACAATAAATTAAGTTTTTTTAATAAAAAGTACTCAATTTAATATTTGATAGTCTAATTATACATGTAAAATATATAATCAGATATTCAATAATATCGCACACATTATAAAGAGAGAGCGCGCACAAATCGATATGACATATCTTAAAACAAATATTTGATTTACGATTCTATTTACATAATTATACATACTTTTATATCTATATTTTTCATAAACAAATTGATGGAATATTATTCATAAAATGAAAAAAACTATTTATTGATTACACGTATTTTTGTATTTTTTCTTGTTAATGCATACTCTTGCAAATACTAGAATTAAATATCGATTTATCATTCGGTGAATCAAAGACGAGCAAAAAAGTGTCACGCGGAATGAATAAGTAAAAGTTTACTAAATATATCAGCATTCCCCGGCTGAATTATTAATCCAATCGATACAGGCACTAGAGCCTATTCGGCTGGTGAGAGCAATGTTGTGTGTGAGTATCGGGTTGATGTAACAAAGAGTTGAATATGGAGAAGCGAAAGTGGAGCGCTTTTTTGTCGCGCCCACGACGACAATATGGACATCATAAATCGTGTGTATATGCGGCAGGTGTGGATGCGATTGGCGGTCTTCTTCTGATCGCATCGTCTCGCCGATGCACTCGATTAAGCACGCGATTGTCGTTCAATTTGTCCACTTGACGAGTAATTAATAATTAATTTAATAATTGCGCTCGATTTCATAAAGATCGGAAGCGAATAACTGGATATTGAAAAGTGCAATTAAAAAATCTTTAACTATAATTAATTATATTGTAATTAGACATTGTTTTTATTTAATAGCTTTTTTTGCAAATTAAAATTTGCTCGTAATTCCAAACACTAATCGTTATGTTTTATCGCGAGACTAATCTAAATTAAAGCATTTTATTTTAAATTAAAGTGCACTTAAATTAAAATTGGAGGATTGAGGAGTTGTTTAAAAAATTTTCAAGTATTTATCTACTGTGAACAATTAAGAATTTATTATCTGTTTCGTTGTATAAATCTGTCTTACATTAAAAAATTGTTTTCTTTAATTTTATTTCGTAAAATTAACGAAATAAATAACGAAATAAAAAAAGGTTAAAGTTTACGTAAATTTATTTTGTTGCATAAATCTCTCACTCTGCGTATGTATATTTGTATAGAACGTAGATATATGTGCGATATAATTTAATATTTATGTCGAGTTTTAGCCTTTGAAGTGAAGTATATCATTTTTACGCATTATTTTATTTTTATTCGTTATTGAACTTTTTTGCGTAAATATATGTATCTCTTTTTTATTACGACATTTATTATATTACATTAGACATTTATTATATTAAATCATTGTCGTATTAATATTTCGCGACATATTTCCAACTGTGAGCGATTTTTCAATACAGTTCACTCGTTTTATTATGCTTGAAATCTGCTAAGAAACCTGAAAAAGATCTTGCCCTGATAGCACCATATCCAAAATGCCAATAAAACATAATTAAGAAATCTTTAAGACGTCTTTAAGAAATCTTATGTTATGATATCTCGAAGACATCTTTAAACATCTTAAATATGTCTTATGGGTGCATTTTGGACATGGTGCTATTTGGGTGATTTCTTCCGGACATTCCAAGCGTTTTGTCGTGCAAACATTTCTTATTTCGCATTTCTTGCGTGTTATTACAGAGAAAGAATTTTAGTGGCTATCATTATTAACACCTCGCTAGTTTTTTATAAAACTTTTCAATATACAACATATCTAGAAATTATTATTATTTTAATTTAAATATTTAGACATTGTCAGACGTTGGTTAATGTAATAATAATAATTATTAAAATAATTATTGTAATCGCAAGCATAATACAAAATTATATTTAATAGATTATTATATTATTATATTAAAATAAAATAATTAGTACTACTTTATATATGGTGTGTGTAATAAAGTAGTAATAATTATTTATTTTTAATATAACAATATTATAATCCATTAATTATAATTTTACATTATGCGTGCGCCTTCAATAATATCTTAATAACAATTATCATTACATTAACTAACATATACATTATATACAATATATATACACTTTTACAGTTTACTTTGTAAATCAAAAATTCAAGTAATTATTACGAAAATTGATTGAAGTCCCGTATAACAATGAAAAACCTTCGATTTGAAAAATGATTGAAGGAAACTCGAGTGATAAACAATTGCACCAACTGTCAATTGTATCGTTTCTTAAACTGCTTTATCAGCGCACGATTGAATTTCGCGCGCCAGTCACGTGACGAACAATGGCGAACAGCCTTCGGCCGGTCGATACGAGCACGAGTCTAGGGACTCTACCACACCCAATCGCAGCGACCCGCGCCACGCGCGAAGTTAGCAGTAAGCACGACCGCGTCTCCCTTCCCCTACGTCATCTCTCTTCCCCCACCACTCGCGCGCCCCACTCCGGCGCGAATTCTTGGCGCCGCGCCGCGGAGCGGCAGTCAGTCGGTTCTTGTCCATCGGGCGTGACGGTGCGCGGTGATTCGGCGCGCGCGAGAGAGAAAGACAGCGACAGAGAACGCGATCGGACACATTGACGAACCCTCGTGTCTCGCAGACGTTCGTTCGGTATCTCGCGTCGCGATTGATAATAATAATAATAATAATAATAATAATAATAATAAATAATAATAATATCGCGTCGCAAATTCGCGCGTCCCGGAAGGAAGAAGAGCGCGTGTCTCTTTCTTTCTCTCTTACTCGGAGAAGAGCGTTGGAGGAGGAGGAAGAGGAAGAAGCGCGGCCTCGTGGACCCCGTGCGGCGGATCGTGACCGCGAGACCGGAGGTGCGCGGTCGGCCATTGTGCTTTCTTCGCGTGTCGCGCCGATAGGACCGCTTGTCAATCTCTCGCGGTGTGTGCTCTTGCTTCTGTGCGTCGGCTTATACCGGGTATCTACGAAGGAGAGAGAGAGAGCGCGACGCCGGCTACTATATCGGAGCTTCATCTCGTCATCTCTGCCGAACACAATCTCCTCCTTCCTTCCCCTGTCACCGTCGTCTTCTTTCACGGTCGCCCAGTATCGAGGTAAGTCAGACACGAGTTTCGGCTTCTCACGTTCCCGTCCCTGCGTCTCTCCTCGCGTGACACGCAACGAGAGACTCGATCGGTAAAGCGATGCCATTTTCCCTCTCTCTCTCTCTTTCCCCTTCTTCTCTCTTTGTCTGGGATTTTTTTTTTTTTTTTTTTTTTTTTTTTGACATCACGGATGACACGTTTCCGTGTCGCTCACATTTATTCCGTCTTACTCGACGAGAACCTCGAGGCTCGCTCGCGGCCGGCGTGACAGATCTCGAGCCGGCGTCGAGGGCTCGACACCAAGTTTTGGGAAGAGAGGAAGGGGAACGAAAGCTCACGTTTCGATCACGAGCGCGACTCTGGGAGTGATCGCTCCCGCGTTTCCCGCGACTTACGCACGGACGCGTGTTTCCTCAAGTTCACGGTTGTCGAGTGCAGGTGCTTGTCTCGGAGAGAGTTCATTTCTGAATTCTATAATTATTGTACACGGTGCGACAAAATTTGTAATATGTTACATAAAAATATGTAAAATTACATAAATAATATACAAGTGTAATTTTACATATTTTTTTTTATATATACAGTGTATTGTGACGTTGGAGCAAGGTCATTCATATATTTCAATTATCGCATCAAATATCAACATTGAGTATAACAACAGATTTTATTCAATATGTGTATGTATACACGAGTGTTTTGTTTACACATGTTCCGAGATAAATACTCAATGTATCGTTTATATTTTCGATTTTCACATAAAAGTTTTTAGAGATGTAACTTACTTAAAAATATATACACATATATATATATATATAACGAGCCTTTATGTTCATTCAGCAATATTTGATCAAATACAATAATTTATTGAAATCGATATCTTTATTATCGTAATAGCTTTTACAGAAGGTCATATATAAAGTCACGAATGTTATCTTTTACGCTACATAACTTCTTTGAAGATAAATTTAAAGATCTTTTTTCTAATAAAAATGTCGAGAAGAGTATATATTTCATCGAAGTTTTTCAATATATTACATATATCTTTAAGTTAAATATCTTTATCAAACATCAAATTAAAAACTTTGTTAATCCAACGATATAATTAATTGAAAAATAACTTTCTATTTATTTTTCTTCTGAAATGTAGTTTCCTAGAAATTAAATTTATAATTCTATTTATTATATTTTTCTTATTTAATAGTTAATTACTTCAAAATTAATTACTCCAGCCATTAATTAATTTATAGAGCCTTTTGATATTTTGATCAAAAGGCTCTATAAATCGAAAAATCGATTTTAAATCGGTCGTAGAATCTATAATGAAAGGAACACGTAATGATGGACAAACATTTAAACGTATTTAAATTTTTCGAGGGTTTAACAAGGGATTTTAGCACGACATGTGTTCGATTCATGCGCGCGTTTCTTCCTCTATTTGCTGCCGACGAGAACAAATAGGAGGCATATTAAGCTGTCATTAGATACGATTCCCCGAGTGTTTGCCACGTAAAGAGAGAATCCGATCGGATCTTTAGAGAACGCGAGAGAGAGTCGAATATTTCATTGGTTGATAACTCTATTTATCGGTTGTGATTGCGCGATTAATTCGTCGTTCCACCTTTGTTTATCTATCTGCCTTTATGCTAATTTACCAAGCACACACATAGAAATCTGCATAACATGTTAAAGCGCAATGTAGAGATACACACATTTTTTGAAGAATATATTTATAAGAGTTTAAACCAGACATATACATAAAATAAATTCAAAATAGTAAGAGAACAGATTGATATAAATTTTTATATATCTATTAAAAGCTCTTTTTTCTGAATTTTATTTTATTAAATAATATTGTACGGAAAAAAATACTTCAAACTGTGCAAATTTTTGCTTCAAGCTTTTTCACATTTAGGAGGAAAATCAGAATGTTATTGCAATTGGACGGATCTCCGATTTAAATAGTGAATAGGAATTTCGAAGTCCGCCAAAAGCTATTTATCTTCGCTGCACGTTTAATATTAAGTGCAATCGTCGTGTTGCAATGATATTTTGCAGCAACTCGACACGTAACTTTGTCCGCGACACTCATCATGACACACGAGACGAAAGTCAGGGGCGGGTAATAAATTGCGATACTCAAATGTTAGTTTGAAAATTTGATTTTTATTCGGCGAGAAAGAGAGAAAAGCGCGGATGGATCGAGAGAGAAAAGAGAGCCTCGTAAGATCGTCGAACAAAATTTCTCGAGCGATAGGTAGAAGATGTATATATGTATATATAATTAAATATTTATTAACGAAAGCTTTTTCTGAACTTTATTTTAAATAATATAGTACGGAAATACATATATATGTATGTAGAGTATTTTGAAATAAGTGCGAACCATTTTAAGAAATGATTCTTTATCGAAAATTAAAGGGAACTTTTCACATAAACATCTCTCCCTGAGAAGTTATACTTCTCTAAAAGAGGAGGTGAAAATGAGGTTTTTAATTTTTTTTCTCAAATTTTGAACAAATTAAAAAATGGAATTTGGTGGAAAAGATATGGAATCATATATTTATATAAAAATCCTCCTCTTAATTTTTGACAAAGAATCATCTTTTAAAATTTTTGGCACTTATTTAGAAACACTGTATATATATTTTTTTCGGGGTTTCTAAGAAAAATTCTAAGAAAAAGTTCTGTGTATAATTCAATGAAATAAATAAAAAACATTTCTTTTTATATATATTTTATATATTTAAATATTTTCTTTTTTCTATACAATCGACGCATGACGTGTTGATGAAGTCAGAGAAGGGGAGGGAAGGAAGGGACAGGAACTTGCAATATTCATTTACATTCTAAAGTGCGCTCACTGCCGCGTTGTAATACGGAAGAACGTACTATGTACATATTTCCGCGCGCACGTGCCGGCCAACCGGCCAGTTGTCAACGCAAAAGCGCTCTTATTCTTCTCTGCGAACACGTTGATGGGGATTATACGGAGTACACATGAAGTAAATCCCGTTCTCTCTCTCTGCAATCCGTTTTGAGCAGCGTGTAATTCGCGACAGAACTCCGAGTCTCCGTGTATAATTTGATATACAATAATAATGTGCAGAGGAAATCTATATATTTGCAGGAAAACGGAAATATGTGTAAAAGGAAAGACGCGCGCATGCCGTGAAACTCGAGATAGATTTAATAATCATAACGGATGATTCAAGGTTTTTAATTACACGTTTTTTTTTGTGCGCATACCACTTATGTTGTTTCGTAATATAAAATTTTTCTCCTCATCGTTGTGAGAGAAAAATATTGTAATAAAGAAACCGGATTTTGTATTAAGTATTCTCATATATCTGCGTATGCTTTTTTTTCATTCGTGTTACGTGGATATTACGTATGTAAATTCGATATCGAGAAACGTCGACTCACGCAGTCAGATATGTGGACGAGCTACAAATGAGAAAAATAATTTTTCACGATTCCGCATCACGACCGGTCTCTGTCATAAATTGCCGTCGAGTATATAACGCTAATATTCTGAATGACGAAACACAAATCGTTGCACGATAATATATACCGTCTTAAAGTTATTTTAATAAAGTCTTCGGACGTCACAGATTGCAAATTAGGGGCTGGAATCTGAGATTGTGGAACTCGAAACTTCCAGCTGCTACGACGCGTGATTGAAATTGAATGCAGTTACGGAATATCGTACGAAAATCGACTCTACTTTTTCCCAGACATCGCTAACTAACTCGCCGGAGTTAAAATATCGGTGTCAGAGATATCCGTTATCGTATCTCGAATACTGTATTTCGATATCGGCAAAATGTTCCTAACTGTCCTCGTTAACGTAAATTGCACGATGTAAAACCCTTCTCAGACGAACTCTTTAGTTTTTTTTTTAAAATGCCATTGAAACGTAGAATGTATTTGCAAATTGTATTCTAATAATAATTAAAATATTAAAGTGCAGTCAACAATTAAATAATTTTATAATATATTTAAATTCTAAACGTTGATTAATTTCATATAATTCAATAAAATAAATAACATCTTTTTCTTTCGACATAATTTTTAATTAAACATTATAAAAAAATGTGTAATATATTACACAAAAGTATGTAAAATTAATAATAAATTAACATAAATAATAAATGTAAAATTGCACGATAAATAATGAAATATATATACATAGCTTCATTATTTATCGTGTAATTTTACACTTATAATATAAACCTTATTAAATTATTTATATGTAATTTAAATTTATTTTACAATATTTTTATGTAATTTTACATATTATTTGCAGTGTAGATTGAGTCTGGCGTGAAAGAAAAGAATTGAAAATAAATTTAATTTATGTTCTTCTTGCACATAACGTAAGTGAAACACACAAATCTACGTTATATCGCAATACTTGGTCGAGATGGTTGTCGCTCGCGTTGAAGCGTGCAACTTTCGTCTAGCTTAAACTAATTTCGCAACGTTCTCTTCGCGTATATATCGAGCACTTGTCAGCCGAAAATAAAGCAAGCTGTGCATCCCGTGCACAACAATAGCGCGTGTTCATTCAAAAAGTCACTTTATTTTGTTGCATCGAGGCCATTCCTTGTTCTTAATGTGAGCTTGATATTTATTAAATTTTAGAGAGATTTTATTTGTCCGAAAAAATATAAAAATATAAGATTAATTAAATACTCATGAGATTAATAAAATATTTATTAAGATCTCTAAAAGTAGACGAAGTTAAAAGGCTTAATTATTTTCAAGTATGTCGACGAAAGTAGGCTGTTGAAAAAAAATGTGGAGAGAGATTTAGATAAGGTACATACGCGCAAGTTTTTAATGAAAGCGTCTTTGCGTTTGAAAGACGCTTTCATTAAAGTATGATTACATTTTTACATCTCGTGAAAGTATGATTAATAATGTTAGACCGTTGCAATAATTTAAAATGTTGGTAATTTTTTATAGCAGTAGCCTTATTTCGCACGTGTACAATCGTAAAGTTTCGCAATGAATTTAAGCTACCGATAATTTATCTCGCTGAAAGCTTCGGTAAAAATTCCTCTAAAAATTCATCTTCCGCGCGTTACGAATTATCGGACGAAAAAGAAAGAAAGAGAGAGAGATGACGACGGAGGTGATCCATAACTCGGGCGAAAAAGGGGACCGGATATTGAAATATCGTACCGCGGGGGTTAAGGCCCATTGTGTAAGGAACCCTTGGTCCGCGCGCTCCAATTTGAAGCTCGCCGATCGTAAACGTTTATTATTATCGTCTTCTGCGGAGAAGCGCGCACGGCGCGTTCCTTCCTGTCGGCCAATAGCCATTTACGCTGATACGGCGGAATTGCTTTTTCCATCCCTCTTGAATTCTCCTCCTACGCTCTCTTTCTCGCCCCCTTTTTCGCACACGATACATCGTACCTACATATAGGTATATAAATATATAATACGTATGTATCATGTCACGTATATATATACATATACAGTGTTCCATGTTAACCATATATTTCTTTTATCAAATTCCAGCGAATTTGACCACTTTTGAGTTTATCGAAAATTTGACGGAACCAAAATTTCTTTTATATCATTTTTAATTCAAAAATCATTTCTAAATTCAAAAATTCCTTTTATAATTTTTTAATCTCGATTTTTAATCTCTAAATTCGAAAATTCCTTTTATAAATTTTGAATCTCGAGAAATCAAATTTTAAAACTATTTTTTTGCTATGTGAATTCTTTGGCCAATTTTAAACTTTCAAAATTTTGGCAAAACCAAAAATTCCTTTTATAATTTTATAATTTTTAATCTCGATAAAATAAATTTTCAAACCTATTTTTCTGTGATAAAATAAGATCGATTTGAGATCGTCAGAAAATCATATGTAAAATATTCTTTATCTTTAATCGCTATTAATTTAAAATCGTATCGACATATTTTTGTACAGGAATATTCGATTCGAAATTAAATCGAATAATGGTGAAAAACATTCACTATATCTGGGACATCCTATATACGTACGTACCTACTATGATACTGTGTCAATCACGTATAAACTGCATTACTGATTGACACAATGCGAACGCCTCTAATGCATATCAACGTCAGCGGCGCGTGTATTGTTCGTCGCGTCGTTATTGGCAATTTCTATTTCGCTGTATGTATATATATATATATATATATATGTATATATATGTGTATGTATATATTGCGAATCGTCGCGTTCTCGGTTTTAGCAGGCACGAAGATTTCAAAGGTGTCTCTCTTTCTCTGATTATTTTTTTTCTATTCTGTCTTTCTTTTCGTTGAAATTGTTTTCTCGTTTTTGCGGTCATCCCAGCGTTCAAATTGATTTATCGTACCGATGTGCTGCGGGTTACGTGCAAACTCGCATCGAGTTGCAAACATCTCTCTCTGTCTCTTCGTTTTGCTATGTGAATCCTTTGGTCCTCATTTTATATATAAATAAAAACGCACGCAATTGCGGTAAACGCGATAAAAAAATGATGAAAAATCGACAGCGGCGATTTTGACGAAAATAATTCTGAGAAATGTTGATCGGTATAAAAAGATCTGTAAAAAACGGGGATAAACGTACAGGTATATACGTAATATGCCCTAGGCGGCTCTCTTTTTCGACGAGGCAAATATCAGCGGTGAAATGGAATTATGTTTGAAAGGGGCAATTAAACGAAATTGCATTGCGGATTGAACGGTTCTGAAAGGGAATGCGATCGCGCGATTAATAGCGCGAGATACTGCGTGTTGGCGTGGTCGGGAATCCAGACCCCGGACACGTTGCGCATCGTCGCGTCGTCAATTTGCAGCCGCGTATATTGCGGTATATCTCGAACAATAGCACGAAAACCGCGCTCGCATTCCAGTGCGTGCGCGAGGAGACGCGGTGCGTTCTCGCAAGTGGTTGACACACAGTCTTTGCCATTCAGAAATTATTCCGCCAATCACATTTCTTCGAAAACAATTCTTCTCGCAGCAGGTAACGTGATAAAGCGCGGTTCGCCATCCTCGCGCCAAACGTCATTTAATTTCATGACATTTAATGAGCGTAACATACATATATGTGACGATGTCTCGTTTTAAAAATTATAAATGTAAAATAATACAATTATACTTAAAAAAAAATATATATATATATATAATTAATAAATATTGTCATTATATAAATTTATATATAATTTATATAATAAATATATATATATATATATATATAATTTATGCAATAAAATAAAATAAAAATAATTTACAAATTCTTTCGATGTATTAAAAAGGCTTGCATGGTATGAAAAAGTCGGTATTTACGTTAACGTCGAATCGTTCTTATACTCCGGGGTTAAAAGCGCCTTTCTCGGATGTGGCTCGTCTAGCTTCGGGCGATTCGTTACGCGAGAAATTAATCGAACCGGCTTTCAGCGAGAGACGAGCGCGCGCGATATCGAGAGAATTAAAAAGATCTCGGCCGGTCGACTCTCGCGGGATAATTGAAAAGGACGGGGCGCGAGTTCAATTTGCGGCAGCGAAAAGAGAGAGTCCATCTAATTCCACGGCGTTCTAATCCTCGCGTTTCCGCGGTTATTCGGAATTTATATCCCTATATATGTGTGTGTATGGAAGCGGATCGCCCATTAAAAGCCTCGGCCGGATATGAATAACGTGGAAATAACGCGTGTGTTCTGCTCGATGCTTATTAGATTACCGTCGTCGACGCGGCACGTCGTTATCTCCATCTCTCTTCTCTCCTTCGTTCATCGTCCCTTCTCCCTCGATGCACCTGTTCGCTCCCAAGCACCGCCATTCACGCGCGTATACGCACATGTGCGTCAGTGACGGCGGTGTCGTGCTAATGAGTGCACACCGCGGCGAGAAACGTATATAGATACCCTCGCCAAGTTTACACATCTTTCCGAGAGAATATTTATTGAACTGCGTGATGTGGATGCTGAGATGTGATCCGGTTTGTGTCCGCTTTTGAAAGTTAATTGAGGATTATTAATATATGTATACAAAATAGCCTGTCTAAAATTAGCTGATGCGTATATATATATATTTTTTTATTATACTGCGATTACGCAAATAATTATCATTTTAAGTATCATATTTGTTTGAATATCGAATAAATTTGGTAGATGAAGTGATTTCTCGGAATAGTAAACAAAGTCATTACTCTTTATTATATTTTTGCATAATAATAATATAATAACAATGACAATAATATAAAATAAATTGTATTTAATATTAATACACGGAAAAATATTAATTAAATTGCAGGTATTCTTGTATATTATTGGAATTTTAATTACCATACTTAAAAGAAATATCATAATTAAAATTTAGATACATGATAATTAAATTTTAGGTGTAATACACAGAGAATTTTCTCTTAAAACTGAAAATCATGACGATCATGGGACAAAGAATTTTATTATAAGAGTTTCCCGGATTAATATTTACCACAAAATAGTCACAATAAAAATATTAATATCTACCACAAAAAGATATAAAAATATGTTCGATTAATTTTACTATGTACATATTAATATTTTTTATTGTGGTAAATATTAATCAGAGAAACTTTTATAAAATTTTTCAATACTATATTGTCCCACGATTATCACGATTTAATTACCATGCCTAAAATTTGTAAATAAATATATTTGTAAGTTATAATTTAGAGTATAGATATCCCGATTAAATTATATATAGTTAAAAAAATTAATTACCATAATTATGTTACCATAATTACATTTAAGCTGTGATAGCTAATATATTTTTTTTTGCGTATGATATGGCCGACTTGACTTTGCGATCAGAGCCCGAAACTCTTCGCGTTCTCGCAATTGTGTAAAGTAATCGAATCCGTGATTGTTTTTCAGCATGCCCGTGCACGGGAGCGGATCCAGGAGGCGATGCGCGAGAGTAACGCGTCGGTGAACGCGAGAAAGAAATGAAATGCGCGAGAGGAGCCACTAGGAATCCACCGCCCTCGACGAATGTCATTCACCCTTCGCGCGCACCGTAAGAAGAAAAAAAGCAAAAGAAGAAACAGAGGCGCGCAGAAGGAGAAGGAGAGGGAATCGGCGCGGAAGAAGATCGAGTCAGAGAGAAGTGAAGTGAAATCGGCACATTCCCGCGTAATTCGTCGTCGTTCCGAATCCTCGTGTTTCGGCGAGCAGCAGCCAGCGCGCTTCGTTTCATCTCGTCGTTTCGGCTCCGCTAGAAGAGTGAAAGGCACTTCGCCACACGTGGCGCCTCTCTCCGAGCGAGCGCATCTCGGATATTTTCGCGAGGTCACACTTAAAGGAGCGCAACATCCACGTATATATATCTTCGAAGACTTCTCGTCGTCCATTAACGCCTCGCATTTCGCCGTCTGATTCTATAAAAGACAGCCTTTGCGTCATTTGTGACATTCTCTCGCGGATGCGCGGGAATACAGAAATCACTCTCGATCGATCGTCGTTCTTCGTGAAACTTGTTTACAGCCCGATTCATCCGACTGCGACTATAGACAGCGAGGACAAATTCTATCTGGATGACGACAGCGGAAGAGCGCCGTGTTTGTCGGGACGCCCTCGTCGAGGGAGGAATTGATGGAATGTTCGATTGAGGAAGGAATATATCGTCGACGATTGCGGTCGATCGTGAATCGCGGCTCGACACCGAGGATGATCGCGCGGAATCCGCCGGTTGACGAGCGTCGATTATGCGATCAACGCGTACGACGAGCCTGAATAACGTCGAGCGAGATCCGGTCGGATTGGAAGATCTGAAGCTTCTCTTTCGCATCTGCACGCACAGCCGTTCGACCCCCGTTGACCTCGCCTATTAACAGATAGAAGAGATCCTAGACTGATATAAAATATCCGACCGACCGATTGAAACGGAATCCGCCGTGACGCCGGATTTCACTTCAACAACGTTTGTTCCAACGCCATCGATGCAATCTTGATCAAAGTTCAGCAAAACGTCGCCTTTCATGAGATTGTACATCTAAACTGTCGTCGATTGGCTTCATTAACGAGGGAAAACAACCTCGAAGTTATAGTCATCAGCATCCTTGTTCGCGTCATCTGATCGCAGGTGCCATTTTTTTTGGAGAAATTAATAAACAGAGTCGTCCGAGCAAGTGAAACCGAACGAGAAGACTCTTGAGCAAAAACCTCGGATTCCTCGCTCGTTGGTCCTTGGCGAAAGGGGACCAATCGTGGACCCAGGTGGTGGTGTTCCGGGGCCGCAGATGGGAGCTGGTCTGCTAGGACCCGGCAGGGTGATCAACCCCGTGCAGCAGCAGAGACAACAATCGGACGAGCTCCTCCCCATCGACGTCGCCCGCCGACGTCGTCGTCGACCACGAGGTTCCTTCTTCTCCCACCCGATTCGGCCGCGCAAATCCGATCAAGCTGGAATTGATGGAGTTGGAGAACATCGTCGCGAACACTGTGTACCTGAAAGCGAGAGAAGGTGAGCCTTAACTTTATTGTCGCCATTTATTTGCATCGCTATTGCCTTTTTCTTTTTACCTGTGTCTATTTATCGGAGAAGTAACGCTTCGCCAAGCGCAATGACGATTCAATTCTAAACAACTAATTATCCTGCAATCGCATCAATCTTAAACGTACAATGTGTGTGTTGACAATCTCGCTTGGTTATTTTTCTCTTTTATATTCTTTTTTATACATATAAATGAGCTATTTTGGGTATCTCTTATGAAACTGTTCGGAAAACTTTCCGATCGGAATAATTTTGTTTTCTCTTAATATAATAAGAAATCTAGAGAAAAATAAGAAATGAAAAAAATGAATAAATGATATACGTCCATTGACATTCGCATATATCGAAAGTAGAAAAATATTACGTAAAAATTAATGTAATTTTCATACACGAAAAGATTTTTTTTTTAGAATTTACCCTGAAATCATGATAATCGTAGGACAATATTGTATTGGAATAATTTTATAAGAGTTTCTCCGATTAATATTTACTACCATAAAAAATATTGATATCTACTACAATAAGATATAAAAAATATGTTCGATTAATTTTACTACGTACATATTAATATTTTTTATTGTGGTAAATATTTAATTAGAGAAACTGTTATAAATTTTTAAAAATTCAATATTGTCCCACGATTACCATGATTTTCAGGGTAAATTCTAAGAGAAAATTCTCTCTGTATATATAAATGTGCTTTTTTACGACACAATAATTATACGGTATACGAAAAATTTTAAACAAACAACGTGTTGACAGTCTCGCTTTATTAATTTTCTCTTTTATATACACATATAATGAGCTATCTCGAATAATAAGTGAATAAATAAATTATGTCGATCGATCTATTGAAAGTGGAAAATATTACGTAATCGAAAAATTGGTGTAACTTTCATTTAAATGTGCTTTTTTACGACACAGTAATTAGCGGTATACGAATTGTAATGGGTAAAATAACAACGTTGAAAACTCTTTTGACTTTAATCAATTGATACACGCTGAGTTCATGAGTGCTCTGAACTTTATCGTTTTATCGCGAGATTATTGTTGAAAATGACGACTCTGTGGATGTTTATTATGTAGTTGCATGAATCGCTTTATGACACATAATAATTAATGTCGCGTCACTTACCATGTCAAAAGCAGTTATCGAGTTCGCTCGATTAGTGCACAACATTCAATTTCGGTGTTGTGTACCCACGTATGCATATATATACAATCTTTTCGGAACACTCTGTACAATGTTATTATTGCTCGGCTGGGCGATATTTATTATAGGCGTGTAAAATCGTCCCGTAATTTTAACCGCGAGATTGAGCGTTCAGGTTTAACGCGCAATATTTATTCTCATAATCGTTACTTCTGCTTACTTTAAAATGCATCTCGCTATCATTGAGAAAATTAAACTTATTTCGACGTAGACGAGAATAAACATGATATTTACATAATAGTAATTACTTATATCTCTCGAGGATATTTAAATGTAAATTTACATTCGCGGAATAAAATTTGTTTTTTTGTAATTTTTTTTTCAATTTCTACTTGAAATTTACGTCAACAGAAAAAAATTGTTGATCAAGAATAGCGAGAGAAACTTGCGCGTTTGATATTTTTGTTGCGTGTGTAATTTGGGTCATTGTTATTGTTAAAAAAGAAATCCGTCGGAGGCATTTATAATAATGTCGCTAACTGAAAGACGGCAGGATTTTGCAGTTGTCATTATACATGTTTAGACATGACGTTGAATCGAAGAACGCCTATCCGGGGAGGAGGCGAAGGCGTTTATGACGGCTTAGTGTAGGTGTCCGTATTTTAATGCGCGCGTAAAAATGATCGTGATGCTCGCGTCGACAGCTTAAACGTCGTAACGCGGGCGATAGATTGAAGTAAAAAATCTTCACAGCGAGAAAGAAAGAGAAAGAGAGAAAATCGTTTTTTTTCCTTCACTCTTCGCTTTCGGCCGCGCATGTTTTAGCACACCTATCTCTCGTCATAAGGCGTCGGTGAAACACGAAATAAAATAAACATCGGTTCTTATTTCGCTCTATCCCCATCAAAATTGATTTGTGGACCTACGTTTAATCGGACATCTTTCGTTTCTTCTTTTTACGAATGTTATACACATGTCTAAAAAATATGGAAAAATATAATAGGATTTACAAATGAAAAATTCTGAAAAATCAGAAAAATTACAAAATTCAACGTACAAGAGAAAACTACGAGATTTTAAAAAATTGAAGAAAATATGTTTATTTTAGTGACTAAGATTCTTGTGAACAGTTAACATCTATTTAATATAAGTCTTGCATTGTTCATCAAAACAAGCGTTAACACGGTAGTTTGCATAGAAGTTGATTTACTGTTTTAAATTTGATGTACTTGAAAAAATGACAGCCGAAACGTTGTTGAAAATTATTGCCAGTCTGGTCGACTTTAAACATTGAGGAGTGGTTTTTATGTTTATTTTTGTTTATTTAATTTATTGCTTTGGAAGGTTAAATATTTTTGAAATAAAAAAATAGATGTGATAGATTGCAAGACAATAAATATTGACTACTTACAAAATACAAAGAGATAAAAGTAAGCGATAGTCATATTTAATTCAAGCATCCATAAGCGTTGCGACGCCCATGGGACAAACACGAACTCTAACGTTGGTAAACTAAAAGCGAAATTACGTTGTGTATCGCGCCGATATCACTCGTTGTATATTTGGTACTTAATTAATATACAGAGTGAGAGAAAGAGAAAAGAAAGAGAAAGCGAATTGTGTATGAAATATCACTGGTGCGATATGTCAGTCGCGTGAGTTTGCTTCAAAGTTTTTTATGACAGCACTTTGCGTGTATTTTTTTCTTTGACAGCAATATCAAAAGATTATATATATATATATATTTACAGTTGTAGAACAATATGACAAAGTATATTAAAAAGAAGCCGATTTTTGCTCCCAAGCCGGCAAGTAAAATTGACATTATTTCTTATAGTTTTTTGGCCGTAGAATGACATAGTAATATTTGTTTGCTCTCAAAGTGAAGGAAAAATAAATAAAAATCTAAAAAATGGCTCATTTGTGACTCCCAGTTTTTCTTCTAATTCAACATAATTTGTTACAAAAAAAGTGAGGGGTGTATTGTCAAGGTAGTTGAATACGAATTTGGCTAATTTGATTACACAATTCAATGATGGATCCAATATAGCGGCCGTTAATCAGCTAAAAATTAAGGCAATTTGTCACAATCAGGAAGTAAAATTCGTCGAATTTCTTATAACTTTTTTAACTATAGAATGATGTGATGACATTTGATTGTGACAAAATGGCCTTAAATTTTTAGCTGATTAGCGGTCGTCATATTAGATCCACCATTGAATTGTGTAATCCTCACATCAGATTAGCCAAATTTGCAATGTCAATTTTACTTGCCGGCTTGGGGGCAAAAATCATTTACTTTTTAACATACTCCTTTGAAATAATTTGGAAAACATCCTCATTTCTAAACTAATTATTCCTTTTCTATGATTTTCGTGTATAATTGTACTAATTAATCTATAATTGGCATCAGAATTGTCCAGACAGAGAGAGTTTTTTTATTAAATAATTTTTACACTTTTATATGTTAAACTATACTTTGACGTATTTTATATAAAAGGTTATAAAAAAAATATCCATTTCAATAGCTAGCATTATTAATTTTGAATTGAATATAGGGATGTAGGATTCATCTATGGAATAAAGAAAAGATCATAATTATCTTGATTCATCTCGACTCACAAGATCTCCTCTTTTTTATAATTATGTTATTATAAAAAATTGTACATGATGAGAGCTCGATTTCTCATATAATTAGTGGCATTTCGCGATTACTTGGGAAATTTGAGCCGACGAAAATAGCATCTTTCGCGCACCTCTGACGTGTACACCAAAAAGGTAGGGACTCGAGAGATTTTTTGCAGGGTCAAATGCTCGATTCGATTCTGTTGCCGTTTATTTTTAGCTTCGTCACAGGGTACAATGAACTTTGCCGCTGACAGGGAAACGTGACGTTTCACCTCTCGTTATGCTTCGCGTACGCATCCCGCAGGATATGTCATATAAGTATAGGCATTTCGAAATTTCCCACGTTGTGTTTTTCACGTGAGAATTCGATTTTTCCTTTAACAACGATTTTTTCTTACGCAACGAAATTTCTGATAATTACAAAAGATTTGTTGTAATTATAAAAAAGTTCTGATAATTATAAAAAATGTATGTCGTAAAAAAAAAGGATAATGTTTGAAGATTTTATTTTGTGTGCTAATAATTATTTTTGAGAAAAAAAAAAATTATCTTCCGATCGAAGAAAAAACTTTTCTTGAAGATTAAATAAAAAAAATTTTTAATTACGTCAGAGTTTAATTAAAGAATCTAAAAAAATCTCACGTTAAATTTCAGAGATAAAAACAGACGACAATGGCTCAGTATTTTAAAATCTTGAAATGAATTTGATTTCGCCGAAAGAAAATTAAATTCTTAGGATTGAAGGCTTTCCGGGAGTTTTCGGAATAAAATTTGCATAGAAATGATTACGTTCTCTCCTAACTCGAAACTGGAGTTCTGTCGATCACCGCAAATTACGATCGGCTGGCAACCAGCCCAGGCCGAGGGTTACCACCACCGGCCGGCGTTTAATTAGCAAATTACGAACGACGTCCTGTCGAAGAGAGTGCAGGCGCGCCATATGATGTTAATCGGAAAGTAGGTAAATGGATTCGCGTGATAGCGAGAGAAAGAACCAACTACGTCAACAGCCTTGTAATCTCATCGCCTTGATAAACTTTACAAATGAAAGCCTCGGGAGGAGCCGCGCGAATTACGTAAATATACAGGGAGAGCCGATAGTTACAGGGGTAACGGGTTAATTAGCGGTCTATCGTGCGGCGACGTAATTAACGGGAGCGCTCGATCGACAAATGACTGTAATCAATCT